GACTCGTGGCAGATGGTCGTGGCCAGCGTTATGGCATTGACTACCACGAGGTGTTTGCACCCACCTTCCGACCTGCTACTCTGCGCGTCATCCTTGCTCTTGCTGCCCAGAACAACCTCAAATTGCGCTCTATCGACTTCTCCTCTGCCTACCTCAATGGGGACCTGGATGAGGATGTCTATATGACTCAGCCAGAAGGGTTCCCCCAAGGAGAGAAGGGCCAGGTCCTGAAACTGAACCGGTCCATCTATGGGCTGAAGCAGGCTGGCCGCCAGTGGCGCATCAAGTTGGTTGCCAAGCTGACAGCCATGGGGTTCAAGTGCATCAAGTCTGACAGCTCCTGCCACATCTACTCTGATGGTGTGGTCCGCGTCATCCTGCCCATCTATGTTGATGATGGCACCATTGCTGCAAAGCATGATGCTGACATTGACAAGGTTATTGCCCAGCTTGGCACGGCCTTCAAGGTGCGGGATCTGGGTCCCACAGAGTGGCTTCTGGGGATCAAGATAGAGCGTGATGCAGACACTGGGGACATCAGCATCTCCCAGCGCCAGTATGCTGTGAATCTCCTGGAGCAGTATGGCATGGCTGACTGCAAGCCTGTGGACACCCCCATGCTGCCTGGCCTGTCTCTGACCAAGGAGATGGGAGCCAAGACTGAGGAGGAGTCCAAGCAGTTCAAGGGCAACTATCTGTCTGCTGTTGGCTCTCTGATGTACCTGGCCTGTCAGACTCGCCCTGACATCTCCTATGCTGTGGGGGTCTTGGCACGGTTCAACAGCAATCCTGGTGAAGAGCACTGGAAGGCTGTCAAACACCTTCTGCGATACATCCAGGGCACCCTTGATTTCCGCATCACCTACTCCAAATCCTCGCCCACCCTCTATGACCCAGCCACCCACATCCATCCTGACGACCTCTTCACCACCTTCACTGATGCTGATCATGCTGGAGACAAGGACTCCATGAAAAGCACTGGGGGGTATGTCATTATGATGGCTGGTGGACCAGTGAGCTGGAGGAGCAAGCTGCAGTCCACCATCTCTCTGTCCACTACTGAGGCAGAGTATGTGGCTGGTGTGGATACTGGGAAAGAGATCAAGTGGATGCGGAATCTGCTGCACGAGCTGGAGCATGGTGTGTCTGGGGCTTCTCCCTTGATGATGGACAACCAGTCTGCCATTTCTGTGTCCAAGAATCCTGAACACCATGGGCGTATGAAACATCTGGACCTTGCACACTACTGGCTCAGAGATGAAGTGGCCAGAGGGTTTATTGATGTGAAGTATGTGCCAACGCAGGACCAGCTGGCTGACATCCTGACCAAGGCGCTGCCTCGGCCTCAGGTGGCAAGGTTGCGCACACTGATGAGATTGCGGGGGAGAGGCTGAGAGACTGATCTCATCCCGGGAGAGTGTTGAGGATGGGTTTTGGACTTGATCACTCTCTGGTGATTGGGTCACATGATCATCTGATTCCATCTGATCCTATCACTGATCACATCACTGATGATATCTGATTCCATCACTGTTCCCATCATTCCATCATTCTGGTCACATGACTCCAAGTCACATGATTTCTATACAGTCACATGCTCCATCCACATAGATAGTTCTTGCCTCCCTGGAGTTCTTCAGCTTCTTACTGTTGACTCCAGGTCTGTAGATTCTTTTCTTGTCTTGTCTTGCAATGCAGAGCTTCTTACTGTTGACTCCAGTCCTCTCTGCATTTCCTGCTTCAACAGAAAAAGGGTCCGAGTGATCGATGACGTAGTTTCAATTCCGGCACTCGCTCCTACTGAGTGCTACCACGTCTCCTTGGGCAGTAGTGCACAGTTTCCCTGTCTTTGACCCCATACCTTCAGTTTTTCCGAGATCACGAATCCATGTGAATGGATGCTGTACTTCCGTATGCCCGCAAGATAGGCTTAAATGAACTGAGATGCGAATCATACGCTTGACACTTGCACGCATCAGGAATAGACACCAGGATCAACCAAGCACTGCAGGTAAAGGGCAGCAGTCACAAGAGAGACAGATGAAACAGCTCCTCTTAGAAGCCGCTTCAAATCCGTGGCTGAGCTGTGGTTTCTCGAAGAGGATTGAGGTATGTCGGAAGAAAAGGCCCGGTTTGCGAATGCATTCACACGCGTACGCGGCAAGCGATTGCATCACCGCACTCTACGGTGTCAGGGCTATTAATAGATTACGTGACTTCCCTCGGTATCGAAGCCCGAAGCTCGTTGCTCGCCTGTCCCAGCCTTCGAATTCCAACGAGTAGACTTTCTAAATGCATCACGGCTAAGGATGTACTGCGCCTGAGTGGAGCTGGGAAGATTCAGCGCGTTCACTGCCAGACCAAATACTTACTCGCGTAATCGCGCCATGGTGGTTGTCAGATAAATGGTAGCAAATCCATCAGTTGAAATAGGCCGCGACAGCCTGAGGAGCCGATCCATGTTTGTCGGATTGAGAGACTCGGACATTTGGTACCACTCAGACTCGGGATTACTGGATCACAAGGACTCACAAAGATCGATTCCAATAACAACAGCAATGTAAGACATTCCACAGATCTGGCAGAGAGCGGAAGTTGCAGTGATGGTGGGCACGTGAGCCTAAGGGGAGCTCGAACCAGTCCCACGTGACATATTGAACTCGAATCAATACAATCACGAAACCTCGGCCATCCTCCGAGCTCAGGGTCGAAATCGAGCCAAAGCCATTGCTTCACTGACCGTAAGTGAATTCGCGAGGGGGCAGTTGTCCATTGATGGTTGCTTTCTTCGACAATAGCGCCCTGATCTGCGCCCGGTAGTATTAGTAGTCTGAGACCAGGATCCGAAAACCGCTTCTCCTGGTGAATTTGCGGACTTGGCTCGCAACTTAGACAGACCGTATGTGCCGATTTTTTCAAGATACCCACTCTGTGTAGACCATCTGAAAAACTGTCCGGGTGGTGCTATAGCCCATTCATTCTTGTATCTTATGGAACCACAACGGTGATACCGTGAATCGCTTTGTCCGTGACGTCACAGTTACAAACGGAGTGAGATTCCTGTGCAATCACCCTGCAGATTGTATAAAATACTTTGTCCTTCCATTTGCTCTGAACAGTGATAAATAATAGCCCTATCTACCTCAAGCGGTCAAAAGTAATGTCTGATCAAATTCATCAATGGAACACCAATCAGTTTCTTATCTCTACTGTATAACATCGGGTACCGGGCCACCTTAATGTTTTTGGCCTGGTGCTCGATACTGATACATAAAATTGGGTGGCCTATGTATTCTAATCTATGGGCAAGGATCCTATCTAAGACCTCTAGATTGTACAATAGCTGGTTGCTGCTTGTACCGAGCTCTGGAGGTCATATGGTCAGGTTGATCCAAATCAGGAAAGTATTGTCATCCGGGCCACCTCGCCCTCAGTGCAATGAGCATAGGGTGACAAATACACACCTGGCAGATGAACGATGGAACCCCACCCAATCGTCCTACCAAGTCCTAGCGCGACCCCTTGAGCCATTCTTACATATGAGCCCACTCCTCCAGCTGCCATTCCCATCCTCAATGACTGTTTTAATGTGTTTCCTGCTGTTATGCAGGAGTGATGGTCTTTCGGGAGGCTAGATGTGCTCTTATTCAAAGGATAGCTCGAATAGATTCTGTAAGTGTCCATGGTTGACGTCAGGTCCAACAAATACAAGTGTTCGGGCCTCAGAACACAAGAATTCACACGACATTGGTGGGAACACAGATTCGGACCGCAATGCCGAACGAGTCAATGGATCAGTCAACTTCAAAATTGGTACTCAGACGCTCTGAGGGTATTAGTCCCTTGAACAAATATGAAAAACTCGAAATATAGTACTGTTAGAGCGTAGGGGGCAAATGGCCCACTTCCTGATTCGGCCCACATGGTGATATCATACAGTATTTCCAGCGCAAAATGACGCAGATTTTCAGTCCATAGAGACCGAACAATGATGATATGTTTTTCGAACTCTCTGTGGAGAAACCATATATGTATTTGTTATAGGAAATCATTCGAAAAATGGACGTTAATACTTGGTATCTTTTTTTCTTCCGCACAGAGAAGGCTGAAAATCAAACTTGTTGCCTATTTTCCGTCAAGAAAGAGGTATGTTCATCTAACGCTATTGCAGAGGTGGATGAAAGTGAGTCGCAATGAGATCCAGTGATAGATAGTATCCTGAATATGATTGTAACGGATTTTCACTGCGACCGTTAGACTTACACTTGCTCTATTTTTGGAGAGGAAATCTTCTTTTGGTACAGAGTCAAGTCCGAATACACTGAGATTTGCGTCCAGGTAATCTGTGATGAATGATTTAGGCAAAAATTTTCGTGTTTTAGGACTCACTGGCGCTCGAATGTTCGGAAACAAGTCTGATTTGTCAAAACAAGCAGATTCTGCAACTTTCCGGAAGCATCTGAAGCTAAGAATCGGTCGACCGAAACCAGTTGACACCATCTTGAAGCAAGTAGCGGAGCACAAACCATCCGTGATTCTACTTAGAAAAGGAACGAAGGAGTCTTGTCCTGATCTGGAGGTCGACCTGTCTCATTTACCGGCGAGCGAGATCAGCAGACGAAGATTTGATCCGAGCAACTTCCAGGCCATTCGCGTGCAAGCGCAGAGCACGAGATCGGTGGACCAGAGTTCAAAAGATTCGCACAGGACTGTGAAGCGATGGCCGGGTTAGTTGGTCTACAATGACATCACCAAATCTGAAATCTCAACGCGATCACCTGCATTGACAGCCCTGAGGAACATGTACTGACTCATCAAAGAGATAGAATACATTTGTAGTAGGTGAGATGTAGATTGACAAGGAAAGTAGCAGTGGCTCTCTAGGATGACGTCGCGGAGTCGAAGACGCAATCACCTGACATCGACAGCAGGATCCGAGGAACATGGACGGAGACATCAGGAGAAATAGAGTGTATTGGCATATGTATGTGGGATGTAAATTGACTAGGAGAGTAGAAGTGGTTCTCTAGGGGCGGCCGCGCTCGGCAGCTGGGAGGGGGTGAATTAAGTAGTGAAAAAGAGTGTGGGGTTGATAAGGAGTGACAAGCGAGGTCAGGTCGCGAGATCTAGAATTTTCCGCCAGAAATCTGCAGCAAGGTCGGCAAGAGAAAATTGGCAACGAAAATGGAGGCTGCAGACCTTGGCGTTGTTCGCGGCGACCTTGTGTCCCTTGCCGCCGGAGATAGAGAGGCCGGAGAAGTCCCATGCGCCAGTGCAGGCGCCACAGTTCACGACGAGTCCGAGTCCGCTGGAGCCAACAGCCACCGTGGTCGCAGCGCCGTCGAAGTTGACGTTGCTTTAAAAGAGATTGTGAGCAAGTAAATGTGCCGCAGTGGAGAGACAACGCACGAGATGGGGCCGCCGGTTCCGACCTTGGGACCGTCCTCGACGGGGTAGCTCTGAGAGATGAGCACACCGAAGTCAGAGATGCCGGTCAGGACGTTGCTGAAGAGCTCGTGTCAACAGGAATTATCTTTCGAAAACAAGATTCACGCACCCCTGGTAAGTCACACCAGACACCTTGGCGTTGGTGGCGGCTTCCTGCACCTTGATGCGGATCCCGTATTTCGAGTTTGACACGTGGTTGCCGGTCGCGCGGAAGTTAGTGACCGACTTGCCCGTGGCAATCGACCCGATCGAAATTCCGTGTCCGCCTGTGCAGACGTTGTTCGAGAACGCAATGTCTGAAAATGTGCGGATAAGTGCGTGAGTGCGACAAGTTGACCGAAACGCGTACTGTTTCCAGAGTTGACAGCGACACAGTCGTCCTGGTTGTGGACCGTGCAGCCGCTCACAGTCACGTCTGACGCGCTGATGTCGAACCCGTCGGTGTTGTGGCCGAGGCTCGCACCGGCCGCTGGAATTTGCAGATGAGTCTTCGCAGAGAAGTAACCAGAGCTAGCCACTCACAGTTATCGACGGTGACGCCTTTGATGGTGCTGGCCGCGTTGGTGCCAACCGAGATGGCTTGGGCCGGAGAGTTGAGGACGGTGAACGACTCGAACGTTCCAGAGCCCTGGAGCCTGGAACTCGCGTGTCAGGAGCACGATTTCGAATCGAGCACTTCAGAACTCACTTCACGAAGGGGTGGGGCTTGAAGGAGCCGCCGTTGGTTCCCTTCCCGTCCCAGTACGAGGCGCCGTTTCCCTGTGTTCAACAGATCAGAAGGGGTGCATTCCGGAAAGCAAAGCATCGCACGTTGATTTTGTGGCCGGCGCCGTTGAAAGTGACACTCGGAGTGTTGATGATGAAAAGCGGGCCGGCAGCTGCAACGCGCAAGTCAGATCGTAAATCATCGTAACACAATGGGACACCTACTGCTGGTCTTGGAGAAGACGACATCACCGGTCATGGTGACCACTGCGCCCTTGGCTGCCGCGATCGTCACCGTCTCTGTCCATTTGTCAGCACACTGAAATATCCCGAAAGCTCGCAGGAGACGCACGACCGGCGGGAACAGTGAACGGCTCGATGGTCACCGTGGTGCAGCTCGACAAGCTCTTCGAGCTGGCGACGCTGTTGACGATGCAAGCTCCGCGCTCGGCGATCGTACCGTTGGTCGGAGCCGCTGCAGCAAACGCTGCGAGCGCGATGAACTGAACGAGAGTGGCGGTGGAAAACATGCTGTTGGATTCGGAAATCGGGAGGAAGGAAGGACTGGTGTGGAATGAAATTGATGCTGTTCTCAATTGCTGTGGACACGCTCTTATACGTGCGTCCCCAGTCCGAATCGCGGCTTGACTTCTGTGAGTATTGATTCCGTTTCCGGTGGTCCAGATAACAGGCTTGACAGGCTTCGCCAGACTCTCGTGTTCGGTCTTGAGCCCCCGATAGCATGTCACACCTGGCATCAAAGTCCTCCGACGCGGAGATAGCCTGGATGCTAATTTAGTCTCGACCCGTTGTCCTGGCGACTCTCTCTCTCTCTCCCTTGAGCAACCCATTGGTAGAACCCCGACCCCTCCAGGAGGTGTTGCGACTACAATAGAGGCGGAGCAAAGGAAAGACGTATCCACGGTGGGCTGCATCTTTCTTAAGACCAAACGCTCGGAGAACATGGAATGAGAATTCGGCTCAAGGATTGCGGTTGCTGCGTTGCGACGGCCCGCAGCGGTTTTCGGGATGTATACACGACGAGGATGGAGTTGGTTGAACCCTCAAGCTTGGAAACATTCTCACAACCTGTCAATTCGACGAAGGATATTAGTCAATGATGACGTATGGAAGATTTCGCGATAAACGGTTCTCTCCTGGTGTTACAAGTTGTTCCTGATACATAGATCACGGCTCCTACCAGGCCTAGAATCAGGAACGCATCGCATCTGGAAGGCAAGACGTTCGAGAGTTTAAAAATCGATGCCCTCGCAGCGTTCGAAATCTCGAATCCGTGCGGACGCATGCTATACGGAGGCCTGCCGGCAACATTACAGTATTTGATAGACTGAGATGACAATCATACGTCGGTTCGGAATGTACATCAGCATCATCAAACACTGACTGCGCGGCAAGCGAAACATCAACGACTGGACATGGTCAGACAAGGTCAGACACGGCGCCAAAATTTCGGGATTAATCTGTGCCATCTCGAGGAGCATTTGAGGTGTGCTGGGGAACATGACTTGGTGTGCGATGAAACCGCAGCGACTGGCAGCAACCGATCGCATCACCGCGTTCTACAGTGTCCGAGGTTTCTAACAGCCAGCAGTGATAATTGACAGCTGAGTCTCGCCTCGAGCCCGACATTTGTTCCTCTGCTTGTCCCTGCCTTGAAATACCAGCGAGCGCACGTGTTAGACACCCGGCGGCTGAGTGAAGGGTGCTCACGGCCCGCCTCAAGAATTGCGCAGTTGTACTAGCAGATTGTTTATCAGATTACTAGCAGCAAGTTCCTGAGACGGAATGGTCATGGGATGGATGGATCGGCTGGATGGTCTGACCGCTGCGCTATATCAGTCGAAACGAGAGGTGTTCGACCACTGACTGGATCTCAAACGTATGATGACTGAATTCCCTCTGGTCACAACTGTCTGTCTCAGTTTTAGAAACATTGAAAGATATCATGTTTGTTGCAATTATCAGAAGGGGCAATAGGTCCGTTAAACCGGGGTTAACTCAGACGAGTTGCACGTGACATGTTGAGTCCGGGTCCCGGATCCAGCCTCGGTCATGCTCCGAGCTCAGGGTCGAGATCGAGCCAAAAACTATTGCTTCACCACCCGTGCGTGAGATTATCCGGGTGCAGTCGTTCTTTGATTGTTGCCCTCTTCGAGAATAACAAACTGGCTTGCATGCGGCTATACTCGCAGCAGCACCTAACAGCGCGTCGATCCGTCGTTAATATCCTGACGCATGACTCGGATCATACTCGGCTCGAAATGTGCTAGTTTCTACAAGGGCCTCGATGCAAGGTGCAGCACGAGAGTCTGGCGAAGCCTGTCAAGCCTGTTATCTGGACCACCGGAAACGGAATCAATACTCACAGAAGTCAAGCCGCGATTCGGACTGGGGACGCACGTATAAGAGCGTGTCCACAGCAATTGAGAACAGCATCAATTTCATTCCACACCAGTCCTTCCTTCCTCCCGATTTCCGAATCCAACAGCATGTTTTCCACCGCCACTCTCGTTCAGTTCATCGCGCTCGCAGCGTTTGCTGCAGCGGCTCCGACCAACGGTACGATCGCCGAGCGCGGAGCTTGCATCGTCAACAGCGTCGCCAGCTCGAAGAGCTTGTCGAGCTGCACCACGGTGACCATCGAGCCGTTCACTGTTCCCGCCGGTCGTGCGTCTCCTGCGAGCTTTCGGGATATTTCAGTGTGCTGACAAATGGACAGAGACGGTGACGATCGCGGCAGCCAAGGGCGCAGTGGTCACCATGACCGGTGATGTCGTCTTCTCCAAGACCAGCAGTAGGTGTCCCATTGTGTTACGATGATTTACGATCTGACTTGCGCGTTGCAGCTGCCGGCCCGCTTTTCATCATCAACACTCCGAGTGTCACTTTCAACGGCGCCGGCCACAAAATCAACGTGCGATGCTTTGCTTTCCGGAATGCACCCCTTCTGATCTGTTGAACACAGGGAAACGGCGCCTCGTACTGGGACGGGAAGGGAACCAACGGCGGCTCCTTCAAGCCCCACCCCTTCGTGAAGTGAGTTCTGAAGTGCTCGATTCGAAATCGTGCTCCTGACACGCGAGTTCCAGGCTCCAGGGCTCTGGAACGTTCGAGTCGTTCACCGTCCTCAACTCTCCGGCCCAAGCCATCTCGGTTGGCACCAACGCGGCCAGCACCATCAAAGGCGTCACCGTCGATAACTGTGAGTGGCTAGCTCTGGTTACTTCTCTGCGAAGACTCATCTGCAAATTCCAGCGGCCGGTGCGAGCCTCGGCCACAACACCGACGGGTTCGACATCAGCGCGTCAGACGTGACTGTGAGCGGCTGCACGGTCCACAACCAGGACGACTGTGTCGCTGTCAACTCTGGAAACAGTACGCGTTTCGGTCAACTTGTCGCACTCACGCACTTATCCGCACATTTTCAGACATTGCGTTCTCGAACAACGTCTGCACAGGCGGACACGGAATTTCGATCGGGTCGATTGCCACGGGCAAGTCGGTCACTAACTTCCGCGCGACCGGCAACCACGTGTCAAACTCGAAATACGGGATCCGCATCAAGGTGCAGGAAGCCGCCACCAACGCCAAGGTGTCTGGTGTGACTTACCAGGGGTGCGTGAATCTTGTTTTCGAAAGATAATTCCTGTTGACACGAGCTCTTCAGCAACGTCCTGACCGGCATCTCTGACTTCGGTGTGCTCATCTCTCAGAGCTACCCCGTCGAGGACGGTCCCAAGGTCGGAACCGGCGGCCCCATCTCGTGCGTTGTCTCTCCACTGCGGCACATTTACTTGCTCACAATCTCTTTTAAAGCAACGTCAACTTCGACGGCGCTGCGACCACGGTGGCTGTTGGCTCCAGCGGACTCGGACTCGTCGTGAACTGTGGCGCCTGCACTGGCGCATGGGACTTCTCCGGCCTCTCTATCTCCGGCGGCAAGGGACACAAGGTCGCCGCGAACAACGCCAAGGTCTGCAGCCTCCATTTTCGTTGCCAATTTTCTCTTGCCGACCTTGCTGCAGATTTCTGGCGGAAAATTCTAGATCTCGCGACCTGACCTCGCTTGTCACTCCTTATCAACCCCACACTCTTTTTCACTACTTAATTCACCCCCTCCCAGCTGCCGAGCGCGGCCGCCCCTAGAGAACCACTTCTACTCTCCTAGTCAATTTACATCCCACATACATATGCCAATACACTCTATTTCTCCTGATGTCTCCGTCCATGTTCCTCGGATCCTGCTGTCGATGTCAGGTGATCGCGTTGAGTTTCCCAACTACGTGACGTCACTCTCGTCTAAGCAACTAAGCAACTCGTCGCAGTCCTACAGGACCAACTCTTTCTCTGCACAGAGCTCATTTTCACTATTAGCACTCAGCGGCACTTGGAGTGGGCCCATGTAGTTATACTCATATTGGCAACGTCCTTATAGGATTGCATGGCCAGATATCACTGTGCGACAGCTACGAACTCAAACTCCTGTCGAATGAACCCGGGCATCTTGTTTGTAATGAGGACCTGTTGTTCCAAATGCTCTCATCAGGAGAAAAACTCAAGTTATTCTTGGGCACATACCGGGGTGTAAATCGGACCTCGACTAGTGTCCAACTGCCAAACACCGTCTCCGTTCATCAATTCCACACCCACGCGGCCGCTATATCCACGTTTGACAAATGTAAACTTGGCAGCTTCCACGCCGTAGTTTGCAGATAGAGTCTGGAATGCTCAGTTAGCAAGATTGTAAGCGAAGCATACTGTGGGACGCGATTCAATGAATGGAACGAACTTTGGACTGGGTGACGCTCAAGGGCAAGTTGAGTCCGACGTTAGTGATATTGTATCCCGACTTGTCGTCCCCTGCCACTGACCACTGTGAAACCAATGCCAAAAACTTTGTGATGAGCATGCACGACGCGAGCGGGAAAGAGACGCACGACACCGTAGTCCCCGGGTGCGATTGTGGAGTTGCTAGTGTACAATTCTTGACCGACAGCGAGCGTGCGCAGGACGCCACGTAACAATGTCTCATGGATGATGTACCGGCCAGGAGAGATCGGAGAAGAAGACTCGTTCACATGTGCGAACTTGGCGGAATGCCCGACGACGCGGGGGGCCTCTTCCGCGTTTAGCGAGACGAACTTGAAACGCTGGGCGGAATTCCTTCCGGATCCGCAAGCCGGTGCGAGCATGATCTGGATTGAATCATCGAAGGGGATAGAGATGAGCGGATGGACGATAACGGTCGAATGGATAAACACAGACACGTTGCATGACGGGGCCTTCGTCGGGGTTGAGTGTCCACACGCGGTCGGTCCCGTCAGTAGTGCGGATCTATCAAACCCGAAGATTTAACAACATCGCGACTACTCTCGACAATGGCAAGAACTCACAATGAAGAAACCCTCCGTCTCAGTGCGCTCCATCGTAAATCCTTGCGGCTTGTAGTCGTCCGTCGTCGTGACAAATTTCTTACGAATGCATTAGAAAGAAGACACAGCGTCGCGGTGGGGAATGTTTCGTACGTTATCACCGTCTATGACGATGGAAGCGCCTTGCCCGACATTTCTGAGCCCAAAAACATTGCCCGTGTCGTCCATCGGCATCAGCTCGAACTACGAGTCGCCTCATCAGGATAGCGCTCGTGTAGAATTCGGGAGTGCCACACCGATCCGAAGGGCCCTGAGTATTCGAGGGTGCGGCTGACATAGAGCGCCTCCCCGATACGATAGGTGCGGATTTCGGCGTAGCCGTAGTCCGGGGTGACGATGCGGTACGTCCCAGGCGTCGGGGAAACGCTCGATCCCTGTGCCATATCCTTAAATTAGTATTCACACAGCAGTGGAGGGTGTGCATATGCACCCACCGCCTGGGTGGCATGCAGTCCCGGAATCGCTTGAGGATGTTGCAGATGGTTGTCCCACGAAGGAACGGCGCCATCAGTGATGAATGACAGCGCACCGAGGGTCACCGTGAGTAGCCTGGTGAACATCAATGTAATGGGGGAGGGCAAAATTGACCAGAACCGACGTGCAACCTGCGTTTATAGGGTTTCCAGACCACGCCAGTGTCATTGGCGCTGATAAAACACACGAACGACGATAGCAGCCGAAGAACTAGTGGCGTGCAGGGAAGCGAGTTCCTCGCTAGTACAGCGGCGGGGCACTCAAACATAGCACGTTTGTGGGGAAGGTAGTCCGTAGATAGACTATCTGACTAGTACGGGGCGCAGGGACTCGTGAAGGGAAGTCGTCACGAATAGATCGCGCTCTCTCAGCCCGAACGATGAACAACGAAGACCGCCGATCAATCAAAGAAAGCCGTGTAGTAGGTGAATGGACTCATCCCGACATTTGGCTGGCATTTGTACATCGTTGAACGTGGTAACACCGATGGCGAGAGTTGTGTGCGATCGAGTCGGCCGATCGAGAAGCGTGACACAGCAGCGTGCGCGGTGCTTACTTATGCTCGAGATGGCACAATTACGATGCATTGCGATATCATGGGACCTCATTGCACATACCGACGTCATCGGTAATGTTTCCGGTCATGTTTCCTTTGGATAGCTACGATGTTGGGACTAGTGTTTGTAGCATACAACGTAGCTTTACAGGAACCTCACAGATGAAATGATTATCAAGCTTCGACGGGCAAATCTCAACGTGACAGTGCGAATCAACCGGCGGAGGTAGAATAATCGATTTGATCGTGGCCAGATCCTTGAGACCAGCCAGCATGTGACTCGCGGTAAATTTGAACATGCAATTGTCTCAACTCAGCATGTGCACGGCTTTCAAGAATGTTTTGCTTCTAGAATTGATCCAAACGTGACACTCACTTCTCCGTCGAGCACATCAAGCTATTTCCTGCACCGGTTTCTCAACAGAATCTCTTGTAAGGGGGCACCCAGCGCCGCGAATGATCCTTAGCTGGCCAGTCTATCTCATTTTTCCAGAATGACAAACATTAGCAAACTGGAACATTTGGCTGAGCTTGGTCACTCTCTAGGTCAAAATTTGCTCTTAATCCGTACTCTGCGACAATAGTTTTCGATACAACATCTGAACCCTACCCTAATGCCCGAAAAAGTAATTACCTGAGACTGCAAAGTGACACTCTCTTGGAAAGAAATGTAAGAGTAAACGCGGAGGTCATCGGTGGAATAACGTGTGTTCGTGATAGAAAATCTGACTAGGCAAGTATAAGTCGCTCTCTAGGAGCGATTTTAGAATCACAGCTTGGATGGTACAAGAGAATCGACCGCCGTGCTCGGCGACCATGCAGATTAATTTAAACAACGGAAACGAGTGTGGGGTGCAAAGGCAATAATGTTATTTTGCGAGAGTTTAGAATTTTCCGCCGGTAATCTATAGCAAGGTCAACGAACAGAAAGCTTCAGCAAAAGTGAAAGCCACGGACCTTGGCGTTGTTAGCGGCGATCTTGTGGCCCGTGCCGCCGGTGATGGCGAGGCTGGAGAAGTCCCAGTTGCCGGAGCAGGCACCGCAGTTGACGACGAGCCCGAGGGCGCTGGAGCCAACGGCAACCGTGGTCGCAGCGCCGTTGAAGTTGACGTTGCTAAACCCGATGGTCAATCACGAAATCTCATGTATATGCGGAGGCTACGCACGAGATAGGGCCGCCGGTCCCGACCTTGGGGCCGTCCTCGACGGGGTAGCTCTGGGAGATGAGCACACCGAAGTCAGAGATGCCGGTCAGGATGTTGCTAAATAGATCGTGTCAACTCGGACGATCAACCATGCAACGGATGAACGCACCCCTGGTAAGTCACGCCGGAGACCTTGGCGTTGGTGGCAGCCTGTTGGACCTTGATGCGGATACCGTACTTGGAGTTCGAGACATGGTTGCCGATGGCGCGGAAGTTGGTGACCGACTTGCCAGTGGCGATGGACCCGATGGAAATTCCGTGACCACCAGTGCAGATGTTGTTCAAGAAGGCCACGTCTGAGGTAAAATCATATGAGTGAATGTGCTTGCCTCGACAGTAAGATACGCACTGTTTCCAGAGTTGACAGCGACACAGTCGTCCTGGTTGTGGACCGTGCATCCGCTCACAGTCACGTCCGATGCACTGATGTCGAACCCGTCGGTGTTGTGGCCAAGGCTTGCACCGGCCGCTGGAGTTCATGGATGAGATTTTGAACGAAGATAATGGAAACCCTCACAGTTGTCGACCGTGACACCTTTGATGGTGCTGAGTGCGGTGGTTCCAACAGAGATGGCTTGGGCGGGGGAGTTGAGGACGGTGAACGATTCGAATGTTCCCGAGCCCTGGAGCCTGGGGATCGCATGTCAGCAACGAATGGATGTCTCAGTAAGTCGGGACTCACTTCACGAAGGGGTGGGGCTTGAAGGAACCCCCGTTCGTGCCCTGACCGTCCCAGTACAAGCCACCATTTCCCTACGATCACCGCATCAGCTGGTGTGTTACAGCAGATAGGAGAATGTCTACATTGATTCTGTGACCGGCGCCGTTAAAGGTCACACCCGGGGTGTTGATGATGAAGAGCGGGCCGGGGGCTGTAGCGCACACATCAGAACTACACATATTTTATATCAATCGGAGGCGGCCTACTGGTGGTCTTCGAGAAGACGACGTCGCCGGTCATGGTGACTACGGCGCCCTGAGCTGCCGCGATCGTCACGGTTTCTTTCCACTTGTCAGCCAAATTGAAGATTCAGAGCAGCTGAAAGCGACGCACGACCAGCGGGGACGGTGAAGGGCTGGATGGTAACTGTGGTGCAGCCCGACAAGCTCTTCGAGCTGGCGACGCTGTTGACGATGCAAGCTGCACGTTCAGCGATCGTACCGTTGGTGGGGGCGGCTGCAGCGAAAGCGGCGAGCGCGATGAACTGAACGAGAGTGGTCATGGAAAGCATGGTGTGAGGAATCGGCGGACAAGGGAGAGAAGGAGTGAAATGAGATGGAATTGGTGCTAGACCCAAACGCTGTCGACACTCTCTTATACCATCTTGAATCAGCCTCGCGACTCGAGTATTGGTCCCGACTATAGTGGCCCGGATAATATATTTGTCACGTTCGCCAAACGCTCGTGGTCGATCGCGGACAGTCGGACACTCAAGATAATGCCACACGGTACACACCTCGCATCTCGACCTCTTTCGACGCGGAAATAAACTAGACGCCGATCTGGTCGAGGCCTGTCGTCCTGGAGATGTGTTTTCAGTCGGACAAATCCGTTGGTAGCAAAGAGACTCCTGAGACAGGCCTTGCGCCTAAAATAGACTTGGGGCAAGTCAAGAGCCGTTCTCAGAGTGGCCTGCAGTCATCTACGATGAGCGGGGCTGAAGGACATGGAATGAGGAATCCAAAGTCATGAGTTAAGGCGTGTGCGTCGCATCGGCCCGGTAGCGTGTTTCGGGATATATACACGACATGGGCATTCGAGGGGTGGGTGATCTCTCAATCTTTGAAGCGTTCCCACGATCTGTCCACCCCGAAGCATTTTAGTGGTTGATGACGTGGGTAAATTACGGCAACCAATATTCACTGTGTTACAACTTACAAAGTCTCCTCAGGCCGTCGACCACAGCCTCTTTATGGGCCAAGAGGTCACTCGATAACACCTTGAGGATTGGAGGAATCAATCGAGCATCAAAGATCACGAATCCGTGTGGGTGCAAGATAGACTTAGATAGGCTCAGATGGCAATCATATCCTTGTCACTTTCACCGATTAGGGATTCAGCATCAAAATCATTCAAAACACTGCAGCCCAGAGAGAAAGCTGAGACGCTTCCTCACAACAACTAAAGGGTAACACACCGTCGGCCTCGAGCGGTAGGTGTCATACGAGGAACACTGAGATGCGGGGAGAAGACAGTTCTGAAATACGAATCGACGCGCAGATGCGGCAACCGATCGCATCAGAACGCTTTACCGCGTCCCGGGCTATTAATAGCTTCACTCAATTGCTAATTGCTTGGTCGCAACACCTGACACTCGTTGCTCACCTGAGCTCGCGTTGAAATGATAATAACAGCGAGCAGGCTTTCTCGACACGCTGCCGCTGACTCGAGTCTAGGATCGCGGCTGACTCGAGTCCAGAAAAGTCTGCCACTTTCACTGCCACGCAAGTTATGTGCGCCATGGCCCCAAGAAGAGAGTGGTCATCGGATGGTCCCCAACGAGCTCTCGGCTCGACGCACTCTCCGATGGAAGGTTGATCCCTCTCTCTCAGTCCGCTTGAAAGCGGTATTTCTGATTTGGGAGCGGGAGATTCGGATACCTGGTGCGGTTCATGCTCACTATCGCTGGAGGACATATACTTACCCAAGCAGATCCCAATTTTACCGACGTCGAACGATTACAGAGGTCTTACAGCTTGGGCTAGGCACTTGAGCTCGTTACGCAGTTCTAACAGGTCGCACGGGACATATCGAAACAGGTCACTGCAACCACTGGACATCGGTCCTCTTCGCGACTCAAGGGTCAAGCTCGAGTCGAAGCCGTCTTATTACCGACCGTGAGTAAGCCCGGGCGGGTACAGTCTTCTTTCGATTGTTTACTGTCGTGCTCTGCAGGGGATTGAGCACGGGATTGCGTCCGCTGCTTCTCGCCGGTCGGACATTGCCTCACAGCGCACCCACTCGACGCCTCGTGGACTTGCTGTCTTGTGAATCGAGTCCTGTTCGGGCCGAAAGAAGCTTGGAATCTTTCCTCAAGCTGTGGAACTCCTCTGGACTACAATACTTCTTGCGGCGCTCTTAATCATCCATTCGCGCTTCTCTCCCAGGTGGGCTAGATTTATCTGACCATGATCGCCAGCGCCTTTGATGTTCTGGTCTCAAGCCGCCAATGTGCACAGTCCTCGAGAGGTTATCGTAAACGAGCACCTTGTGGTCTCTTTTGACGATGCTACGGCACTCCTCGCTTTGTCGAACACGGACTAAATTTCCGCACTATTGCTCGCTTCCTGTCGCTAGTCGCTAGTCTCCGTCCTCTTCCTTTGTTCTGCTTCGCGTCTACCACTGTCTTGGATAAGGTCCTAATCCGCTGCAGATGTGAACGCGTGATACTCGAAGGTGAAGGTGCGTTGATGTATCTTAGCCCTTGCCACATTTCTCGCTGTCTTCCTTGCAGCATCTAGCCCTGTTTCAGCTTCTCATGGAAAAACGGGCGCTTATCTGGAGGTAAACGCCTCGTTGTTCACCGCCTTGTCAGTTTTATGACGCCGGTTAAATAGCTATGGCAGAGTCATTCAAACAAGGCTGCTATCGATGGAGCCGGCGATCAAATGACGAGCCCAAGACACAAAAGCAGATCTGGAAAAAAATATGAAATACGACATTTGCGGCATGTTGAATACCGATTACGGGCAGAACCACTTCGAGTCTGAGTGCGCTTGTAGTGCGAATCGAACGTGACACATCAAGCCGCGCCAGTGGCGCCATCAAGGTCATTAACGGTTGAAAAACTAAATCGAAAAAGGTCTAGGAGCCCTACTTACAGCTATTTGCAAAAGAAATGACACTCTCGTGATGCGCAAACACTTTCGTCCGAATATATACATGGCGCTGTATCTCGCGAACCGGCGCACCTTTTGGCATAAAAATAAGAGCGTTGGAATCGCACGGAGGGCCCCATTCCGTACATGCATATTCTTCTATAAAATTCCACGTTCGAAATTTTGACGTTCTGCGGAGCTCCGATTGAGAGCTGTCAACGTCCGGTGTGTGTTTCCTTACTCGTCTCCCACTGCCACACGCCCCGTGCCATCGCGCCGTGCCCTCGCCTTGCGTCGCCCCGTGTCGCGTCGGGAGATCCCAAGGACACGGCATATCACTTAGAGGAACACCGAGAGGAATCAGGGCATTGGAAAGGGACAGTGTGTGGACTGACACGTTGGCTATGTCCGTGTATGCTGACCGTGGATAGCACCGCGTACCACAATGCCCCCACCCGTGGGCGCAAAGCACTTCTCCCGCCAGGAAAAGGAGCTAGCTCTGCGTTCTCGGCAGGAAGGCATGCTCACTGTAGCCCAGATCCTCCGGCTCTTCCAAATGTCGCGCTCGACGTTCCGCCGCATCGAACGAAACTGGCGCCTGTATCACGATGTTGTTCCACCTTACCGTCCCCATTCGCACATAGGACGACCCCGCCTTCTCAACTACAATGACCTCACCTTCATTCTCGCACTTGTAGCTCAGAACCCTGCGTGGTTTCTTACAGAGCTGCAGGGACTGCTCAAACACAACCGTGTTGTGTCAGTGCACTTCACCACCATTCATCGCGCACTGGAGAGGGCTGGGGTGTCTCGCAAGAAGCTCAAGGTGATTGCCTGTGAGCGAAACGAAGACGTGCGCAACGACTATGTGCGCAAAATCTCCCAGTACCCACCGGACTACCTTGGATTCATTGATGAAACCTCCAAGAATGACAAGACCCCTGCACGACGGTATGGTCGGTCAAGGCGGAATCGGCGCGCTGTACAGGCACAGCGCTTTGTGCGCGGGATCCGTCTGTCGGCAGTGGGATTGCTCACTGCGAGGGGGATGGAGGCAGCAAAGGTGGTTGAGGGCTCGTTTCATCGTGTTGACTATCTCGACTTTCTGCAAAATCATGTTGTAAGTGTTCATTCAGTGTCCTTCACAGGCTCATGTCTTGGTAGATGCCTCTAACGATGCCGTACCCAGGACGTCTTAGTGTACTTGTCATGGACAATGCAAAAATCCATCACGGGGACGAGATACAGGCCTTGTGTGATCAACACGGTATGTCCATCTTTAGCCTCCGTGCATAACTCATGGCATACCTAGGTGTCCGCTTAGTTTATCTGCCACCGTACTCCCCTGACCTCAACCCAATTGAAGAAGCGTTTTCCCAGATCAAAGCCTGGATTCGACGCAATAACGACCTCTTTGACTATCCTCGACATGTTCCCGCTCAGGCTCGGATGTTTGACATGCTTGAAGCCATGAACATCGTCACGGAGTTTGATGCACTCGGGTACTTCATACATGCAGGCTACTTTTAGTACACTGTCTTCAGTACCTCATTGAACAATGTATCTGATTCCGTGGGCAACAACAGCAGTCATGATCATGAGTCTAAAAGTAAAGTAGCAAAGCATGAGTACAGTAGCAGTAGCAAGCGAGATTACAGTAACGGTAACAGTAGCAAAGCGAGATTATAGCAGCAGTAGTAAAGCATGGATACAGTAGGAGTAAGTACTGGTCAATCTGCGACCGATGCGGCAGAGACATGTATAGTAGCCGTAAGTAAGTAGTGAAGCAGGGACAGACAGCACAGGGGAGTTCATCCATCAGCTTGGAGCATTGCCCACTGAGTGATGCGAGCACGAATGGTGTTGATCTGGCCAAAAGAGAACTGCATCTTCTCCATTTGATCCGTGCTGGTGAAGGCAAAGCCGCTTGTATCGTCGAAGTCATTCTCCTCAAACTTGGCACGAATCCGATCAGAGAGCTCAAACTTTTGACAGAAGGTGGCGATAGACAACAGGGGACCGGGGCCGAGATGCGACGGAATAAGACAATTCGTCTCAAGAGGAGCAGATGGACCTATTGGCAGGGTCGTGCGTACACCATTACCCCCGAGGAACTGGGCAATCTCTGGTGGGAACACAATTGTGACTGGCGGGGCTGTCGGGACCGTCATCTTCTTGTTTGTCAAGGCTTCCCGACGTGAACGCAGGTCGTCCGGATAGCCGTGACCACCCGCATGCAGGGCGTCAAACAGTGGTGAGTTTGGTGGCATATCCCGAGTCGAAACATGTACACCCTTGAGCTGGAAGCACAATCAACATGTAAGGCGGGAGTATACAGTGAAGAACGCACATTGCCTGCGCCCCAGCAGCCAAACTGTGCATGCGAGAGCGGGAAATGCGGCTTGCTGGGATCACGCTTATCGTAGAAGCAGTGTGTGACCCCACATTTCTCAGGTGTAGGACATGTCCAGAGTGTCTTGAGGTCACCGATCTCGTTGACAAGTGCCATATTTGAAGGCAGGATGGTCTTGGCATTTGGAGCCTCATAAGCGTCAGCGAAGAGCTGGGGGTAGTGTCAAAGTAGAATGTACCTGGCTCCCAGATGCTTTCTTTGATTTACTCTTCTTCGAGGACTGTTCCTCTGAGCTCGAGTTCCCATTGTTCTTCGATGGCTAATGACAGTATGAGACGGGTCATGAAGAGTTGAGTGCTCAAGCCTCACCTTCTTCGATGCAGAGATCCTGATCTCTGTCGGCTTCTCCTTCGGCTTCTCGCACACAAAATCCACCAGCTCTTGGAATGCTTTCAGGCTATCAAGCTTCCGAGGGGTTGAGGCCACACGGTGGTATGGGATGGTGTATGTACAGTAATAGTCCTGCAGCTTGGCGTCCTCATCTTCAAAGTTCTCGACTATGCACGCTTGCAGGTCCTCCTGAATAGTGGGCCAGGTGTCGGAGGTATCTCCGCGAAACGATCCAGTGAGGAAGGGCTTTGGCGTCTTGTTCTTCATCTGCGCCTCGTGGAAGCAAAGCACTGTGAACTCGATCTTGACAACTGCCAGCATTGTGGTGAGCGACAGCAGCAGAGAGAGTAGGAGAACGCACCTGGAAGGTTGTCATTTGGGTCATCTTCATTGTCAGCCAAGCTGCCATTGTCCGAGTCGAGTTCGTCTATGCCCTCTTCGTCTGCATCTCCATCTTCGTCCTCGTCATCTGCGTCGCTCTCAGTTTTCCTGCTTGCTGCAGGTGTGGGCCTTGAAAAGCTTTGAGCGGGAGACGGCGAGAGGATGATGAATTCTGACGAGAATGACTGGGGACAGAATTTGGTTTGGGCCCTGGGGGAGGCGGGAGTGCGATCGAGAGTGACAATAGATGTCTCACGCGTGAGGCGTTTGCGCTTGACTACCACGCGAATTGGGGACGACGGGCTCAGTGGGAAGTGCAGGTCAGGGCTAAGCTCTCGGGGTTGAGGTTGCGCTTGAGCTGCCTTCTTCCTTGTGGCGACAGTGCCCGGCGGCTTGGGGCCTTTGCGCTTTCCGGTCACCGTTTTTGTCATGTCGAAGCTGGCGAGCAGGGAGTAAGCATATATCCATGTAAGTGTGCGTAGACATACATCCTGGTTTTGCCCTCCGACCTGATCCCTCTATCTAAGGTCCTCGACCGTGGTGATGCGACACTGGCCGTGGTGATACTCCCGACGCGACACGGGGCGACGCAAGGCGAGGGCACGGCGCGATGGCACGGGGCGTGTGGCAGTGGGAGACGAGTAAGGAAACACACACCGGACGTTGACAGCTCTCAATCGGAGCTCCGCAGAACGTCAAAATTTCGAACGTGGAATTTTATAGAAGAATATGCATGTACGGAATGGGGCCCTCCGTGCGATTCCAACGCTCTTATTTTTATGCCAAAAGGTGCGCCGGTTCGCGAGATACAGCGCCATGTATATATTCGGACGAAAGTGTTTGTGCATCACGAGAGTGTCATTTCTTTTGCAAATAGCTGTAATCAAAGGCGGGGCAGGCCCGGCAGGGGCAATAGAAACTGTCACCAAGCAAAGGAGTCCGTTCTCCGTGCCGAAGGCCGTTGGGGTGCCGCATTTCATAAAAACAGGGTGCACGCAACTGTTACTTTCACACATGGACGCCTTGTCCTCAACACGGCGAGCGAGCCACCTTGGAATCCCTCAGAGCGCTAGACCACATCCCCTGCACCGGCACCAAAGCGCAACGGTGGCAGCCCGTCCCCGTCGGTCGTCGCCACTCGCCGGACCGGCTTTTTCAAGTGAGAACGGCGAGCCTCCCGGCGACGACGACGATGCCCGCAGCACAAAGGGGAAGGACAAGGCGTCCGTGCGCCTCTCCCCCGCTTCCGCACCCGCCTCCCGCTCTCCGTCTCTTCTATCGCTGCACTCCCTCGAGGGGCCACAGGCACCCGTACCCCGCACCCGCAGAATGTCACTCGTCCAGCCGCGCCCGCTGTCATCCATCCTGAATACCGACGCCGCGCCCTACCCGCCCTCCCCCAGGCTCGATCGCACCTCGCCCTCCGCGTTCAGGCGTAAAAGCTACGGCCCGGGCCCCTCGCCTGCGCTCCCCCCATCGGGCTCAGACAACTGGCTCACCGCCGAGCCCACGCCACGGTTCTCGCGCCTCAGCCTGGGCGCCGGCGTTGTCATGCCCGTGCGCAAGGCGGATTCCGCCGCCGCCGCACGCCACGCCACGCGCCGCCGGAGCAGCAGCGCGACGTCGGACTCGCGGAGCGTCAGGAGCGTCGCGAGCAGCGTGCCCAGCCTCGGCGGCAGCTCGGTCGTCACCGCGAGCTCGTCGTACAGCCCCAGCGGGACGATGCGGCCTGATACCCCCACCAGCCTCCATGGAGCGGCTGGGGTCGCATGCCCGGTCGTGCGCGCGGGAGACGAAACGCCGGACGTTGGTGCCCCTGGATCCGCACCAGTGGACCGCAGTGCGGCGACGAAAGCCCGTAAAAACGTGTTCCGGAGATGGTGGAAGCGTGTTAGAGGCAGAGACTGATGCGATGGACAATCTCCGCACCCCCCAGCACTCTTTAGATGATCGGACTTCATAGAGATACCCCACCAACACCGTTGCGACGGATGTACCATACTGCAGTGTAATAGTACGCACTTTTAATCTTCCCAATCCTGTGCATGCGTGGAAGGACTGAATGAGTGAACGCGAAAACCAACAATGATTGCAGCCAGGATGCCGACTGATGAGGATCAGACGTAGCAGCGCAGCGAGGTCTTGCCTGCCAAAAATTCAGCGCGGAATCTTTACTCAGTTCATTCGTATTCATGTCAGTGAGACCTAGCTCTGCGCTATTGGGCATGTAAAACAAATCATACATCCATTCGAGTACAAGATGTACTTGCGGACGATACGTAGCTGTGTGATACTAGGCGTGTGGTGGTGTGGAAATCGAGTGCCTCCACGGGGCCAGACAACAAGTGGAAGTAGTCATGCAAACATAGGAAAGACGAGAGATAGAGAGAGAGAAAACAAGAGACGGGTGGTGGATACATGGGCTTAGGGTACAATTTAGATGACGATAGCTCCGACCATGATGGCGAGAGCACCGAGTAAGGAACCTGATACCCCACTGCGGAGGGAGAGGGCAGCGCTATTTCCACTAGCAGAGGGAGTGGCGGCAGCCGAAGTGGCTGTCGAGGCCGCGTCTGTAGACGTGGTCACAGATGTACTGAAGCCAGTCGGGGTGCTGGTCGCCCTGATGTATGTGCGCCTGTGAGCATGGTCCGCAGAGTAAGGTAGAGGAAACTCACGTCGGGGTGGAGAGGACGGGATCCGGGGTAGTCGACGGGAACACGGTCGTCGTAAGCGAAGTCGCCTTGACGCTGATTGAGGCGACCGAGTCCGCAGCAGCGATGGAGAAAGGCTTGCTAGCAGCATATATCGTGTCAATGCTGGAGATGTCCACAAGAATGATGTAGTAGCCGTCACTGGAGTATGTGTCAGCGGAGATATAGCCTGTAAGGACACCGGACGCACGCAGCGGCCACGGTCCCCAACGGGACGTTCACGCTCAGCTGGGACGTGGGGATGGCATTACCAATGGCAATGGCGTTGTTCTAGAACGCGCATTCTCAGTAAGGGAAACGCGAAGGAGAGAAGAAGAGAAGCACGAGATCAGACGGATGCACGAGCTCAATAGAGACCGAGGGCCTGACGCGGATGAGCACGAGAGCGAGCAGGCTGCAGGGAAGGGAGGGGAACGCACGGGTCGCTGGGGCCAGTGGTCCAGGTGACGGTGACGTTTCCGTTGACGACAGCATCACCGGTGACGGAAACCAGCTTGAGAGCGGAGGCGTACGAAGCCAGGGCAAAAAGAGAGCTGCGAAAGAGGAAAATTAGATTAGGCTCCCAGCGAAGCGGGGGAATGATCGACGCACAAGACTTTGAGAGACCCGAGCATTTTGGGTGGGAGTGAACCTAGGGGACGAGAATCCAAAAGAGTGGAAGTGAGAGCGAAGGGAGAGCGAGGGCGGCCGAATGGAAACGATCGGCCTAGAGCGTGGGAAGGAAGGCAAGAAGGAAGGAAAATGCATGTGCCTTGATCAGCAGGCCTCACGTCAACCTCGTATTGACATTCACCACGTTTGAGAACTTTGAGTCAAATTAAAGTTAATCGAAGACTAGCAGTGGTACAAAAAGCAAAAGACAATTCAAATTCATGTCGCAGAAAGTTTTTGAGTTACGATGTCGAACTCGGTTCGGGCTTCAGCAATGATTTCTGCAGACTGACCGTTAGCCAGTGCATGGATATAAGCAGAGCTCACTCACAGTGGTTCTGGATGCGGATGGGTTCCAGTTTGGCCTGGTTCGCCTTGAATACGGCCAAGACGTTGACCCGAAGGTCTTCATCATCACCGCAGTCGCAGCCCTCTCCGTCCGACAGCGCACCGGTCAGCGAGCCGATGAGATCCTGGACGGCACCGAGAATGTCTCCAAGAAGGTTGTCCCCGCAAGTTCCACTCAAGCCAGAGAACTGGCCGAGCAAACCCGCGACATCGGACAACAACCCGCCGTCACCGCCCAGAAGACCACCCAACAGACCATCTGGACCAAGGAGAGTGTCGAGCAAACCATTGATCAGTCCACCCAGGAGGCCGTTATCACCGAGCAGGCCACCGAGGAGCCCGCTATCATCACCGCAGCCGGAATCGCAGCCAGAGTCGTCGTCGTCCCCGCCACCCAAGAGCCCGCCCAGCAAGTCGCCGCCGAGAAGGCCCGAGAGCAGGCCGTCGTGACCGCCCAAGATGCCCAACAGCCCATCGCCGCCGCCGCCACCCAAGAGACCGCCAAGTAGTCCCCCGAGCAGACCATCTTCCTCTTTCGGCCCGAGCTTGCGAATGACACCCATGACGTGCTGGGCCGCCTTGATAACGTGGGGAGTGGTGCCGTTGACAGGCAGCTGGCTCGTGAGGTTGTTGAGACGGGCAAGGTGTGCCACGACGATCGACGCGTGCGAGCTCATGTTCGCGACGGTCACGTTGGAGTTTTTGTGCGCCTGTGGATAGCAGTCAAAACAGGGCGGAAACAAGCGAACAACAACCCGCACCAAGCTCTGCAGGATGGTTCTACCGAGCACAGGCTGAGGCGAACGCGTTGAGCAGACAACATCAGATGAAATCTCTGCGCTTACAGGCGAAGGTGCAGCGAAGACGCCAGCGACGGTGGACGCGAGAACAACGAAAGCAGAGATGCGCATTGTGCAGGATGAGAAGACGATGAGTGCTCTGACTGGGTCGGGTGTTGTAGACGACTTGTCCAGCTTCAGCTATCCACCGTAGCTTTTATACCGTCCCGCCTCTTCGTCGCCGCACGCGGTCCTTGTTGGCGCCCGATTCTTCTTCCGCCCTCTCATAGCCCAAGAAAAGAAATACGCCAACTCAAAAACGAACGGACGGGCCTAGCCAGTGTGGTAGCATGCGGTGCCCCAATTCAGTGTGCGTCTTTTCACCTGGTCGAAACGCGACGAAGGGGTAGGGGGAGGACGACCAGGACGCCCTGTCCCTGGACAGATGTCGGGGGAGCGGTCCAGACCGATCGGTGGCTTCGGGACCTTGCTACGGTCCGACATAGGCTGAGATGCAGTTACAGAACAGGAAAAAGAGGTTTCCTAATTGTAGGACAGCGAGTACACGAGAGCGGCCGCGACTGAGGGGGACAAACGAGACCTTCAGGCGACGGCCCGACTTTCCCGAGGCCGTCGATGAGGTCATCATCTGATTCATCACGCACTGGTCAGCAAACACCCGATCATTCATAATTATTAAGTATACTGTACATAGTTCCGCATTATCATTTCAGCGAGCTAGTATAGAATGGTAGTTGAATGGAGCTGCAACGACCGAATCAATTTCACCACCAGCCGGAATACGGCTCCACCTCGTCTAGTTTCGTTGGTGGCGCTGGGACAGGAAGGAGCGGCTCTCGCTCAAGAGTCAACGCATCCAAGCGTAGATTCAGCCTCACTCCAACCACGCAGTTGATACTCCAGCATAGACTGAAAGGCGTTCCAGCAAAAGACAATCAGGTGAGACGGGAAACCACTTGCACTACAGTTGCGACCGATTGTCCGGGCTGACGGAGAGATCAATACTGCGCTTTGCGGAGCGGGGAATACCGCACATTCATCGTGATGGCACTAATCATATACAGCATGCGCAGACCGAATATGGCCTATGCAGTTATTTACCATGCCATCCGATTGAACCCGTGAGCGCGATACATACCACGAGAAAGGGCACGCCATCCTTCCGCAGCGTCGTCTTCATCTCGCTGTTGCTCCTCCGCGGCTGAGCGAGCGTATTGTAGATCATCAACATCACCACAGAAACATCGCAGCCCGTCTGAAATCGCGTCAGAGCGGGGCTCGGGAACTGATACAGCCAACACACCTGGATGCCGAAAACGATAACCAAAACCCGAGGAGTGGCCGCCAGCAGACACACTCGGAAGAATGGAGAATAGAGAAAGGAGCCTAGATCCGTAGTCACTGGCTGCGGAGTACGGGTATGAACAGTAGCGTACGTTGCAGATTGGAAACGCTCAAGATACCTACAATCAGGACGGATAGGATGCTGAAGACAAAGAGAAGCATGAGCAATCGCGAAATGACGACCGTCCCCTCATAAAGCTTGTGCATGCGGAGTATGGTCACAGCTGCAGGGAACAATCAGACGCCTATAAGACATTGCTGAAGAAATACGGGCCGTGGGACGTAGCCGAGAAAGTGATCAGCACGGTGCCAAAGTACCATAGGAAAGCGTGGCAGCTGCAGGTACATTCTCATCTCCAATCGCGAATTCATTCAAAGCAAAGCGCACCCCTGTCAAGTGTCAATGCAAGTCGGCTAGAATCAATCGAAACAGACGCACAGATGTGGTCAGTTGAGATATCTGACCGCTGAAAGCTGCGCAATACCGGTTTGCATGAGAGTGGAAGGTGCACTGCGATAGGAACTTACCCGCTACCGTAAGCGCGACGACCGACTCCACAAGGTAACGATTTATCCCGAACGCGACCTTGCGCCATGTGCTCATTGCCTTGTTTCTCCAGATGACCCGCAGCTCCTCTTCGAATGTCACGATGTGCTCGCAGACCAAGATGGCAAGGCCGCATACTGTTACGGAAAGTGAGGCGCGAAGAATCCAGCAGGCGTTGCACAGACTGACCGCTGATATATCGAAGGACAAGGATGGTGTCGGCAATCTCAGCCAGTGAGGCCATGGTAGGCGAAGAAGGGGCGATGATGACACAGCCGGAGACGTATTAGTGGTGGTATAAGAAAGAAGAGTCCCTCTAACGTGACTGCTTCGATCTCCGCAAACTATATTCTCGGAACACTTAGCAGTGGCGACCGGCAGTCTTCAGGACTCCCCAAACTCCGGCCACAGCGGTTCAAACCTTCCTTTCCGGGTGATAGCCGAGTGCAAAATAGCTAGGTCGTTGAGAAAGCGGGGATGCAGAATTGATGAGGCTTCATACCAGGACCGACAGATAAGTCCCAGTTTTTTAGTTTGAAATCTTGATACCTAGTTCAGTGGACTGGATGCGCAGGACAGCCAGGTGGGACAAGGTGCTTGAACGGAAAAGCGAACCCCGGACGCTTCCATCGGCAAAGCATGTTTCACGGATGACAGGACCTGACACCCATTGGCACCTGTCAAGATATATGCACGGTTCGGGAAATCCCCGAAAAAGCTTAGAAACGGACACGGCTGTCGGCACTGGAGATTCGTCCGAAATGTGTATAATTTCTCATGCAGACCACCGACAGATAGTGCGTCATCAAAGATTCTCGGAAAGATTGGTGAGGAGCAAGATCGCGACAGTATATTGACCTGGTTCTTACTTTTCAAACAATCCCCCCGATCATCGTCGACAACCTTGCCTGACTCTTGCCTAATTCTTTCTAACGCTTTCCCGAACATACTCAACCGGCATATGCTGAGCTGCAGGAACAGAACGGGACAGCGAGTTTCTTGAATTGAGGAATGAGAGTGCTCGAGAGAGGCCGAGACTGGAGGAAGGAAATGAGACATTCGGGCGACGGTCCGATCTTTCCACCGTGGCAAACAGTCGGTGATGTCATCGGTGCGCATTTGATCAACATCAAACGCCGGATCATTCCATGCATATCAATCGCTGTCATTATCGTTACAGCAAGCTGGTATAAAATGGGAAACAAATGAAGCTACAACGAACGAATTAACGTCGCCACCACCTGGAACATGGCTGCACCTCCTCTGGTATAATTCGTGGTGCTGGAACCGGGAGAAGAGGGTCTCGCTCAAGAGTCAACGCATCCAAGCGCAGATTCAGCCTCAGCCCAACCACACAGTTGATGCTCCAGCATATGCTGGAAAACACCTCAGCACAAAACGGTCAGATAAGATAGGAAGTCACTTGCACTACAGTTGCGACCGATTGTCCGGGCTGACGGAGAGATCAATATTGTGCTTTGCGGAGCGGGGAATATCGCACATTCATCGTGATGGCACTGATGGTATAGAGCATGCGCAGACCGAATATGGCCTACGTGATTATGTACCCTGCCATCCAATCACAGTTGTGAGTGCGACACGTACCACGAGAAAGGGCACGCCATCTTTCCGCAGCGTCGTCTTCATATCGGTGTCACTCCTCCGCGGCTGATCGAGCGCATTGTAGATCATTAAAATCACAACGGAAATATCACAGCTTGTCTTAAATCGTCTGTGAGGGGGGGCTCAAGAACTGACACAGCATACACACCTGGATAGCGAAAACAGCAATCAAAACCCGGGGAGTGGCCGCCAGCAGACACACTCTGAAAAGGGGAGAATAGAGAACAGAGCCTGGATTCGCAGTCACTGGCTGCAGGATTGCCGACATAAACAAGAACGCACTTTGCAGATCGGAGATGCTCACTATACCGATGATCAGGACAGATAGGATACTGAACAGAAAGACAAGCATCAGCAGTCGCGAAATGAGGACCGTTCCCTCATAAAGCTTGTGCATTCGGAGTATGGTCACAGCTGCAGGAAACAATCAGACGCCCATAAGACATGACCAGGGGAAGACGGGCCGTGAGACGTAGCCGAGAACGTGATCAACGTAGCGCCAAAGTACGAAAGGAAGGCGTGGCAACTGCGGGCACAGCTCATTTCCAATGGCGACCTCATTCAACAGCAAGGCTCACCCCTGCCGCCGCGAGTCAATCTCAGTCGGAGACAATCAATTGAAACAGACGCACGGACGTCGTCATCTGCCGTATTTCACCACTGAAAGCTGAGAGATATGAGTGTACATCAGAATGGAAGTTGCACGCGATAGGGACTCACCCGCTACCGTGAGCGCGATAACCGACTCCACAAGGTAACGGTTTATGCCGAACGCGACCTTGGACCACATGCTGGTCTCCTTGTTCCTCCAGATGACCCGCAGCTCCTCCTTGAATGTCATGATGTGCTCGCAGACTAAGACTGTCAGCCCGCAGACTGGTCCGGGACGTGAGGCGTTCTGGCAGGATCGAGGGGGCGGCCGAGAGACTGACCACTGATGTATCGAAGGAGAAGGATGGTGTCTACGATCTCAGCCAGTGAGGCCATGGCAGGCGGAGAAGGGGCGAAGGTGACGCGTTCGCCTCCCAGTCGGAGAGTGCGTGGTATAAGAAAGAAGAGTCGGTCGAACACGACCGCGTCGATCTGCGCCAACCATGTCCTCGGAGCACTTAGCGGTGGCGACCGGCAGTCCTCAAGACTCCCAAATTCCCGCCACAGTGGTTCCAACCTTCCTTTCAGAAATGATAGCCGAGTGCAAAATAGCTAGGTCATTGAGAAAGTGGGATGCAGCATGGATAGGCTTGATGAGAGGATGGGCAGAGAGTTTCCAGTCTGAGCTTGATATATCGATACCAGTTAAGTAGACGGAATGTGCTAGACAGTCAAGTGGGACGAGATTTGAACGGAAAAGCTGATCCAAGTCAATGCTAGTCGGGAAGCATGTTCGTAGTGCAGGAGCTGACATCCATTGATAATACCTGTCACAATACCGTATGCACTATTTGGTAATTTCCGTAAGTGCTTAGAAACGGACACAGCTACCGAGACTGGAGAGTCTACATGTGTAGGATTTCCAATGCAGGCCATCAGCATATAGCGTATCAACAAAGATTTTCGCAAAGATCGGGCAAGAGCGCATAGGGACAGTACATGCAGCTTATGCTTACTTTTCAGTCAGAGCGTGATCACGCATCAAGACCATCATCGCCAAGTCTATTGACTAGTGTCTGGCACTTTGGAATTGAACGCTTACTCGACCCTACTCGAGCCATGAGTCTCCCGCAAGAGCTGCTCGATAACATCCTGGACAATCTGTGTGATGACCTTGAGTCTCTCAAGCACTGCGCCCTCGCATACTCGTCGCTCCGCGCCACCAGCCAACGTATCCAATTCCGTCGCGTCGTTTTGGGCCCAGCACCCTCCGGCAGACCTACACCGTGCTTTCGGTTCTTCGTGCTTCTTACGGAATCGCCACACATCAGCCTCCACGTCAAATCCCTCGTCATAATGGACCGCAAACCGTTCTCGTGGCACACATGGCCGAAGACCATACCGTGGATTGTTACCGAGCAAACTCTCCCTCTGCTCCTCGCCAAGCTCACGCCGAATCTCACGGCGTTCCACATGCATACACGGAGTCCGTGGGGACGGATAGCCGAGACCCGCGCCCTCCATGCAGCTCTGCTCCACGTACTGGCTTCCCCCAAGCTGTCGTATCTACAATTCAAGGACGTCTCGCCTCCTGCCTCGTCCATTCTCCTCGCGCCGGGCCTGAGGGGCCTGCTACTGAGTAACGCCGAACTTCTGGAGGACTGCCGAAGCCATACCCCTGCCGGTGCGTCGCGTGCTATCCATCGGATCGGACTCATGGGAAAGCATCTGGATTGGATTACCAGTCCACAGTGTCCGCTCGACTGGCGCCTGCTCAGGAAGCTCCGTGCATCGTCGGACCATACGAAACCCCATACGAAGGCGCTGCAGCTGGTGTTGGACCGATGCGCGCAGTCGCTGACCGAATTCGAGTTCTTCCCGGCACATCCGTGTATGCACTCTTCTTCTCCGCCGCCGCCAAGCTGGTGCACCCTGACCTGGTGTCTTTTAGTGTCTTTGCCTCGGCCGCTACCCAGTCTAAGCCTCAGCAAGAGCGCCGTTCTGCGGCGTCTTTGCGTGTATCTCGTATGCGGGCAAGAACAAGACAAGACCGTGGTCGACTGGTTCGTGCCCCTCCTCGACAGCCTCGATCCCGCCGCGCCCATCGCGCTAGTCACGATCCACTTCGAGGCGTGGGACTACGCCGGTACCATGGGGGACCGGTACGACTGGACGGCCTTCGATGAATGTCTGACGCGAGTCGTTGAACGGAGGTGGGCCCGCGTGCTCTTCAGATGCGCTGGGTCCGGTACATATCCGACTGCTGGTGAGTTCCCTCAGCTGTGGACTACCGGCCGTCTGCACATCGAGAAAAGCTCCGAGGGTGTGTTTGCTCTCTACCGCTGTTTCGATTAGCTAACCCGTTCTCAGAGCTCGATGAGCTGCAATATGCAGCTTTCTAGATGCGGTATGCACGGACGGCGGATTTCTCCATAGTACAATTGCGAGCGGGACAGAATAATCGCGCAGTCCAAATGGCACGTGAGCAAGGATCATGGTCAGAATCATGTGGTGTGACATCAACTGTGACCAACTTTTGTCCTTTCAGGCCGAATTTCACTCCGTTTTCGGGGGGAATAATTCGTTTTTTTTTTACTGTAGACAAGCCCCGATCTGTGTGTAGATGTCCGTAAAATCGGTTGTACTGATCAACCGAGCTCGATCATACTTCGCATAAGACCAACTTCACTCTATTTCTCGAACAACTGGTCGGTTGTGGACCGTCTCTTACTCGATCCTGCGGAGGGGGAAATGCTCATTTTTGGACCAAGATCTACTCTGTTCCGGATGGAGATATGCCTGAGTGACGGAGACCTAAATACACCCTATCTTCCTCAAATCCTGAGTTCATTGGTAGCCCCATCTCAAGATGTCATGCCTGCCCCACAGTTCGCTAATCTTTGAATTTGAGGCTGGTTTCTCTGGTGGACTGGGCTGGTCCGGATGGATTTCTAGATCATGCGAATTTGGGTGGGGATCCGGCTTTGCTGCGGACGCAGAATATGGAAAAGTCAAAGTCAACTCAGAGGTTGAATCGGCCTGTGATGTGACTGGTGTCGTCTGCGTCTTCGACGAAGGGACCGGCGCGTCCTCGACAACCTCGAGTGAGGCGCCTTTCTTGTGTGTCTTGAAATGCCTCCGAGCATTCGAGCGAACACTGAATGTCCTATGGCAGTGGGGATATCCGCACGGAAACGCTGCATGCCAAGTTAATTACGACAGAACACAAGCGAGGACTATGCGGCCACGCTGCTTTGAAACGCCGAAATTATGAATGACGCACGTCGCAGTTTATTGTGTCCGTTCATGTGAGTCCTCAATGCGTTCGGCCTGCAAGCTGTGTCAGAATTATCCCGTGCATGCATCTGTGACAACTTCGGCCGCACCGCGAAAATTCCTTGTGACAGACTTGGCACTTGTGGACGCGCCGCGGGCCCCGGCGAGTCGAAGCTCTCGAGGGCGCAACCGATGGCACGGCGCCAGGGAGATCGATATCCTGCGGAACGTTCGACCCCAAACCTGATCGCCGCGCTGGCAATTTTATTTCCATGCTCGCCGACGGCGCAGGTATACTGTGACTTTGGGATACTCTGTTTAGTCTGTACACAAAAATGAGCAGTACGGGATCGAAAAAAAAAACGTACCGAGGAGTGAAACTTCTCGGAAACGGGACCCAGTCTTCGTTCCGAACATCCTCGAGCCCGCGCACGGGAAAAGAGGATAAATCTCGACGGTAGAATTCCGGCGCTAGCTCGAGTTCGGCTTGGTCAAATACCTGACGGCGATGGCCCTCACTTCCAGGAGTGAGAAAATAGGGCGCCGGAGGCTCGGCCAAGCGCGTGAAGTCAGTGCCGTGTGTAGTGCCACAGTCCTCTGTGTCGATTCGATAGGCGGATGATTGACGGCCGAAATGATCTTCCCGTCGAGGACTGGGATCCATCGGCCACGGCTCGAGATTGGGAATAAGCCGATCATCGTGCTGCTGCCGCGTGCTACGCTGAGACAATTCGGGGTCTCCGTATGTGTGGCGCAAGTGCTCGATTCTATCATCCGCGCACCACTCCTGGTCAGCAATTTGTGATGAATGATGAGGTTGAAGCTGAGTCGGCCAGTTCAAATTCACTTCGTGCACTGGCCATTGTTCGTGTCTCCCGGGATTCATTTGCAGCGCCTGGCGATTATCAGAGACCTTTCCTGGACTGAGCGTGCAAGGTATTCAATCGTAAACCGGTCAGCAAGACTGTGTTTTCTCGTCTTTCTACGCCACCCATCCGCAAAATCAGGAATGAGAGAGAGGCTCACTCACAAGCAACTCCGAGCGCAAAATTCGCACACCCGAGAGCCAGAAACCTGCAGAGATTCCAGGGTCGAAGATGCGTGAGCCGGTATGTCAACGTACTTGTGTAGGGAATCTGGAACAGAAAAGAAAAACAGTATGGAACCTAGATTGACGCCTTGATAGGTTGCAGTCAGGCGCTCCTTTATACCTTATCAAGGACGTCCGCTTCTCTAGCTGGCGAAACAAGATCTCGCCAAAAAAAAACCGATCCCAAGGGAGCAGATAAAGAAAGTGTGACCCTTCCGAGCAGCAGGACAGACGGGAAGCAACATCCGTACTTCTCAAGTGCTCAGAAACGTCATTTGCGCTCCGCGGAGAGTAAAAAGAATGGAAATATTCAATATAGTACAATGACTCCGGGTAAAACTACACAAGACCTCCAAGAATATCTCCTGAAACCGTTGAGTATCATCACCACGAGAACAGTGCACTCGCCTATCATGAGCAAGCCTCGATTTAAGATCCCAGAGCTTGTCTGATACTCTGGCCTTGAGGGTACAACACCGTGCAACGAATTTAGTCATGTCAAGCTCCGCCGGCTCCAGAGGTTCGCCTTCGATATTGATGGTATAGAAGACGGGGTGAGAATGTATGAGTGTGTGCGTGACATCATCGGGAGCTTTTGCCCAGCAGAATTCATAGTCGTTTCTTACTGCCACAGCATCGGAGTGCTGAGGCCTGTCTCACATACCTAACGCTCTGTTCGACCTGCTGCTACTTCTTGATGTTTCGCCGCATGCGCCTGTGCGTCGTGACGATATAAAAAATAGCAGCAGCATCAACGAGCGTGAGTGTAGAATGTGGCGGCGCTCGGGTGCTTGCCAGGCTCGTCATCGTCCACCTTGATCTGGAAGCATTTGCGAGCTAGTGTCCTCGCAGACAGTTTTGAAGGCAACGCCAGGTCATCGACATCCTCTGACCAAAAAAGGAGTCGGGGAAATTCAACCGTCCTCCTGTTCCCAAAGTTTGCGTCCAGGTCTTGTTTGTCCTTGAACTCTTCGTCAGGTGCGATATTCTATTCAGCAGGTCGCGAATCGGAAGGTAGGGAACCGGGGCAGCATCAAAAATCCACGATTGAGTGGAGCGGACAAACCTTGAGTGCTTTGGTCCTTGGAGCAGCCGTTCGATCGCTTTCCACTTCCGTAACAAGGAGCCATTTGCAATCCGATACCCGGGATACTGGGCAGATAATCACAGCCGCTCATGATGGCCATGGTTATTGTGTCGGACCAATCGCCTAGTGCTATACAGGCAAAGGACATGACACCAGCGAAGTTCGTGCAATCGATGCATACAGATATCTGAGTCTTCTGAGATTATCCCATCGCCAAAGCCCACGTGCTCGAAGAATACCAATTGTGCGATAGCCGCCTAGGGTCTTGTGCCAAGAGGTACTCCACTGACTCTACGCAAAATGATTTGAGGCTTGAAGCCGCCCTATTTTGCCCTGATAATATGGGACACAGTTCGATGACTTCGCACGCGATCCGAGGAGCTCCGTCGAATGAACTTGACGTAGTGGTGCTGCGCCTGCGACGCTCCACCTTGCTTTGTCAAAGCATTGCCCAGCGGGAGATCCTCTGCCTGCACTTGTGTAAATCCACCTCGGTATCCTTCTTCGCTAGCAGCGGCTCCGGTGGAATACGAGGTGCGATTCGAGCTTGTGATTTCTGAAGAGATGCATGCGGTGCATGAGGCAAATGGCATATGCCCACGGACCGCCGATCCTGCTGCGGGCCCCGTCGGTCCTAAAATTGGCACCATGCCCGATCTGGAAAGATGGGGACAATATTGAATTCATCAGACGCCTATCTCCACCTCCGGAGCATCTGCAGCAGATGCTGTCAACCTACGGTCGACGACAAAGGATATGGTCTGTTTCGACCGATAGATCAATCGGGTGTGCTGGGGTCCTGGCACTCCGTGACTCGAGGACGTGTATATGCTTATTCGAAGCCTCCGATGACCGTTCCCGACGTCATAAGTGTGCTCGTCGTTGATGGCGGCACGCTTGAGCCTCCCACTTGCGCCGCTTTCAGGGTAATATCCTACCCCGGCGGCTTGTTTTTGAAATACGCAGTCAGTATGTAGCTCCTGACAGCGGAGGAGGCGCAGGCGGAGGTATGACCGGGCCAATCTGCTGTCGATATCGCAAAATTATTGAAACTATGATCGGTTCTGATGGACCGACATGTGAAAACGGCTGAAAGCAGAGAGTCGGCAGGGCAATTATATCGCAGACCATGTCTTCTGATTTGGTGCCTCTGATCCGCGAGGTAGCTTCAAACTCTGCTACATAGATGACACAGGCCACTAGTACTTGTGATGAGCCTCCTACTGGACGGAAAATCATGTAATTTTTTCAGGGCCATTCCCAGGAGTTATTTTGATAAATGAAACAAGTGATAGTGGCCTCTGGATCGAGGAACCTAACCTCTAACCACCCAAACCCCTAATCAACCCTGACCGCTAACCAACCTGAACCCTAGCCAGTAAAAAAAAAAAAACATGATTCTGGGACCCGAAGCCCTATCCCAAACCCAAACCCTATCCCAAACCCGAACCTGTCTTAAGTCCGAGAAGGAGGGACACAGCAGGGTGACACTTGTGGGCGGCTGATGGAGATCACATGATACATCACATGATCACGCAAGAGACTAAGATGCATGGCTACAGCCATGACATTAGTCTAAATCCTATGTAGTATTACAGGTGCTCACTCACCATTTCCTTTGCTCAGTCGTGCCGAGGTATCTTCATGTTGAAAATGGCGGAACATGTTGCACAATAAGCCTTGGTAAATATGGGTCCCACTGAGTGAGATCGTGGACGATATGCGATTGCAGGACGAAAGAAACGAGCAACGCGACAAACCAATCGTGTCTCACATTTCAACACTGATCAACGATATCCCAGTCATGTGATCTTGACGCGTTACAACTCTGTATTCTCTGCAAACCTAATCTTCACTCTCACTATCACTACTCGGGACGTAATCTGCATTCAGAAAGGCCTGGTCGGTGAGGGTCGATAGTGAGCGCTGTCGACGGCGATCAACTCCTTTGGATTTTGATTTTCCGCGACCAGTTTCGACTGTCGAATCTTCGCGATTGTCAGCGAAACCTATTTGCAATCTCCGACCTCCCTTGAACTCTGCCAGGTCGCGCTCGATCTGTGATGCGTGTGAGGTCATGTGATGTGGGACCTCGAATAAGTGGATTGGTTAACGCACCCTGAGATAATAGTGCGCGCCGATATCATGGCGGAGGATCCGATACTCGCCCAGAATTCCCCAGAAGATGAGTCGTGTGATCATGATTTTGGCAAGTTCAAGCCCGATGTGTCTGCCCGCTGCGTAGCCCTTGACTTGATCGTACCCCCTCACTCGGATCCACTTCGTATTGCGGCCGATGAAGACGTCGATCGTCTGCAACGCGGTGATCGGGTTTCCGGATTTTTTCTGGATGCACTCGAGCAGGGACACGAATTGTTGAATGTCAGCCGTCAGGTCGTACGCTCGCTTCGGGGAGACGCAGTTGTCGCACGCTCCACAGAGCTTCCCGGCAGCCGTGGACTCGCCGCAATGGGCTAAGAGCTGACAAGATCGGCATACCAGGCTCTCGTCGCAGTAGTTCGCCACCTGTCGGAGTGCTTTGACAGCACGAGAGTCCCGGCCCGGGATTTCGGCGAGTTCCCGCCTGAGGACACGCGGGTTGTAAACTGTTCAACGATGAGTATGCGCCGCCCCAAGAGCACCATGCCGGTCGCACAGATCACGCATTCGGCCGGTTGACCATCTCGGCCCGCACGTCCGCTCTCTTGCAGGTAACTGGAAACATCAACGACCTGGGATCGACATCGAGGAGCTACGCACTTATCGAGGCTCCGGGGAGGATCGCAATGCAGGACGAAGCGGACTTGGATAATGAGAAGAATGAGTGTCAGCATCAAAGCATTGAAAGAACCGCACCGTCGCTGTGATTGACGCCCATCCCAAAGGCAACCTGTCCAGCGGGTCAGGACCGTCAGAGTTACCCGGCTCCTACCACTGCAAGACTTACCGTCGCCACAATCACCTTACAGATGCCGTGTTTCCAAGTCTTGTAAACCGCCGCTTTTTCCTGGTCCGTCATTTCAGCGTGGTAATGCTTCGCCGAAACGCCTTTCTTTCGCAAAAACAGCGCCAGCGCCTCGCATCGATCTCGACGGAAGCAATACACGATCCCTGTGTCGTCCTCCAGCCCTCTTTCGGTGATCAACTCTGCGATCGTCTCGAAACACTCGTCCGAGCGGGTGGGCACGGCTGAGTAGCGCAGATTCGGCCGAGCCGTGGACCGGCGGAAGACACGAGGATTTACCATGTTGAGACTCTTGGTGATGAGCTGTGCTGCCGTCGGACTCGCAGTGGCGGTGAATGCTGAGATAGGAATATCAGGGAAGTTCTTCCGCAGGCATGCACCGAGTTCCGCGTACTGGGAAATGATCAATCATCAGCGATGAGATTGGGAAGGACGAACGCACGGCATCGCGGAAATCATCGACCGGAGCCACACAATGTGCCTCGTCGACGATGAATCTGGCTAGATGCTTGGAGCGGTGCAACGTTCTCAGCTCATCCATGAACGTGGGGCTTTTTTGGATGCGCTCGGGCGTGACATAGAGAAGAGCAGGTTTGATGTTTTGATTGAAGTGCGGTCTGACGTGGCCGCCGCCGTCACCAGAACAGAACGACATCACTTTGATGCCCTTCTCACGGAGCGCCATCTCCTGGTCCTGGATGATCGCAATCAGTGGCGAGACCACCACGGTGATCATGTTGAATTTTTCGTTCATGAGCACTGCGGGCAGCTGGAAGGAGAGGCTTTTGCCGGCCCCGGTCGGGAAGACCACGAGGAAATCATGAGCTGTGAATGCTTCCAGGATGACCTCAAGCTGTTCGGGAAGGAACTTAGCAAGTCCAAAGCTGTTCTTCAACACATCGCGACAGTCGGCCGGTGAGAACGAGCGAGTATTTCCTGGTGCGCCATCATTCTCCTCAAGTACGGGGGAGGGCAGTCTGAGTGGCTCGGGTTGAGCAGGCCGCGCAGGCTGCGCGGTACGAGGACCGGCGGAAATAAGACTCTCGACAAACTCTATGCGATCGATGCAGAGCGATCTACAAAAGCTATAGAGAGAACTTGATCTCAACCGTTGACACTTACTCGATTTGGTCGTACAGAGTTCGATCTGTTTCTTTGAGAGTGCACTGGCGTCGTGCCTTCTTGTGCTGGTACAAGTGCCGATAGTCGGATAGTAGCATGTCCTTCAATATTGCCATCGGCGCCTTCAAGAAACGATCGTGAGACGCAATATCTCGTGAAAGGAACCAATGGCAAAGCTCACAGAGTCGGGGGTAGCTTCGAACGTCTCGGCAGTAGATGTGGGGCCCTCCTGAAATGCTTTCTGGATCCTTCGCTCACAAGAGCCTTCTTCTACCGACTGGTCTCTGACGTCGTCTATGCATCGGTTGTGCGACGTTTGAGAACAGATGAATGCCGAGCGAAGGCGACCGGGGGTGTTATCGGTATTGTTTGGACCCGGACCCGGCCTGAATTTCTTCGTATGAAAGGTGTGAGCCATAGCGAACGAGTTAGATTCGAGGCGGACCTTTTTCTGTGCGGAGGACATAGTCAGAGATCGGGAGCGGGGGGTCGATGAGCAGCGGGATGAAGAGGATGTCACCAAACGGATAAGATTTAAAATAAACCATGATAAGCCGCAGCAAACATGTTCAGAACTCGGCGAGCCCTTGCTTCCTTTGCGCGATCCTAGTTTAACCTTACTGTAGTGTCGGGTCACTCGCTTCCCAATATGGGGGAAATTAATTTCCGCCGTGACTGTATACTCCGTCGCGGTACGCCTCGGGCGGCCAATCTGGGCAGAGGACGGCAGAGTTCAACGGTGTAAGAGTTGGTCGAAATACATGATTATTTTCATCTTATCGTCTTGCGAGGCAGACGAAATGTCGAAGGGCAGACACCAAGGCCGCGGGGGTAAGTAATCGGGAAGAGCCGAGTCCTGGGCAGTTAGCCCCTGAAGTAAGTATATCATCAGCAAGCAGATCATCACAGCCACCTTGACCCTCTTGGAAATCCGTTACCCGCCTCGGACGCGTTGACGGTCGATGTTACTTCGGCCCAAGCGGCTTCAGTTCCCAATATCCGCTCTTCGAAAACCATCTCACACTCCTTTGAATACACGGCGCGCTCATTCCGGCGCGAAAAATGGGCCCAACCACGCAATACTCGAAATGCTGAGGCGCAGTGAGTAGTCAGTCATGCATCGCTCAGCGCGTCCATCGTTGTACCAACGACGCTCTTCTCATGCTTCCAGATCAGGAAGAGGAAGAGCAGACTGAGAGGAAGAACGTCTACCGTGCACGCTCGTTCGCAACCGCTATGAAGGCCATCGAATCATTGAAGGAGCCTATTCGTTCTCTGGAAGCAGTTCAGAATGTTCGTGGCTCCGAGTTTCTGATCAGCTACCCGGCTTATCTCCTGGCAGCTGAAAGGCGTCGGCCCCGGGATAAGACGGCGGATTCAGCTATTTCTAGAAGCCTCGGGAGACAGCGGTCAGTGACGTTCCGAGTCTTGCATACAATGCGCTCCGCTGGACACTCATCTCCATAGTTCCAAAACTGGACCCTGAGACTTTGGCGCATAGGAGGGAAGAGCGGGTCATATTAGCAGAGTTGGAGGCCGTTCAAGGGATCGGGTAAGCTCTCAGTACTCATGCAGGTCTATGAGGCTCAGGCGCATCTGCTGTCTAGGCCTGTAAAAGCACGCAAACTGCTAGAAGCGGGATGCACAAGCGTCGGGGACCTGCAATCTCCCGAGTTCGATAAACTGCTGACGACGCCGCAACGTCACGGTGCCCGCTATCATGAGCACCTGAAACAAGGCGTCTCTCGCGAAGAGGTTGAGTCACTTGCTGTGCGCCTTGCGTGTCTCCCGTCCAGAAGGGTCGCTTACACCAGTCAGTAGCGCTACATTCGAAGCTCACTGCCTTCCTCTTTCGAGATTGTCCTAGGCGGAAGTTTGTGAGTTTGACTCCCGACTCGTCACAATACAAGGGCTGATCGTGGATAGCCGGAGAGGAGCTGACAAGTCCTCCGATATCGACGTTCTTATCTTCCACCCCAATCATGTGTTTGTTCCCTTCCCCGACCCCCCAGCACCCAGCAAGGATCCTGCTCGTAAGAGACGGACTAATGGCAAATCTACCGAGACTTTACTCCAGAGTGAAGTCATTCCTGCTCTCGATTCCCGCCACATCATCGCAGACACGATATCCTCCGGGCAGTTCAGGTGGCAAGGGTACGTTGTGATTCCAGATGGAGAACATGCGGATCGCTATGAGCGAATGGATGCGTTGAGGGTGGGAAATGTGGCTATCAGGCGGCTGGATCTCAAGTGCGTGTCGTCTCTTTCCGACGACTTGAGTTCACGTTCTCTCAGTCTCTTTGCGAAGCGGTCTCGAGGATCAGCCTTGCTCACGCTGACTGGGGACACGGACTTCAACCGTGGCTTGCGGGTGCGAGCGACCAAGCTAGGATATCATCTCAATGAGTTTGGGCTGTGGCGGTGGCACACCTTGAGCAAGAACGGAGACCCCCCTCCTGATCCTGAATCTTCAGCTGCCCGAGCGGACGCAGCGGACGGCTACTGGGAGCTCATCAACGCCGAGACAGAGGTTGATGTGATGGACGCGTTGGATATGACCTATGTTAAGCCGGAGATGAGGAACTACGGATTACTTGATAATGTGCGCAGATCGTCGTCGTCCTCTAGAGCAATGAGGAGATCATGAAACCCTGGATTCATGCACCAACGGAGATTTGGCAGACAAGACGCCTCGGGCATACATAATGCAAGTCTTGGTCGACGGAAATCGTAGTCAAGGAACCCTAACCTGAACTGCAGCTCAAAGCTGGCTCCGTGCACTCATGTCATGTAGGGACTGAGCTCAAACTTGAAAAGCTTCATGCTTCTCCCATCTCCTATGTATGAAGTTCTCAGATCAAATTTCCGCCCGCTTTCCTCGTTTAGCCTACATTCCTGTGTCCCGAATGACGCGTTTGGATGGTGGATCCCTGTGATCCCTTGATCATCCCATAACCTGTGCCAGTCACGACCCCCACCACAGCTTCATCATGGCCCACCTCACCAAACCAACCGTGTACGATATCAAGGACTCCAACATCGCTCTCCTGGGCTCGGATGTAAGTCGGCGTCCGGCATCCTGGTTCAAGCAGGTCAAGCAATGAGTACCACCAACCTGTTCGTCAGCTCGAGAAACGTGTCCGGGAAGTGGGAGGAGACAAAGAGCAGGCCTGGACGGGCGCTGGAACGCAGGTCGGGCTCGAGATCTGGAGAATAGAGAAGTTCCATGTCGTGGAGTGGCCTAAGGACAAGTACGGATCGTTCTACGATGGCGATTCGTACATCGTCCTCAACGTGAGTGATCGCCTGAACGCTCCGCACTGGCTGCACTTCATACTCTTACACTATCATGAAGTCGTACAAGAAGACGCCGGATGCGAAGGCGCTGTCCTACGATCTGCACTTCTGGCTGGGGGAGAACACGTCGCAGGACGAGGCAGGCACAGCGGCCTACAAGACTGTCGAACTCGACGATCGTGCGTGTCCACTCGATTCATCCACCCCGCAGCGCCCATTTCACCCCGTGCACCAGATCTGCACGGCGTCCCCGTCGAGTACCGCGAGGCGCAAGGGTGCGAGTCGGACCGCTTCCTGTCGCACTTCCCGCACTTCGTCGCTCTGCGGGACGGCGTCGCGACCGGATTCCACCACGTGTCCGACCCCCCGCCGCGCGACCTGCACAGGCTGTACGCCATCAAAGTCTCGGGCCGCGGCGCGGGCCTCGTGGTGCGCGAGGTCCCCGCGGTGGCGGCGAGTCTGGTCGCGGGCGACGTGTATGTTCTGGACAAGGGCACGCACGTGCTCCAGCTCAATACCACGGCGAGTGCCGGGAAGGAGAAGTTCAAGGCCGCGGAGTTCGCGCAGAGCTTGGTCGCCCCCCGCCAGGGACACTGCGACGTGGAGGTCTTCGGTGGGCGGCGTTGCGTTGGCTATCACAAACTGAATCTCACCTATTTATATACCGCACTCAGATGAAGGCGCGCCTGGTTCCAACAAGTTCCTGTCCGAGTTCGGCGAGAACACACACATTGCCGCGGCCTTCGCAGCCCAGGAAGGCTCCGCGGCGCCCACGCTCTTCCGTCTTTCGGACGCCGGGGGCGAGGTGTCTTTCAGCGCGGTCGACTCCGTTTCCCGGTCGTCGCTCGACTCGGCGGACACGTTCCTGCTCGACCATTCCCGTGACCAGCGGCCGGTCATCTACGTCTGGATAGGCAAGGACGCGTCGCTGGATGAGCAGCGCCTGGCGGTGCAGTACGCGCAGCGCTACCTCCACCAGCAGCAGCTGCAGGGCGGCGCGAGCAGACACGGTGCTGCCACGTCGATCGTGAAGATGAGGGAGGGCCAGGAAACGGCTGCGTTTTTGCGGGCGCTTGATTCTTGAAATCGTCGAGTGTTACCTAAGGCCGAATTTGGAATTTAGTGTATATTGTAGCGCGTGTCTTTCGACCTTCCGCTCAGAATCATGCAGCGAATTGGACATTTGGAACGACGTGCTACTATGTGAGCCGCGGTAATCCATTCGGAGAGTGGAGAGTAGGTCTGACGGAGGCATATGCCCAAACTAGTGCCCGTCACTCAGTCCATTCCGGAGTCAATTTTTCTTTCGCCAAAGATAGAGAGAGCATCAGTCGCTCACTGCCAGATCTCGCCATTGAATAATCTGCCGCTTGAAGTGAATTGGTCGAACGCCGAAGGCTGTGCTGTTGAGATCACTTGATTTGGAACAGTGAGCAAACAATAGCCGATTGCGGTTGAGGCCCTTTTTTGTTCTTCTCACTGATGCCCCGACCTCGTGTGGGCCCTCCCCCAGATGGCAGGTCGCAGCCTGAAGCATGCCACTGCATTGTGCGCGGGAAATTGGGCCTCTGATTTATTGTTGGCCTGATCCATGGCCCTTGTGCCCGTTGTGTCCCATTGTGTCCCCCGCGAACAGGCGTGTGGATATAAGACTGGGATTCCGTCTCCCGTCTCTTCCTTTCCATTTCCTCATCGTCATCCCCCTATCGCACCAACTCATGATGGACCCTCAGACGCTCGCCCAGCTCGCCGCCCTGCGCCCGCTGGGGTCCGAGATCGAAGCCATGCACCGCAAACAGCAATTCCTGGAGATCATCACGTACCTCGGCAACCGGGACACCGAGAAGCAGCACGACCGCGTTCTCGCCTCGTGCCTGGACGATCTGTCGCGCAGCTGTCCGCAGTACGCGCCGCACTCGTCCGCGATGTTCTGCGTGATACTCGGGTGGGCCTGCCGCTGGAAGTCGCTGTTCGAGGCGCAGATGAAGCTGTTCCTCGCGCTGTCCCCGGCCACCGCGATGTTCGCGGCGAAGGAGATGGCGAGGTGCGTGTCCGTCTATCTTTCCTGGGTGGCATCATGCTGAGCACATACCCGGTCGGATTTAGCCGAGTCAGGGCTTCGCAGGCGGAACGGGTCCAGAGGATGACTTATTACAGAGCTATTAGCCTGGGTTCAACGATCCATTGGGTGTCCTGGTACGGCGCGCACACACCTGAGATTCTCGAACACTGGAAAGCGCTCGTGGTACGTCATCGCCCGTGATCTGCCCCTAACATACTGCACATCTCAACGAAACCCTCAGGAATTCGTGCTGCAGCGGTCTATGGAGAGACTGCTAACGATTGGGGTGCATCCGGTCACGACTCCGCTTATGCGCATGCAGATCGAGGAGCTGAAGGAGTGCATCTCCACCGACTATGTCGCGTGTCCGGACCTGGACGACGAGGCCATTTCCCGTCTCGCGGGAATGAAGGGCCTGAACTGGCTGTTCGATCTGGATCGTCTGGCCGGTCCCAGCGCTGGCCCCACCACACGCGGGGTCCTCTGAGGACCGGAACACCCTGTGATGGGCGGTTGGACAGAGACAGCGGACGGACGCTGCGTGGAATATCAGTCTCGAGGTCGCGCAGTTCGCGGACATGTTACAGTATTGAGTGGACTTTTACTGCCTAGGAAATTATCATTATTTTCGGAATGAAGAGTGGGCAGTGAGCGTGCCCAGACGTCCTAGTGCTCCTCCGCGAGAGTATTCTTCCTATCACCGTTGAGCTGTACAGCGATTGCATCCTGAATTGGAGAAGTGCCAACTTGAGAACGTCTGCACAGGAGCGTATCTGCCAAAGTCCACAGTCGGAGGAAAGTATCGCACTTGTCCTCCCCCATCAATAGAAGTCCAGCCAAGACCTGCTATCTATACTGACTAGTCTCTAGATTCTCTGGGCATGTTTGGCGACGGCGGCACTCCAGGTGATAAATATGTAAGCGAGGACATGGGCGCAAATTAAATTGGACTATCGTGGGCTTAAAATTCTTCCTCTTTGTAGGAGCCGTCAGCATTAAAAGGATCAGGAGGATGGGTCATTGTTCGGAGAGGTTCTACCACTGATGACAACTCGAAAGGCTGCGCATCATTCTCGAGCGATGAATTCGGTGGAGTACACCGGCTCACTCGGTTCTATGGATAATTTATTTATTAATCGCTCTCCCCTTTCGTGAAGGTTGTCTTTTCAAGTGCATCGAGATATTGGAGGCAGATATGATATGATTAGATCAGACGTGTGATACATCAACTGATCCATCACACACTCGTAGGTCTCTCATGTCCATCCATTTGATAGCGCTGGATAGCATTAACACAGAAAATACATGGGGCGGAGAGATAGAGGTAATAGATGATGCAGCAAAGCAAGTCCATGATGATGATGACGAAGCAAGAGAGAAATCAGTGTCTGGCCTCGAAGGGGTTGTGATACGGCACGTGTTCGGTGGGCGGGTCGTACGGCCGCTCGGCGTTGTACTCGGGAGGGTGCGAGCCGTACGGCTGCGTCTGCTGGTACTGGTACATCGGGGGGACGCCCGCCGCGCCGCTCTGCTGCGGCAGGTTGAGCTGCTTGTACACACCGCGCGACCGGGTACGGCGAGACTGGAAGATCCAGGCCCCGAGGACAAGCAGCACGAGCCCGCCGAGGACAGAGGCTGCGATGATGTAGTACGTCCGATGCTTGTTGAACGAGTCGACGAGGCTGTTGCCAGAGCTGTCCGACGTCGTGGGCTGGCTGGCCGGGGCGAGCAGGACCGTGCCGTTCGTCGTGTCGACGCCACCCAGCCGGGAGTTGACGAAATCAAGATGAGCTAGATGGAACGGGTCAGGTCCCACGGTGCGTTGAGAACCAAATCACAAACCATCAGTAGTGTTGGTAGTCGATAGGAATTGGATGTACGGATCGGCCTTGGTCGTCGCATGGTCGACAAAGTCACCAAAGTTGACCAAAGTGTACACGTTCCGGAGGAACGCCATTCCGACTGCACAACAGATTCAGCGGGGCCGACTGAAAAGACAACGCGAGCCATACAGATGATGTCGTACGAAGGATCGGAGCCAGTGTTGAACGAGACAGGCTGGAACTGCGCACGAGGCATCAGATGGGCGTCCCCTCGCTACGATCAATCTCGGCCACTTACGACACCAAGGCAAGCGGTGACACCGGCCGACGTCGTCTTTTTCTTCAGCCCGAAAATAGTCGGGTCCACCGTGGCGTCGAGGGGATGCACCGGGAACGAGACGCCGCCGAACTTGAGCGTGATGTTCACTTCATGCGTGCAGGGCACGAGCCAGATCTGGCCGACGTCCGTGTCGTTCACGAGCTCGGCGCCCTGGAAGCGGCTGTATATCCCGCTGGCGATCGTGCTGCGGTGGAGACTGTCAGAAAACAAAACATGCAACTGCGCAACCGCAGGATTCCGGACGCACGCAGGGACCTGGGGCAACGAGAAGCCGGTGTCGACGACGACCGTCGCCTGCTGTTTGTTGGAAGTGGACTTGACCACCGACTTGTACGGGATGGCTTGCCCGTCGGGGCCCAGGAACCCATCCGCATCGAGCAGAACCTGGAAATGCTGGTTCGCGCTGTTGCCGATGGAGACATCGGTGACCGCGAGCTTGGGCTGGCTCGTGATGTTCGCGTGGCCCGGCAGGATCTCTCCGACGGTGAGGTTGCCCGGGAACACCTCCGACGGGTCGTTCAGGCGCCCGAGGGTGAACGTGATGTAGTTGGGCGTCGTCGTGTTCTGAATGAAGATGTTGTCGAGGACGGTGATGCCCTCGTCGGCGGAAGAAAAGGTCTGGAAGACGACCGAGCCCGCGCTTGGGCCGAGCCCGATCAGTCCCTGGCCGGCGGTGTGGTCGGCATCAGGCGTGACCATGACTAAACGGGGGTAGAAGCCTAGTGAGTCTGCGGCGCTCTTTCAAAGATGCCACCAACGCACTGAAAGCCTGGTTAGGAATCGTGAAGCCCGAGAACTCGACGGTGCCGAGCTTGACGGGCCCCGTTGCGCCGCCCGAGGCATACGAAATGGTCGCGGCTTTCCCTGTGTCCTGCGTCGCAGACGATAAATCGCCCGCTACCCAAAGATCGGAGCTGTCATGGAAGGTCTGACTGAGTGTGGGCGCGATGTCAAGGGTGCGTGCCACACACCTGCCCGTGTCAATGAGCACGGCAAAGTCTTGTCCGCCGACCTTGACGGTCGTCGTGTACTGCAGGTCGGCCGAGTTGGCAAGCGGCGACGAGCCTGCAAGGCTGGCTCTCCGCTGCAAAACCTGGTCGTGCGGTATCCGGCGCCCCTCGATTTCGAGTCGTAGTGCATGAGAAGAGGATGTGAGAGATAAAAGCGCGACGAGCGCTGTGGATAGTTTTGCAAACATAAGGAGGCGCCCGGAAGAAGAAAAGGAAGAAAGTAACGAGAGGAGCGGGTCGGTAATAGAGAGAGAGGAAACAGGGCAGTGCAGTGAGGCCGTGTCCTGTCAGTCGCTTCTCCCTATGTTTTTGATCATGATGGCGATCAGCGCTGATGAGTGCAGCGCCGCAGCGCTGTTGCAGTTGGCAACGTGCGCTCGTCTGGGCCCAAGCCCGACCAAGGGTTCTCAAACGATCGGAGACCGCGGCCTGCAACTAGCGAAGTTGAGACTCGGAAAATTCAGAAAATCAGGGACTGGTGTCAGCGAGTGACGAGATTGGCAAAACCGCTCGGGGCTTGCTGCGGACGCGGAATTCTGTCCGTTGAGTTATCCGGTGGGAATTCCCTTCATCGAAACGTCTTGGGTGCGCCTTGGCTAGCTTAGGACGCCCTGAATCAAGTCTAAAAGACTACAGACTCGCGCCTCACACGTGGGTCGAGTCCAGCTTGGACATCTAGCAAGTCCATGTGGACTTTTAATCGCATCGGGGTTGTGGCAGTGAAATCCGGCGTCTCGCACGACAGCCCGGGAACAGTAACGACCATGGGGACACCACGGAGAACGAGCCTTGGCACACGAGGTATTATACGTCGGGCATTCACCGACTCCGACGGAGGCAGCAGCTTAGCAGCGCATGGTCGTTTCTGTACGGTCCAAGCGTTGTGCGGCTGCGGAGAAATATGTACACTATCAGGGCAAAAAGACGGTGGTGGTGGTCGTTTTTGCCAAGTTTCATTGCAGCACGTGATAATATACTTTCTCCCTCTCCCCCTCATCTCCGCTCCGACTTGGAAATGCGCTCGCTACCTTCATCACTAACACTCTTTCTCGCCGCCACTCTTTTCGAAGCCGCCCAAGCCGTAACCGTACCTTTCGAAGTCCACACCACCAACAAACCGCTTCCACATCACAATGCGAGACGGAGTGCTGCGCCCATATCCAACAACGGCAATGCCGCCTACATCAGCAACATAACACTCGGAGGTGTAACTGTTCCTGTGATTCTTGACACCGGGAGGTGTGTGTCGGTTCGATCGGTCTCTTGTTCGCGAGCTGAGAGGGTGCCGGATTGGTAGCTCCGACCTATGGGTAACCTTCCAGGGCTCACCACCCGCCGCTTCTAAGGATACGGGGAAGAGTCTTGCGCTGAACTATGCCGTGGGATCTGCCTCCGGTGCGCCCATGCCCGTTGCACTATTCACAGATTGTTCGTCCTCATATCGGCTTCCCAGGCAACATCCACACGGTCGAGCTGCAGTTCGCCGGCTTCACAGTCCCAGATCAGGCCTTCCTTCAGGTGGCGAACTCGAGCTCGTTCTCCACCGACTCTGCCTATGACGGTAAGCACGACATGGTGGGAGTAACTCCCTTCGCTGAACTGGGTCGGAAGGTCTGGTCGGCCTCGGTCCAAACGAAGGCTCCTCAATCCAGTCGAAACTCGGCTCACCACAGGGGGATATGGTCCTCAACCGCATGTTCCAGCAGAACAACCTCTCATCAAATTTCATCACATTCCTCCTTTCGCGCACCAACGATCCTGCGGCGGTGCGTCCGTTTGCCACGGGCTCTTTGCCATTGATCTGACAGGTCCGTCTGTCCAGAAACTGACCGGACAGTTCACCATCGGCGAAGCCGTTGCTGGGTTCGAGAATATCACGAGCCAGACGAAGCTGAATGTGGAGACGGTGCACAGACTGCTGAACGATCGTGCGTGTTCACTCGTCTGTCAACTCGTCGCTCAGTTTCTCGGCCGTAGAGCAGCACTGGCAAGCTCTAACGGATGTGAACAGCGTTACTGGTCCTGATGGGAATGTGATCAACATCGGCTCGATTGTGCCCAAGGCACCGGATGGCCAGCTCGTCGCGGTGTTCGACTCTGGCTTTACCTTCAGTCAAGTCCCTCGCAAGATGTCGGATGCTATCTACGGACGCGTTCAGGGCGCGGTGTATGATACCAAGAACGAGTGGTGGACTGTGCCTTGCGGGCAAGAGATCAACGTCACCTTCCACTTTGGTGGAGTGGCTTTCCCAGTGCACCCGCTCGACGCGGTTGACGACAATTTCAAGATCAAGGATGCGAGCGGGAACCCTGTCTGTATCGGTGCCTTCCAACCTATCACCAGTGCCTTCAGTTTGTTCGGAAATTTCGACATGATCATGGGCATGACTTTCCGTGCGTCTCCACATCGTGTTCTTGCTCTCAGCTAACCTCCCAACCTGTGCAGTGCGCAATGCCTACACGCTCCTCGACTACGGACGCTGGGCCACAGGCTCATCCGTCGACCAAGGCGACCCTTTCCTGCAGCTGCTGCCATTGACATCACGGGACGCTGCCCACACCGATTTTGTTAATGCGCGGCTGAAAGGTGTTGATACGACGGGTTCTGCGCAATACCAGCTGCTGCCTGCGAGTCAGCAACAGAGCTCGCCCGTTTCCGCGGAGGAGAAGAAGAAGCTTTACGAGGAGAAGGTGCTCAGTCACTGGCCAGCCATTCTCGTCGGCTGTCTTATCGCCGTCGGGCTGCTGGTGGTGCTAATCATCTGGAAATGTTGCTGCCGTAAACGCAAGGGCAAAGGAACGAATGATGCCGCGCTGCTTTCCCAGAAGAATCAGACATATCTGCCGCTGCAAGCTCAGGGGGGAGCGTCGATGACGAACGTGGGGTACGCTGGAAGCCCAGGATATCCTCAGCAGGAGTATGCTGGTGCTGGTGGGTCTGGCTACCCCCAGCAAGGCTATGTTGGTGGGTCTGGTTACCCCCAGCAGCAGCATCAGGGTTATCCACAGCAAGGTCATTACTAGTTTTGGACCAAACGATTGCCTGCATCTGGTTCTCGGACTGCTTTGATATAATCCATTTTACGCTGTGCCGCATCGACCTGTTGTGATTTATCCGGTAAACTATCGTATGTGTAGGCGTCTAATCCCAATAACAATGTAACCCCGCAGTGCGCACGTCGCTGCAAGTTCGCCAGTGAGTTACGGCAGGCTCCATGGTTACCGTGGTCTAGGCAGGAGTCTGGGTCAAGCCGCCTAATCTGATAAGATCTTGACTGACAGACGGGACACACCGCTTTTGCCTTTCTGTGATCGACTACCACTGGTTTGGTAAACACACACGCAAGCATCTCCTTCTTTCTTTACCCCACAATGTCGGTCATCGACCTCTCCCAGCCGCTTTCCGCTATCCTCCGAGAGGGGACGAAGAAAGCCCATCAAGAAGTCGAGACCAGTGCCGGTGCGGCGGCTCTGCTCAAAGGCGAGCTTCCCAAGGAGGAGTATGTCAGGTTTCTCATGATGCTCTGGCATGTGTACGAGTGCGTATCGACGCTCTTTTGCTCTATGGGTGTCGCACTGAACATCCGAACCTGCAGCACATTCGAGAAAGCCCTGGAGCGCCACCAGGCGAATCCCATCCTCGAGCCGACGTACAACCCCGCTCTCCTCGCACGTGCACCCGCTCTCTCTGCGGACATTGCCTATATCCTAAGCATACCCGAGTCATCATGGAAGTCTCACCCCATCCATGAAGCACTGCAGGCATCCCGGCCGCAGGCGCTCACTGACTATGTCAATGCTGTGAACTCCATATCTGACTCGAATGACCCCGCGCCCCTCCTTGCACACGCATACGTGCGCTATCTGGGGGACCTGAGCGGCGGGCAGACGATCCAGCGTGCCCTGGGCAAGGCGTACCACCTGACGCCGAACGGGCCGGGGCTCGAGTTCTACAAGTTCAAGGAGCTGACGACGAACAAGCAGGCGACGATCGGCGAGATGAAGCGCATCAAGGACTGGTTCCGGGCCGGCATGGACAAGGGTGCTGGGGACAACATGGACGCGAAGGGTACGCGCGTCTGCCCGTGCGTGTGTGCACTTACACGTCCGCTTACGTCTTCGCGCAGCGGCCATCATGGACGAGGCGTCCCGCGTGTTTGAATACAACGGGGCTCTGTTCCGGGCTATCTCGACAGAGAAGCCCAAGGTCGTGTACAGCAAGCCCGAAGAAGGCACGGGGTCCAAGACGTACTCTGTGGCCTCCGTGGTCTCGTTCATCCTTGCGCTGTGCATAGCGCACTTTGCACTCACCGTGGGAGGCTTCACGGGCGAGCGAGGCTACGAGAAGCTCGTGGCCGTCGAGCAGTGGCTCGGCGGTCGCATCACCGGCACAGGATGAGCGCTCCCAGGCTGCTGTGACTTATGTTGTTGTCTTCGTTTTCAGCTGTTATGACTCAGGCTACCGCTTTGAGATCCGCGTATAGTATGCTAGTGTGCACTAATGTCAATTTCTACTACATAGATTGAATCATTCGCCCAGTCAGCCTGGGGAGGGATCATTCCGGATTTGCGCGGGCTTAGAAACGATCTCCTTTTGGGTGTTCCTGGCGACTGCTATCCCAGAGAAAGTCGGGTATGAAAGACACCTAGCTTGATCTGTCTGAAGGGCTGCGGCTTTGTGAGACGGCGCTACTAAGAGCCGGAACTGGAACCAATCGGGAATGCTCGCATTGAAAGCAGCTGAAAAAGTAAGCGGAACTCTCAGCATATCCTCTTCACGTGATAGGTCGTGGGAACCTGAACGATCACTAATCACTGGCGCCATAGCCATCTGCTTCAAACCCCCATCTCGTCAGTGTACGTAAACTTCCAAGCCTTACTCCGTCAATGAAGGACGCTCCGGCCTCCATTCCGTGGCCAGGTGCGCTCGCACACGATTTGGGCAGGGAATGCCTGGAAACCGGACTTTCCGCCCGCCCGAGAGGGTTGCTTCGGGCTTCACTTCTCTCGCTCGCGGCCATTGAGGAGAGTACGGCCGCCGAATGAAATGACAGAAAGTGGATGTGGGGCACATGCTTGATGGAATTATTGCGTCTGGTGTTCCGTGCGCTCTCTGCCTCGTCTTCGGGTGTTCCCTTGAGTGGCCTTGAAGTGGAGAAAAGAGACCTGAACCCCGATCTCTACCGTGCCAAAGCGAGAGACCAGCTACAAAACTTTCTGGTCTTTACTGATTCCGCGTCCTCTGGGATGTGCTCGAAACAGCCATCAACATGTATGAATTGGCCAGTGTCTAGCGCTATCGTGCTGCTTGCTGATCAAGGCTGGAAGCACCCCTGGACTACGGCGACATTTCACTCTTCTCGAAAGACTGTTCAGCTGAGTCCTCAGGCACTTGTGGCCCTTTGTAATGATGTCGCCCGCCTACAAGTCATTCAGCACGGCCAACTCGGAGTAAACGACTCGCCACTCACTGATCAGATACCATACCGCGCTGATGGCTCCAAACCCCACAAACACAACCGACGCGTAATCTGGGGCAGTGAATCAGCTCGCCCGTCGAACCGCAGCAAACAGCCACCCATCGTACTCATGCTCTGCCGCGTGACGGGCACCGCCGGGGGCATCGAGAACAGCACGAGCTCGAATGCGACCCACACTACTGCAATCCCGTTCATCGCCGCCCCAAAGCGACCCAAGGGGAACGGCGAGTCGTGCATGTCCTTCCGGCCGTTGGAGAGCGAGACGGCGATCGGAAATGTGTAGCTGGCACCGAGACAGATGACCGCGACGGCGACGAACGCGTTGAACGCCGTGCTCGAACCGAGGTACAGCAGCCCCAGGGCGAGCTGAATGGCCGTGGAGAGCAGGAGCGCGTTGAGCGGGACGCCGAGGTGGGGGTGCACCACGGAGAACGTGCGGTGGAAGGGCAGAGCGCCGTCCCGCGCAAAGGCCCACGTCGAGCGGGAGGCGGCGCACGAGATCGAGATCGCGCAGAACATGCCAATACCGAAGACTGTCGCTGAGTTGAGAAAGTAACTCGCGTCGTCAACAGAAGGCGTACTGATGAACCACTGCTGCGAGTCAGCCAGGGAATCGACCCCATCACAAACACAATCGGACACGCACCAGTCCGAATCCACCTCCTTTCGATCCCATTATCAGCTCGAACAACAGACCGATCGGCTGTCCGCTGCTGACTGCGTGTACAATACGATCAGGCCCCCTCGTCCGCTCGACGCATCAATGGACATACCGGAGATCAGGGTGGCGATGTCGGGAAGCGTGAACAGAATCGGGACGAGAAAGAGGACACCCGTCAAGAAGCCGATGGGGATGGACCAGACAATCGCGCGCGGCACATTTCTCGACGGATCTCTCACCTCTTCGGCCATGCCTGCGACTACGCAGAATCAATACTTGATCGAGTCGAGCTTCGGGCCCGATGCACCACTCACTCATCCCTATCCCTGCGAACGTATACGCTGTCACTCAAGGTCAGCCTCAGGTAATCATAGACATTCCGACTCCTCTGCGCACCAGGCTGCACACATGTTAATTCTCATACCACCTGTAAACAGGAGACCTCACTGGCAACAACCCGATGAAGAACCCCCAGCCGGGTGTCCACCCCGATGGCCCGGAATCGAAATGACCGAGTGCGAAGGCAGCTGAATGCCGGCCTGCAGCGGCCTTGGCCGACACGCAGACGAGCGTTACTGGTGCCGATTCAGACTCGCATCGAGCAGAGAAGAGCAAGCAAAAGGGTACCGATGACTCCCAGGATTGTCCAGTACGCAGAGATGATCTAGAGGCAGTGTGGGAACGCGCTTCCCAGTCCCAGATGATGCTCACATCGAGCAAAGGCAGAATGCCATTGAAAAATGTGCAAAAGGCCAGCGCGACAGCTGTGACGCCGAGAAAGATGACATCTCGACGCTCTCGTCAGTCTCTTTGGCGGTGCGGCGAGTGAGTAGGACTGACAAGTCTGCCAGGGTTTGGCCTCCCAATCTGGTAGATATATCCCAGCACCTGCGACGATAAGTTGCGCCGTACCCTGGCGCATGCTGAGCTTCGGAACACAAACGCGCACACGAGCGCACGAAGAAGAAGGACGGAGCCTAAACGCACAAACGTCACCGAGAGACTAATCGTCCAAACTCCCACCGTCGTCAACCATCCGTTGAACCAAGAGAGCAGCAGTCTCCACCTCGGCGACGCGAGCCGAAAGCACCAGTAATAAGCGCCCGCAGACGTCGGATACTTTGAGCATATTTCACCGAGGGATAGCGCGAGAGGCAGGGCAAACAGAGAGACGAGAAGCCAGCTGCATGCGGTATCCTTAGATAAGGCACATGGATCACTCATCGGAGAATACTGACCCCCAGAGGATAGTGGCGGGGCCTCCCGCGGCGAGGGAGGTGGCAAAAGGGGCTGCGAGGCCGAAGGCTGTGGAGCGTCCGTCGGAATGGGAACGGTGGCGATAAGCAGGAGAGTGCCTCACGGACGGCCATGATCGCTTTGCGGCCCTCAGTGATGCAGCTGACCTGTACAGGACAACGGCTCACCCAAGGTCACTGCGGAGACGTCAGCTATATCGACACGCAGCGTCTGAGCGACGGACTGAATAGGATGTGGAACAGCCCGCGCGACTGGGGGGTGTGAATCGACGGGACAGCCAGTCCACCCGAAAGAAAGCTGCACACACGCGGGTCATCTCTTGCTCATAGCCCAGTTTCTGTAAATCTTGTGCATGTGTCGAGGACTCAGATTCAGCCATAGCTGAAAGGAAAGGTGCCGGGAACTCGAACGGCCCGAAAGCCCTTCAGACTCTTATCGCTTCGAAGGTCCGAACAGAAGCAAGCCCATTCGGACCGAAAGCTACTAGCCTTCTGGGTTTATCAATCGTGTACGTATGTACTCGCCACTGGCTATGACCCGGGACCAAGACGTGCTTGGACTTTCGTGGTACAAGGAGGCAGAAGACATTCTATTCTGAGAGCGCCATCTTCAGTACCTCGATAATCATATCGACTTCTTCAAGAGTGTTGTAATGCAGAAGCCCAAGGTCGTGCACAGCAAGCCCGAAGAGGCACGGGGTCCAAGACGTGCTCTGTGGCCTCCGTGGTCTCGTTAATCTTTGCGCTGTGCATAGCCCACTTTGCACTCACCGTGTGAGAGTTCACAGGCGAGCGAAGTTACGAGAAGTTCGCGGCCATCGAGCAGTGGCTTGGCGGTCGCATCGCCGGGACAGGATGAGCGCTCCCAGGCTGTGACTGATGTTGTCGTCTTCGTTTGCAGCTGTGTGACTAGGTCTGCTTCACCCCATCTCCTCAGTGTGCGGAAAATTCCAAGCCTGACTCCGTCAATCAAAGATCGGTCGCTGTGGCCTCCATCGTATGCGCCCACACGTGATCCGGGCAGGGAATGCCTTGAAATCAAGCCTTCCGTCTGCCCGAGAGGGTTCCTCCACGCCTAATATCTCCCGCTTGCGGGACGGCCGCCGAATGAAATCAAGGTTGGTGTGGGGCACATGCTTGAACTATCGCGTCTGTGGTGTTCCGTGCCTCTCTGCCTTGCCGGTTTCTCAGTTCCTCGACTGCCTTTGAAAGTGGAGAAAAGAAGCCTGGACTGCGATCTTTACCGCGCCAAAGTGAGAGACCAGCTACAAGATTATCAGGTCCTTACTACATGCGCGTCCTCTGGGATGTGTTCGACACTGCCGTTAACATGTATGAATTGGCCAGTGTCTAGCGCTATCGTGTTGCTCGCTAAACTGTCGACAGCACCGCTGATGCTTATGGCTGGAATCACCCCTGGACTCAAGGCGACATTTCATTCTTAAACGACTGTTCAGCTGTGTCCTCAGGCACTTGTGGCCCTTTGTAATGATGTCGCCCGCCCGCAAGTCATTCAGCACGGTCAACTCGGAGCAAACCACTCGCCACTCACTGATCAGATACCACACTGCGCTGATCGCTGCAAACCCCACGAACACGACCGACGCGTAATCTGGGGCAGTGTGTCAGCTCGCCTGTCGGACCGCAGCAAACAGCCACCCGTCGTACTCATGCTCTGCCGCGTGACGGGCACCGCCGGGGGCATCGAGAACAGAACGAGCTGGAACGCGACCCACACCACTGCGATCCCGTTCATCGCAGCGCCAAAGCGGCCCAAGGGGAACGGCGAGTCGTGCATGTCCTTCCGGCCGTTGAAGAGCGAGACGGCAATGGGGAATGTATAGCTGGCGCCAAGACAGATGACCGCGACGGCGACGAACGCGTTGAACGCCGTGCTAGACCCGAGGTACAGCAGCCCCAGAGCGAGCTGGATGGCCGTGGAGAGCAGGAGCGCGTTGAGCGGCACGCCGAGGTGGGGGTGCACCACGGAGAATGTGCGGTGGAAGGGCAGAGCGCTGTCCCGCGCAAAAGCCCACGTCGAGCGGGAGGCGGCACACGCGATCGAGATCGCGCAGAACATGCCAATGCCGAAGACTGTCCATGAGATGAGAACGGAACGCGTGTCGTCAACGGAAAACGTACTGATGAACCACTGCTGCGAGTCAGCCAGGGAGTCGACTCCATCACAAACACAATCGGACACGCACCAGTCCGAATCCACCTCCTTTCGATCCCATTATCAGCTCGAACAACAGACCGATCGGTTGTCCGCTGCTCACTGCACCTACAATCAGACTGCTCGTCCTCTAGACGCATCAATCAACATACCGGAGATCAGGGTGGCGATGTCGGGAAGCGTGAACAGAATCGGGACGAGAAAGAGGACACCCGTCAAGAAGCCGATGGGAATGGACCAGACAATGGCCCGCGGAAGATTTCTCGACGGATCTCTCACCTCTTCGGCCATGCTTGCGACTATGCCAAACCAATACTCGGTCAATTCGAGTTCCGTGTCCAATCCAATACTCACTCATCCCCATTCCTGCAAATGTATACGCTGTCACTGAAGGTCAGCCTCCGTTACTCATAGACATGCCGATCCCTCTGCGCACCAGGCTGCACACATGTTAACTCTCATTCCGTCCGCCCGAAGGAGAACGCACCGGCAACAACCCGATGAAGAATCCCCAGCCGGGCGTCCAACCCGATGGCCCGGAATCGAAATGGCCGAGTGCGAAGGCAGCTGAATGCCGGCCCGCAGCGGCCTTGGCCGACACGCAGACCAGCGTCACTGATGCCGTTTCAGATCCCCCTCGCGGAGAAGAGTAAGCAAATGGGTACCGATGACTCCCAGGATTGTCCAGTACGCAGAGATGATCTAGAGACAGTGTCAGAACACGCCTCCCGGTCGCAGATGATGATGCTCACGTCGAGCAAAGGCAGAATACTATTGAAGAACGCGCAGAAGGCTAGCGTGACGGCTGTAACAGCGAGGAAGATAACATCTCGACGCTCTCGTCAGTCTTTCCCATTCTGCACAGTGCAAGGAGGACTGACAAGTCTGCCAGGGTTTGGCTTCCCAATCCGGTAGGTATATCCCGGCCCCTGCGATGATGAGCTGTGTCGTTCCCTAACGCCAAATCAGCTCCGCAATCCACACATGCGCGTGTGGGCGTGCGAGAAGGACGAAGCCTAAACGCACAAACGTCACCGAAAGACCAGCCGTCCAAACGCCCACTAGCGTCAGCCATCCGTTGAACCACGAGAGCAGCAACCTCCGCCTCGACGACGCAAGCCGGAAACACCAGTAGTACGCCCCGGCCGAAGTCGGGTACTTGGCGCATATCTCGCCCAAAGACAGCGCGAGCGGCAGGGTGAGCAGAGAAACGAGAAGCCAGCTGCATGTGGTGTGCTGAGAACAGGCATGTGAGTCGGTCAGCGGAGAAGACTGACCCCCAGAGGATAGTGGCAGGCCCTCCCGCGGCGAGGGAGGTGGCCAAGGGGGCTGCGAGGCCGTAGGCTACAGAACGTTCGTCGGAACCAAAGGGGCAATAAGGGGGATGCCTTACGAACGGCCATGATCGCTTTGTAGCCTCAGCGATGCCACTACTTAACTCGTAGAGGACAACGGCTTACCCAAGGTCACTGCAAAGACGTCAGCCATATCGAAGCTCAGTTTCTGACAGACGGACTGAATAGGATCTGGGATAGCCCGCGCGACTGGGGATGTGAATCGGGACAACCTGTCCACGCGAAAAGAAAACTGCACACACACGGGTCATCTCCTGCTCATAACCTAGTTTCTGCAAATCTTGCGCATGTGTTGGGGACTCAGAGTCAGACATCACTGGACGGAAAGGGTGCTGGGAACGTGAAAACCCCGACAGCCCTCCAGGTACTTATCCATACCAAGGTCCGAACAGAAGTAGGTCCGTTCATACCGGAACCTACTAGCCTTGTGCAGGTCATCAATCGAGTACGTACTCGCCACTGGAATGAACGGAACCGGGTCCGAAATGCACTTGGACTTTCGGAGGACAAAGAGGCAAGCATTCTATTGTGAGAGCGCCACCTTCAGCACCTCGATAATCATGTCGACTTCTTCTAGAGTGTTGTAATGCACCAACGACACGCGCACGGCTCCGTCGTCCAGCGTGAACGGCGGCGGAAGGTGGCTCGCGAGCGTATATGCGTACATATGTCCGTATCGAATTCCAATCTGCGAAGAAGACTGCGTCAGATCCAACTGAAAAAGAGGGAGGCAAGCCAGTCGGAAGTACCCTGCCATCTTTGTCGAACACGTCGACGATCGCCGTACTCCGAATTGGCCTGTCACCAGCAACGATGAACGAGATCGTGGGCACCCGATCGGCAGACACCTCCTCGACACCCACCACCAAGACACCCCGGGCACGTTGTTCCGGCGCGGTCAGGAACCCAAGCAACTTGGAGACCAGCTGGGTCTCGTGTTCGGCAATGGCTGCAAAAGCTGTCGTCAAGTCGTGCTCAGGCACGAGCGATTGGAGGTACGGGACGATCGCGGTGGTACCATACACGGCTTCGTAGCCCGGTCCGCCCGGTTGGAGCTTGTATGCACCGTGCGTAGGGATGAAGTGATGTGCGATCGAGGCCACAGACGACTCCATCACCTGCTTTCGAATGTAGAGAGCGGAGACGTGTGGGCCGTAGACCTTGTAGTAGGAGAATACACAGTATTCCTGGCGGAATATGGCATGAATGCAGCGCACGCAAGGAAGGACAACTCACGACGTCCCATGCCTGAACGTCCATCCTTCGGTGTGGCGCATACGCCACACAATCGACCGAAATCTCGACTTTGGCAGCACCTTTGGCAGCAGCCTCGGCACGAACGGCCTTGCTGACCTCTGCGACAGGCACAACAGAGCCCAACAAGTTGGACACGGCAGGGAACGCGACAAGGCGCGTCTTCGAGGTAATCAGCAGCAGCAGTTCTTCGATTTTGAGCTGGTGAGAGTAGGGATTGTTGGCGGCGGTCGGGCTGGATATCCAGTACTTGATCACCGCTCCCGTTCGCTCAGCAAGCTTCTTCCACGGTCCACAATTCGCTATCAGAGATGAGTGCCAATCCACAACTCCAGCGACGCCGGAAAGCACCCTCGTGTTCGCCAGTGACGATGAACTCGTCTCCCACTTTGATATCCTTCTCTATCGCGCGCGCCAGATTCTCCAGATTCGCGGTCGAGCTGGGCCCGAAAACGACCTCGTCGGCACTCGCAGCGTTGAACAGCTCCCGCGCGCCCTCCGTCGCACCCATCACTCTGTCGGTCGACGCGATCGACAGCTCGTATCCTGCGCCGAATTGGACATTGGTGCTGATAAGGTAGTCCGTGAGACGATCGATGGAGGACTGGATGATCTGGCTCCCGCCTGCGTTCTCGGCGAAGACGAAGCCCGGCTTCTTGCTGAACGCGGGGAAGTGCGAGCGCACGAACGCGACGTCGAGGGCGGGCATTATCGTGATACGCAGGGTGGAAGAGGGGAAGATGGGTTTCCCGGTGGGAGAGAGGATCTGCCGAGCCGATGCGGGGAAGGGATGTTTTGCGCATCCAATCGGCGAACACCTTTGATTCTTGACATATGGTCGTCGTCCCTCTTGCCCCACATGCTGGCACTTTCGACCGGCGTGGGGGCCATCCTCCCTTTCAGAGTTTCAGGCACGTCACTGGTCATGAGCGCCCAGTATCGGCCCTGTGATCGGCCCGGACGAGTGGTGCGTGCAAAGTTGCGAACAGGAGTCATACTTATCAGCGCTCGAGCGCCAGTCGCGATGCCCCCCTACGAGGCCGTCGTGATCTGTCGGTGGTGGATGGTGGTGGCTCAAGACAAAATGATGCGGTGATGGCAGCTTGGGCCGCGCTAACAGACGTTTTCCGAGTCTCTGCTCCAGGCTCCTCCTCACAATTCAGCACGCTTCAAAGAGACGAGTGACTGCTTATGCATACTTGATCTATTCTTCGAAAAATTATCTCTATTTTTCTTGGCTATCGTGCTCGAGCCCCAAGGCGGGATGGACGTGATACTCGGGAAACTCATCAAAAAGTCTCACCAGTGGGCACTCCAAGCCCCTTCCCTATCCCGAAATCTCCAACGCCGCAATTTTGGGCTTCTTCTGATGCGTCTCATCTTGGTTCCTCTGTTTGATAGATTTGCTTCATGCTCAAGATAGCATCTCTCCATCGGGTCCTGCATCATCTGAATGTACGTTTGCTGACATTGATTCGGGTTGCAGAGAGGCACCGCGTCGGCCTAAAACCGAAGTCAAGTTAGGGTCAATTTCCCGCCGGCAGATTAAATCTAGACAAACTCCTGGACGGCGAGGATACTGGACACCAAGTGGCTGTGATGCATTTGTTCAGCTAGAAATCTACGCATCGTGTAATGCTCGCGTCAAGTCGTCAAGGATTGGACTGGATGTTGGAATTGGTCTTCAGCCATTCGATTTATCGATCACCGGCGTTCAACTTGTCTGAGCAGATCCGCTACAACCCCGAAGCAAGCTGTCACACGGAGCTCCGCATCGCAACGCATGTTTCGAGTCATAGTCCTGCTTACTGATCCATCAGCTACAATGGGTACACGTTCCGGGACACGTCGAGTCATGGTCTTTATATATCACATCATCCCCAGCGCGTTCCAGAATCCTTTTGGTCTGCCTGTCATGGATCCCTCACCTCCAGAGTACAACGGGCACTGCGTGTGCGCGTCACCAGAATATTCTCCCTGCGTATCCGAGGGAGAGGTGCTACTCGACGCGTCTTATTCGGCCCGCCGACGCGGAGGGTCCTCGCCCACCGGCGTCTACACCAAGGTGTTTGATTCGACCAACGTCACCTTGTTCAACCAGGGAGACGAGCCTTCCTATGGCAGGCAGGGCAATGTGCAGGGCTCTGTCGCCATCCTCAAGTGTCGAGAACGCGTGCAGAGAGTGGAAGCCCTCGTTCGTTTTCAGACTTGCACTGCCGGCGCCTACTGATTTTTCAATTTCCGCAGCTCGAGGGACGGATAGAAACCAGCTCACTAGATGCAGGCGCTTTCGAAACGATAATATTCCGGCACGAAGCCACCCTTTGGGATGCTGCTGAGCCGGAGACACGGCAACCCTCCTGTCCAGACGCTCTGGATTTCTCCTTCACGTTTCCCTCCACCTTTCACGACGGCAAAGAGACATCTCCACTCCCCCGTCGTACTCGACTACATTTTTCGGGATGCCGAACCTCAATGCCCGGTGTACCTACCGACTGCGGATCGTCATAGCCCGCCGTTCCAAAACGCTGAAAATGTTTGCGAAAACCCAGGTGTTAGTGCTCTGGCCCAGTGTTCTCCGAAACGCCCTCATTCTTTTATCAACGCAGGCTGAGTCTACATTTGAACTACCATCCCCGCGCAACACCCTCGGACGGCATCTCCGCGATACAAAACTCTGCACTAGCCGACATCAAACTCTCTCCCCAGCCGTGGTCGCAGCACTCGTTCTTCGGCGAATCCTCTTTCCCAATCCAATGCGAAGTGAGTGCGCGCGCCGCATCTGATGTTCTAGTGCATTTATCCATGGCCTGATCACAGTTCTTCATTCCGGCTCTGAAGGTCTTTGGCATCAGGGACACCATCCCCTTCCATATCCAGATCTCATCCCGATCCGCGTCTCTGCAACATCGCCTCCAACAACAGGAGCCCGCTTCGAGCAGGTCACCGCCAACCCGCCCCCTGGTCTGTGTCTATCTCACACGCGTGGTGACTGCGACCTATCGCGACAAACCCGTGTCACGATCTCAAGTCATTGGGAAAGGCGACATCCCGCCTCTGCCCGTCCTCGTGGGATCTGTGCCGGCGTGTGACAAGGAACTCAGCTTCAACCTCAGCGGGACTGTGCGCTGCGCGGAGGACGCCATCCAGGCCGGTGGATTCCACGTCGCGAGTCTGTCCGTCTACGTAAGTGCTCGTTGAATACTCTATCAGCGTGCTTTCTGACCGGTTCTTTTGTGCTGTTAGGACTACCTGGTGGTCGAGGTCGCCCCGGGAAATGCGTGCCATCCCATTCGATGTCAGATCCCTGTTCGATTTGTCACGGACTCCTTCCATGAGGCATAAGCTTCGACAAAATATGTTATCATTCGGATAGAAATGCCCATGGACTATGAAATAGACTCAAAGTCACTGTAAATAATTAGGCAATTCTTACTGTAATGGTGCAATTCAACTTGATTCTGATCTGTTTTGATCGATTGATTGGGCAGATAAGATTAGATCTTTCGGCTGCGAACCCAGAACTGAGAGGTAGGTCGGTCGGTAGATAGATTACCAGCGCGGTCCCAATGAAGAGAGACTGGGGTACTTAATACACAGATGCGTCACGTGTATGCTTACAGACATCCAATCAGCTTTTTCTCCTCGAACACTTAGAGCTCAACGCGTTGTTGTTCCCCAATGACCCACTGCCGACATTCGAGATATCCAAAGGGGTTCGCAGAGGTCGACATGACGATTATATTCACAAAGAATCACGACAGGTCCCCCACAGCCGATGAGAAAGGAACAAAAAGGTGAGGTGCCGCCGGTCAGTAGAGCTAGAGCTCCCTTGTACGATTTGTGTCTTGGACTTCGAATATGACTTTAGCGACGCACATTATCAGATCCGAATCTCTTCCATAGATAAGCAACGCCGGGCACTGCTCGGGGACCGTGCAGTTCTTGCTGCGAGAGTAACGAGGTAAGTGAGCGCTCTTGCCTCTTCCTTGTTTCAAGATAATTTCCAAAGAATACGAGATTCATTCTTGTTTACAAAGCATTCCTAATGTTAACTTGATTCCTGCTCAAGCTACCTTCACCTCTCCGTACCCTACGTTTTCTAATATTCGGAATGAAAAGAGGCACCGCGAGGCAGCGCGTTGGCCAACAATCGAATTTAAGCTGATGTCATTTTCCCCCACGGAAAATGAAATCTGGACAAACTTCTCGACGGTGAGAATACTGGACACCAAGTGGCTGTGATGCATTGGTTTAGCTAAAATTCTATGCGTCGTGTAATGCTCGCGTCAAGTCGTCAAGGGACTCGAGAACTGGATGTTGGACTTGATCTCCGGCGTTTCAATTGATCGATCACCAGCGTTTACATAACTTGTCTACACAGATCCGCTACTATCCCGAAGCCAGTTGTCACACGGAACTCCGCATTGCAATCCATGTTTTGAGCTGCTTACTGGTCCATCAGCTACAATGAGTGCGCATCCGCGGCAAGTACCCGTCGAGTGATGGACTTCATATATCACACCATTCCTGGTGCGTTCCGAAAGCTTTTAGTCTGCTCGCCATGGATCCCTCACCTCCAGAATACAGTGGGGATCTCCTGTGCGGGTCACCAGAATATTCTCCCTGCATATCCGAGGGAGAGGTGCTTCTCTACGCCTCTTGTTCGACCCGCCGAAGCGAAGGACCCTCGCCCACTGGCGTCTACACCAAGGTGTTCGATTCGACCAACGTCACCTTGTTCAACCAGGGAGACGAGCCTTTCTATGACAGACAGGGAAATGTGCAGGGTTCTGTCGCCATCCTCAAGTGTCGAGAACGCGTGCAGAAAGTCGAAGCCCTCGTTCGTGGTCAGACTTGAACCGCCGGCGCCTGCTTATTTTTCAATTTCCGCAGCTCGAGGGATGGATAGAAACCAGGTCTCTCGATGCAGGCGCTTCCGAAACGGCAATATTCAAGCACGAAGCTACCCTTTGGGACGCTGCCGAGTTGACGACGCAGCAGTCATCCTGTCCAGACGCTCTGGACTTCTCATTCACGTTCCCCTCCACCTTTCACGACGGGAAAGAGACATCTCCCCTCCCCCCATCTTATTCGACGGCTTTCTTCGGGATGTCGGACCTCAATGCCCGGTGCACCTACCAATTGCGGATCGTCATCGCTCGCCGTGCCAAGACACTGAAACTATTCACGAAAGCCCAGGCGTTCGTTCTCCAGCACATTCTTCTCCGCAACGCCACTCATCCATTTTTTCTGGAACAGGCTGACTCTACATGTGAACTACCACCCGCGCGCAACAACCTCGAACGGCGTCTGCGCAATGCAAAACTCTGCGCTGGCCGACATCAAACTCGCTCCCCAGCCGTGGTCGCAGTACTCGTTCTCGGGCGAATCTCCCTTCCCAATCCAATGCGAAGTGAGTGGGTCCTTCGCACTTTCCGTCATTCTTCTGCATTGATCCGTACATCACCTCGCAGTTTTTCATGCCGGCTCTGAAGGTCTTTGGGATCGGGGACATCATCCCCTTCCATATCCAGATCTCGTCCCGATCCCCGTCTCTGCAACATCTCCTCCACCACCACCAGCAGCAGCAGCAGCAGCAGCCGGCTTCGAGCAGGTCACCAACAACAACCCATCCCCTGATTCGCATCTATCTCAAACGCGTAGCGACTGTGACCTACCGCGACAAATCCGTGTCGCGGTTCCAAGTCATCGGGAAAGGCGACGTCCCGCCGCTGCCGGTCACCACGGACTCTGAGCCGGAGCTCAGCTTAAGCCTCAGTGGGACTGTGCGCTGTACGGACGACATTATCCAGGTGGGGGGATTCCACGCCGCGAACCTGTCTGTCAATGTGGGTGTTCGTTGTATCTTCGATCAAGTATCGTGCTTTCTGACCGGTTCTTTTGTGCTGTTAGGACTACCTTGTGGTCGAGGTCGCCCCAGGGAATGCGTGTCATCCCATTCGATGTCAGATCCCTGTTCGATTCGTCACGGACTCCTTCCATGAGGCATAAGCTTCGACGAAATATGCTATCATTCGAATAGAAATGCCCATGGACTATGAAATAGACTCAAAGCTACTGTAAATGATTCGGCAATTCTTACTGTAATGATGCATTTCAACTTGATCTGATCTGCTTTGATCGATTGATTGGACAGATAAGATTAGATTTTTCGACTGCGAACTGGGAACTGAGAGAAACACGGTCAACATCCCTACCTCTCCCATACTGTATATCAAGCCATTTTCCAGAGAATATGAAATTCATTCTTGTTTACAACGGGTTGCTAATGCTACATTCATTCCTGTTCACGCGCCGTTCACCTTTCCAATCCCAGAGATCCAAGGGCAGCACGCGGAGCATGGAGAAATTATTGGGGTGCAGTTGTTTGAGCAGATGTCGGCGACTCGTGGATATCGTGCACCGTGGCCTCGCCTTGCAGAATCTTCTCGCCGTGCTCTTTCAATTCCGGCTGATATGGAAGCTCAGGATCATGGAGGACGGGGGCAACAACGTGCTGCTCACCTTCGCGAGCAGCTAAACAGCGGGAGAATCCGGTCAAACACTGACTGCAAATAAACTCGAAGTAATTACCGTCCCGCGTGTTTTCTGGCAGCCACAAGGTTTCCATGAGCATGGCCGCCTCAGAAGAATGCGGAAGGAAGAGACCGCACCTTTGCTACACCGATGACCCGCTCCTTAAACGGCACGACATGCGGCTCCTGCTGCACATACTCCACATTCTGCTCCTGTTGCTGCTCGATCCCAGGCCCCGCGTCGCTCGCGCGCCTCATCGTCGCACCGGCGGCAGAATTACTCGACTCGGGCAGGATATCCTGGTTCGCGGTGCTCGTCTTCGTTTTGGCGTCCATGGATCGGCGGCGCAGTTTGGGGCTTCTCGAGGACGACTGGGTTCGGGGTGGGGAGCGACTGGTGAGCGTCGGCGAGAGCGGGGGTGTGGGGTGTGATAGTGCGTCCATGGCAGCTTGTTATGTGTGTATATAGGATTGGTGTGGAGCAGGTGTGGGGCACTTATACTACGCGCTGGAAATGAAATGAAATGACCTCGACGTACGATGGTGTCACCGTGACGTCATCGTCCAGCGCGGATCTTGTCGTGAAACGGCGTTCGTGCTTTTAGCGCGACAGGGACCATAGAGAGGGAATTGCGGATGAGAATCTGTAGCTGAACGGTCAGCTATTCAGTGCATTGCTCAAGTACTTGCGACCGACATGAATATAAGAGACCTTCCGAGATCACGTGCGATTTCGAGAAGAGCACGTGGTATATGTTCAAACTGCAATTTTTGTACAAACTACATGGAGCGGCAAGATCTGATAGAGCCAGTGAAGTTGAATTCCAAAGAAGAATAAGCGTCTCCGTTTACTTCCTTGCGTATCAGATAGACATCCGAAATGCTGTCGGGACGCTCAACATTGTCCAGACTATCCTGATGTTCATTTCCCAGACACAAGCACATATGAAGTACTTTTCTCAATGGGCCAATAATTCGTTCATTTCCTAGAGGATCAACTTAATTTCGGATCAAGGCCTGAAACTGCAGTCCAGAAATTGAACCACCGCCACGTGACCTGTGTTCAAGAAGCAATGCCGTCTACGGACTGGATAATGGCACATGCACGCGAAGCCAGTTCCAGACTATGATTCTCCTAGTCTGAAGTCTGATCTCTAGTCTGAGCCCTCGGCGGCCGACCTCTCGCGGAGCTGAGACAGCCTGGGAAGTCAGCTGAGCTAGCTATTGAACGGAGATGAACTTCCTTCTACATCTCAGGCCTGATACATCACGTGGACCTGCTCGCTCCCGCGATCCCTCGCCCGTGATAAAAACGCACATGCTGGGGATGGGAGAATCCACTCACTCAAGGTAGTTCCTCCATGTCCCCGCCAGATTCACGCAGCCCTCCACCTCCTTCAAGCGCTGCTGAGACAGCCTACCTCAGCCTGATGCGCGCCGCGCCCTCCTCCGCGGACCGACTCACACTCAAGCCCGAGACCCTAGACGACATCTACGCGCAGCTGCGCGCGGTCGAGCCGGGTTTCCTCATCGGCGAATGGACGGGCGGTGATTTCCCCGAGCTGGGGCACCCCGTCAGCGCCAGTCTCACGCAGATCCGGTGGGCGGGGAAGAGCTTCTACAGCGCGGAGGACGTCGTGCCGATCGTCGTGTACGACGCGCAGGGGAGCAGGACGCCTGCTTTGGAGCCGTATGGCAAGGCGAGGGTGTGTCATGGGTTTCGTCCCGCTGCTGTGAACCTGTTCCTGGCTCATTGAGGGCGCAGATCCGCGAAGTCAAGTTCCGGGGCGTTGTGTCTGCCGCGATGGTGTACGACATCCTTGCGATCATCGACCATTTCCGCTATGTTGACGAGAACACCGTCGCGGGAGTCATGGACACCAAAGATGCGCCGCCCGGATATCACTTCTACTTGAAAAGACTCGACGCGAAAAGCCGTCTGTAGGAACTGTGGCACCGAAATGGATAGTTCATTCATAGCACGGTTGCTGTACACAAATAAGAGCGTCCTGAGTTACAAAAAGTTCGTTATACAGTCCATCCTTCTTGGGGGTAAGTACATGACATGGCAGTCCGCCGCTCAGTTCGTCGTCGCGTCCGTGAACTGAGTCGTCGCGAAGCCGACCGCGGAGTTGGTGGTGCTGAAGATCGAGTAGAACCGCTGCAGGAAACCAAATCCATCTGCAACAAGCCACGTGCTCAGCATGTGACCGGGTAAGGCGCGACGAGAAACACGCCCACGCACCGATAAAGTCGAGTCCTGATCCGCTATTGCTGCCGAGATCAGCCGTGATCAGGTAGATCTGGCCGTCCTGGCCACCGAGCGTGGAGTTGAGTGCGCGGGGCCAGATTTGCGCGTTCGGCGTCAGCTCGAAGGTTTGCTGCACAGACGTTCGATCAGCCGAATCCCGGACGTAGAAATTGCAGCTCACATCTCCAATGGCGAAGAACAGGCTCTGCATGTTGTCGAACTGCGACTGCGTCACGGTGAGCAGGCCCGTGGCGCTGTCGAGGGTCGCGCCGGTGGCCTGCTTGTACGCGTTGAAGGCGTCCGTGGCGATCATCAGCAGCGTCGTGCCGGTGTCGACGATCCCAGCAGTCAGGCCCAGAATCGGGCTTCCATTCGTGCCGTAGCTGTCCGTCTCCTTGTCAGTCTCATACCGAAGAAACGGGGAACAGACATGGCGCACGTGATGGTCTGATCGATACCCCAGTATCTAATCGCAGATCAGATAAGCTGCGATAGTCCCATCGATCTCAATGGCACTCACTGGCTGGCAGGGGAAGTCTTCGTGATCGGAACCCACGTGATCTGGCCGGTGAACTTGGTCGCGTCCATTCCCCCAAACGTGAGCTCGCCATTGGCGACGCCCGCGGCGGTGGTCGGGACGTAGGAGATCGAGATGGACTCGGCGGGGATCGTCCCTTGCGCGAACAGGTTGTCCGTCACAGTGGGCACGCTAGTCGCTCCGCTGACGGTCGTGCTCGTCAGATCCACGGGGCCAATCCTGCATGACGGGTGGAATGGGGCAGTCAGCGGGCGGTTGATCGCACATCGGAAAGAAGAAACACCGACCCCAGGATTCCGTCGACGCCATTGAAGCCGGACGCGGTCGATGCGACGCCGATCGACTGGTTCTGGATAACGAGGCCCGGCCCGAGCGTCACTTCGTCCGTGTCTGCACAATCCGTCAGAAACGAACAGCAGCGCGGTGGGCGACGAACATTCGGTCCCAGAGAACTGGAATTGGCATCGTCAGAAGTCACCTCCCGGACAGAGACAGACGACATACCGATCCAGAGCCGTAGCTGACATTCACGCTCTGGCGCGTGTCCTGAACCGCATACGCGTCAGCACCCGCGCTGCAGAGGCCGCGACGCGCGCAAACTCACCGTGCTGGTCGACGTCGGGACGTACGCCTTGGCCGCGCCGACCCACGTGTTCGAGCTCCCGGTGTCGATCAGGAGCGTGTACGACGTCGGCGGCGACCCGACGCCCACGTCCATCGTGTACGTCACCGCTGCGAACGCGTCAGTCAGCACGCGTCGGCGCGTCGATCCGGAGCCCTGTCCCGCTCACCTGCATCAGTGACGTCGACGGACCCAGTGGCGCCCGTGCCCGCGCCCGTTGCGGGGCCCGTCGGCGCGGACACACCCGTCCCGCCCGGCTGCTGCTGGTGATGGCGATGGTGGTGGTGGTGGTGCGCGGCGAAGCTGCGCTGCTTAAACGCGGCGGGGCCGTGCGGCGAGATGCCGTCGAGCATCTTGCGCGCACGGGCCTGGTCGCGCGCGAGGATGTGGCGCGCGCCGCCTGCTGCGATGTGCGTCGTGAACGGGAGCGCGCGGATGACTGTGTGCGACATGGTTTCGTGAGGCGGTGTGGTGCGGTGTGTACTGATGATAGGTGGTTGGATAGTTGGAGAGCTAGATCGTGAACGGAGGAGAAAGAGAAAGGAATGAAGAGCGATATGGGCACCCCCGCGCGCCCTTTATACCAGACATCCGCATCGCCCTCCCACACCACCTGCATCAGATCCAGAAGCCCTCGCTCGGACTGTCTCCAAACTCGTCATCGAGAGCGGAGAAGCACCGAGCTGCTGGAGATAGCAACTGGGGACGCTCGAGAAGACGCCCCAACCGGCGTCCGCCGGTGACAGGGCGAGCTGAGCTGCCTGACACACCGCCTGGATCTGCCTGGAGGGCCGGACTCGGATAAGCACGGCGCGAAGGGGCAGCCGATACGATACGCCACGGCTCATCCTGCCCAAATGCAGCGATTTACCCGGGCGTGCGCAGCCGTGGAAGCAAACCTTATCGGCTCCAAAAATACGTCGTCGTCGTAGCCAGGTAGGCAGTGCAAGTGAGTTACATATACTCATCAGCATGCGGTATTCGGTCATCCTTCCCCAGTGTCCAGGGCTGCGGTGCGGAGGCCGGCTTGGATTGAATGCTGTGTTGGGGTACTGACAATCCTGTCATTTTCTTCTCCTTCTTGCATTCCGACAAGCAATGGAAGCCCCAGACGCGAGGAACCCTGAGGAACATGTCATCAACGAGAGTGGCGTCTGCAGCTTAGTGCTGTCGGCGGATCCCGGCCGCCTTCGACTTCTCGCATCTCTGATGCCCATGACTCATGTGATATGATATGCATAGAAGCGAATTTGAGTCGGTGCTAATTACGAATAGATGTGTTGCTAACTACTACTAACACTGACTAACTACATACTACTTACTCTACTTTGCTGATTAAATGTCCGCGCCCGCCATCGCGTACAACGCGTCACGCTCCCCCGACTCCTCAACCAGGGCCCGCAGCTTCCCATCTGGGATCTTCAGCAGCTCCTTCGGGCTGTCAAACTCAGCCTGTGGCGGTAGTCAGCGATCAGAAACACAATGACAGGGGCGAATGAGGACGCACGATGTTGCCCGCGTCGAGCACCATGATTTTGTCCGCATCCATGATAGTCTGCAGCCGATGCGCCACGGTAATCAGCGACACATCGTTGTGCAGCTCCTGCCGCAACGAGTTCTGGATGATCGCGTCCGTCTTGTAGTCAATCGCGGACGTCGCTACAGGGCGAAGAAAGGAAGAATCATCAGTAGGGAACACCAACGAGTAGCCGAACAGTCCCCACCTTCATCCAAGATTAGCACCTTGCTTTTCCGCACGATGGCCCGGGCGAGCGCGAAGATCTGCCGCTGGCCAACACTCAAGTTCCCGCCGCCAACAGCGACGGCGCTGTCTAGCGTAATCCTTCCCTCGTCCAGCTCGTCCTGCAGCGCGAACAGCCCCGCCGCGCGCAACGCGTAGTTCAACTCCAGATCGTCGTACTGTCCAAAAGGATCCAGGTTCGATCGGACCGTCCCGCTTAGAAGCTCGGGCTGCAAAACCACGTGAGCATGGGAGACTCGTGACGCTGGAAGACTCGCACTGACCACTTGGGGGATGATGGTGATGCTGGAGCGCAGCGCGTCCAGATTCAGCGTGGACGTGTCGATGCCATCGTAGTATACTTTGCCGTCAGTCGGGATACATTGGAGCAGTGACAGGGTCAGCGAGCTCTGCAACAACAAGTCAGCGCGTCTGTTTTCGAAGCACAGCAGCAAGCGCGCACCTTTCCAGAACCAGTTCGGCCGACTAGAGTGGGGCGAGGTGAATTCCGTCAGCATGCTGATAGCAAGAAGCCTCGGAGGAGGAAACGCACCGATGCCGATCCGCTCTCCGGGCTTGACCGTAAACGAGATGTTGTGCAGCACATCCGGACCAGTCAGCGAGTACCGCGCGCTCAGATTCTCCACCCTCAGATCTCCGCTAGCAGGCCAGTACGCCGGCGGCACTCCCGCAGGCGTGGGCGACTTCTCGTGCTCGATGTCGATGTAGTCCTGGATACGCTCGAGACTGTTGCCCTGAACCTCAAAGTCGTTGAAGATCCGCACGGCCCAAAGCAGCATCTGCGTGAACGTGATCGCCATGTTGATCAGGAAACCCGTGTCGCCCGCATTCGTGTGCTTGCCGTAGACCAGGTACGCGGCGAGCGTCGCCGAGAACAGTGAGCCGAGGAAGTCGACCCGGACTGAGATCCATCGGTTCAGGTTGTAGAAGCTCCGCGCGGCACGGGTGTACCGATCAATCCGTATCAGCGTCTCGCTCTTGAACTTGCTCTCGGCCCCAAACGCACGAATCGACACTGATGGCGGTAGTCAGATCTCTCCGGCGGTGTCAGCGAGAAGTTGGGACATACCCAAACCAGAAACAGCAGCACCAAAGCTGGATCACGATCAGACAAACTCGTTCAGACAAAGATAGATGCGATCAACTCACTGTGCCAGGACAGGCGCACGGGCGTTGGACATGAGCCGCTTCACGGAGAGTTGCCCGGCCATGTAGATCTGCCCGAGGTACGCACCCGCACCCGCGACCGCCAGCCCAGGGAAAAGGAACACAGGAGTGTACAGCACGACAACACCAAATTTGACAATCATGGAGATAACCATGCTCGCTAGGGGCATGAACAAGTTGGGCAGCGAGTCGTCTATCGCTCGGACATCCTTGGTCACACGCGCGATGATACGTGACGTCGGTGTGACATCCAGCCACCTGCGACGATGGTTAGAATAGAGAGCGGGGCAGCACTGGGCAAGAGCGCAGACCTCAGCGGCGCGCGCAGAACGGAATCGACGAGCTTCTTGTGGATCACCCGCGAGGCCCGAACTTGACCGAACACCAGAGCAAAGAAAGCAACCAAGATCGTCAGAACCGTGATCAAGACTATGACAACTGTAGATTGTGTCAGGGGCTTGAGTGCATGCTAATTTGAAAGTGTGATACCGAAGATGCCCAAATTCCTGTTTGTCCATTTCAGTCAAGCATCTTAGAAACATCAAATGGGACTCACAGCACAACATCGACATCGCTGGCTGGCCTGTCATCGTATTGGCGCGCCCAGTAGCCCAGCCACCACGTGCGAACGGCAGTGAAGATCTGGTTCAGAACCAAGCCGAGCGTAAACACGATCCAGAACACCGTAGCGTGATTACCGCCCATCGCCTTGAAGTACATCAACACTAAAGCCCCCAACGCTCAGTAACCACAAAAAGACGAACAATACAAGAGACTCACGGGAAGCCGAGCTGACATGTCCCATCTGCACTTCCTCGGCAACGATGAGCTTGCCAGCGACTGGCGCTGCCGCCGCAGGTTTGGTCTCTGCTTCAGTCCCATCCACGTTTTCTTCCGCCTTGGCGATTGCCTTCTCCTCTTTCCGGATCTGGCTCTCCAGAGCACCGCCACGAGTGAGGATCTCCGACGCCGTGCCCTGGCCGCTGATGCGGCCGTCCGAGGAGAACGTGCAGACGTAGTCTGCGATGTGACGGGTAAGTGCGACGTTGTGGGTCTGCAAAAATCCTTAGAAGGCGCGACGGAGACAACAAGAAAGACGGACGACAAGAATCACAGTCCGGTTTTCTGGCATATTCGTCAAGACTTGATATGATACAACGGCAGGACAACTTACGGATTAACGGTCCAGCGAAGCATTTCTCGACGATCCACTGAGAGGTGTGGACACTGGGCCGGTGTTAAAAGGAGAACAGAAGACAGCAGCTAGAGCCACTCACTCGAGAGCAGCAAGTACATCGTCGAGAAGGAGGATGCTGGCGTCAGAGTACTACACAGGCCGCGTCACTTTCAACGCAGCCAACCACCAGTCAATGAAAAACCTACCACCGCACGAGCCAGCGTCAAACGCGCTTTCTGGCCTCCAGAAAGCGTCAAGCCCTTCTCGCCAACCTCCGTTTTGTCGCCAGCCTGGAACAGAGCCAGATCCTGCTCGAGTGAACACTGATGCACGACCTGTCTGTAGCGCTCCTCGTCGAACGGCGTGTTGAACACGATGTTGTCCCGGATCGTCTCGTTGAGTACCCACGACTCCTGCGCCGCGTACGCGACACCGCCACTCCGCGGTAGGTTGTACCACGAGTCAGGCGACGACGGGAGATAGTGCATTTCCCCGAGGAGGGCCATCAAAAGCGAGGTTTTGCCTGGTTCATCGAATTGTTGGCGCTTGTGATCATGAAACACACGGGCACGACGCACCAGAACCAGTAGGGCCAACGACCAGATTGATCTTCCCTCGCTTGAAGATAATCTCATTATCGAACTTGAGTGAGAAATGGCGAGACGACCGGGTGAGCGAGCCATCCGACTCGGATTGCCAAGAGAACGTCGCGCGTCGGAACCCAATCTCCTCCGAGCCACCAGTGTTGATCAGAGCGCGCGCTTCAACCTTCTTCTCACCAAAGCTATCCAAGAGCTCTGTCTGTATGCAGATCAATAACGTTGCAAGGGAAACGAGAGCGAGGCTTCTCACGTTCTTCAAAAAGTCGTTCATGCGGTCAAGCGAGACTTTGCCGCTCATCAGGTTGTTCAACCAACCGGTGATCTACAGACCCTTGAACACAATGCGACACCGGAAGCCAAGGGAACATACCTGGGCGATGTTATCCCGCAACAAGTCGAATACGGTCATGCTAGAGAAGACTTTGGATGCGTTCAACGGCTGTTTCATGATCAAAGTGTAAGTCGAATATGTCGCGACCATGGTCACGATCTATCCCAAGTCAGTCGCACAAATGGACAGACGAGGCCAGAGGCATACGGGAATCAAGACACTGAGGGTCCGTCAATCATGATACACCTTTGAAATGCAGATACGCACTTGACAATGTTGCTAGCCATATCCAGGAAACGTCTCTTGCGGATCCATCCCAGTTCGTCCACCCGCTAATACGAACGCGCATCAAGACATTTGAATCGCCGCGGAAGACAGACAGACCCACCTTCTCGTCAATGCGCTCTTTCATGCGCTCTTCCCAGCCGAAAAGTTTGACCATCCGGAGAGAGTTCACAGCTGTGCCGTTCTGTCAACCAAACTGGCCGATGGCGAAACAGCAAGCTGCGGCACACCTTCGCTGACGCCCGTGACTCGATCGTCAGTTCGTTTGAGACGTTCCTTCTGAACCGACTGGACCATTTTCGCCACTGAGAACCGTCAGAACAAGGACACCCAGCCTGAGCCTCAGACGCACTGTATCCCGGGAGGGGCACCATCAACAGGATAGAGGCAACGCCCACCCAGACAGACCATCCGAGTAAGGAGTGGAGGAACCAGATTCCCAACGTGATCTGCAGAGGGATGGACAGGAACAGGTTAAGCAAGTCTCGGCTGTCGACTGGAAGGACAATCAGCAGACCGAAAGACCATCCACACAGAGATCATACCAATGTTATCCAGATCGGTGGTCACCAGGTTGTTGATCTTGCCCACAAGACTTCCGCCAGACTTGGGCTTGTCGGCAGCAGGCGCTGTCGCAGCAGTACTATGCGAGTCAGCCTTGCTCGGCGCCTTACTTGGAGCAGCTGATTTGCCAGACTTGACGCTCGCAGATCCACCGTGGACAGTGCTCGACTGGGCATCCTCCCCTTCAGCATTCTCCGACGTCGCGGGAGGCACATTGTTCTCATCATCTTCTTCGTGGGACTCCGTGCGAGACACCGTGCGAGGCGTTTCGGAGGTGGAGGTCGGCGCCGATTCCTGTTGGGTCTCTATTTCCGCTTTCATGCGGATACGCAGACTGGCGAGTGCGTTGTGATTACATGACACGTCATTTGGAACAGGGCGTGCTTACCTGTGCGTGAAAACAAGCTGAGTAAGGATGGCTTCCGCTTGGACCAAGGAACGAGTCTAGACACCGCACTAAGCATGATCGGAAGAATGGGTGTGATGAATTGGAGCATACGTTGATGAAAACGTAGGTTTGCATTGCCACCGAAGCTAGAGTTCATTAAGACACACGCGTCATTGTTTCCCGCTCCAATGCTCACCAACGACCGGACCGAGGAAGATAAGAAGGATCCATACCCAGGGCTTGACTGGCTCATCTTGGCCTCCCTTCTCAATGAATCTAAACGGCCCGTTCAGTCACAAGCCATATTGTAGGAGACAACGGACAGCAGCAGATGGTTCATAGCGTATGGCCTAGAATAGCCATCAGGTTAGCGAGATAATCAGCTCGGTCATTAAGACCCACCCCGAAAGCGCCATGAGAACTCTGACGAGCAGCAGACAGCCCAATACGATGAAACGCGCTCCAAAAACTCTCATGAGCCCAAAAAAGATATGCCCACGCGCTTTCCCCATGTAGCTGTCGAGATACTACCACGGACGTCAGATCGATGATTCCGTCACCAACAGGGGGCTGCTTACTTTGAAGCTCTTGCGGGTGAGATACTCAGAGGCATCGGAGTCACGCAGAGCGTAGAGCTGCGGTTCGTCGAGCTTGCCCTGGCGGTAGGCCAGGAAGATGATCCCGTCCAGGAAAAAAAAGAACGCATGCGAGATGATTGACGCGGTTTCCTCGGGATTGAGTTCCGTGTGTGGATTCTGAAATAAACCGTCAGCAGGATACATATCGCCGCGCGCAATGCCGCACCAAAGGATCGACGGGGATGTACTGCCGCGGCGTAAACAGCGGAATAACGACACCAGTGGCGAAGAGGAGGGTGATGGTAGCCCAGAGGATCGGCGAGTCCGCGTCCCGGGGGACCAGGGTAAACGTCGCAAGCGGAACAATGTCCCGGTATACGTAGACTGCGAGCGAAGCGAGGATGACGAGGTTCACATGTCCCACAACTGCACTGCGCGAGCGGCGGGGGTTGACAGAGAGCGCTGAGAGGATCGTGCAGTAGCCCTGGAACGAATAAGCCGCCGAGTAGGTGACGGAGACAACGGCAGTTGGCTTACATATGCCACGGCGGCAACCAAAGCGCCCTCTATGCCTTCCACCGCCGCATATATAGACAGCCCAAGGAGTGCGAAGCATCCGACCAAACGCGCAATCCGGAACCGCAGAATGACCCCAGTGCCAATCCCCGGCGCGTCCGCAACAGGCTCGTCCGACGAGATCCCAGCACGGACAAGGAGGCGGTGGACGAAAGGTATGGATCCCAGCCCTTGAATGACGAACAGCAGGACCGAGAAGCAGGTGGCGATGCCAGGAACCAGTAATGTGGGATCCGCTTTGAGGTCATTCGAACCAAGCCGAAGATGCCCAACGCTCTGGACGTCAGACGCCCAGGCATTGAAGCCCAGGACGGCCTGAGGTGTAAGCCCAAAGTCCATACAGCGCACAGACTAGGGAGAGATGAGAAGAGATATATTTTGGGTCACATCGTGACAGTTACTGTGGGATATCATCGAAACCTTCGCCCCGGCAGAGTCTCGGCAGACGTTGCCTTATCGACGTCATGCCGGCTGGGCCGAGGCTCCGCGGCGAACCAAAATTAGATTGCAATCAGGTCAAGTAACAGCCTCTCGCGTTGCACCGACGCGATGACTCCAATAGCAGCGTCATAGAGCTTGCTTCCGCCTCACTCATGCCCTCCGACGGCGAATCGTCGAATGATCTCGAAAACACCGCGCGTCCGACTCCCAGCCGCAGCTGCGATCTCTGCAGGAAGAGGAAAGGTGTGTGCTCATTCCAAGACGTCGCGGAGACCCACTTATTCAAGTGCGCAGTGCGATGTGAGTCGGAATCCAGACAGCTCTTTCCTGCTACTCTCCGCTCATAGCATAAATACCAAGGTGATGGACCCAACAAGGAAGGTGGTCACTGCACGCTCTGCACCAACCTCAAGCTCACATGCACTTATCTCGATCCCGTGAAGAAACGCGGCCCCAACATGGAGGAATTGCGGCAGGAAATCCGCACGCTAAAAGCCAAACTGCGGTCGCTCTCCCTCTGTCCAGTGTGCTCTCGCTTGATAAACGACTGGGATATCGGCCCGCCGCCGCCGGCAACACCCGTGCCAAAGCGCAGACGAAGCCGAGAATCCCCTCTAGGAGAGGAGACTGAGAGCCGGGTAGAGGATCCGCTCGGGTGCATTAGTGAAGAACCCTCCGTGGACGGCCAGCGCGTCGAGAAGATGTACTTTGGGCCTGTCAGTTCGATGGCGCTGGCGCATCTGGCTGTTGTGGTATGCCGCCCTTGCCTTTCACCCGGTCTTCTGATTGCCTGAAAAAAATCCATAGAAGAAGGGAAAACATCATGGGCGTCCCCAATTCCAGACGCGATCATTCTGGGACGTTCAACCGGTCGGTCTCTTTTTCAACTCGTGAGATCTAGCGGTCAATGGCCAAACAATTCGAACAGTGGGAACGTCATTCATACACGCAGTTTCCGGCATACAAATTTCCCGACCCGGATCTCATCTACAAGCTCGTCTCTCTCTACTTCGCTCGTATTCAGCCCACATTTCAACTCTTGCATCAACCGTCTTTCGAAGAACTGCTCGCTGAAGGGCGCCAATACCACGATCCCCAGTTTGGAGCACTTCTGCTCGCTGTCCTCGCTGTCGCATCCCGGGTATGTTTCGAACGATCTCAATAGCAGCAAGGCTCACACACTGCTCAGCTTTCTGACGACGTCCGGGTTCTCTGCAACGGTTATTCGCTCTTGTCCTCGGGCTGGCCATTTTTCAGTCAAATCCGTTCGCCACCCATGATACCGGGTCCCAGCGTACATACCGTCCAGTCTTATGCGGTCAAAAATCCATGTTTGCATTTCAAGCCGCCACTCATGTCATGTTGAAAATAGTTGATGGCTCTGTACTCGCTTGGGATCTCGATGCCCGAATTGTCTTGGTTTTACATCGTAAGTAACATGCTCGTCTCTTCATGAAACTCATTATATGATATCATCACCAGGGCTTGGCCACCCGATTCTTGCAACATCGCGGCGAGCATCAGCGCAAGCGAAAAATGGACCAATTGAATGCATCAGATGAGCAATGGAACCGGGCGTTCTGGTATTCCATCCGCAACGCGCCCGGAGAGCACATATTCACATTGCATCCAGGACGACATTCGATCTCGATCGTGTAGTTAACTCCGTCTTCGGTCTCCCTACCGGGTTGCACCTGAATGAGTGAGTACGTGATTCAGAACCAGCGGATGTCATTTCTGATATGGTTCATCAGATGCGACGCCGATCTGCCGCTCGAAGTGGACGACCAGTACTGGTCAAAAGGATTCACACAGCCTGCAGCCGTTCCATCGCGCCTGACGTTCTTTGCATTGCAGGTCAGACTGAGTATCGTGAGTGATGGAGTCGAATTTGTCGATATTATTGTTCATCCGGATGATGAGATCCTCGGCGATGCTAATCGATTGTACACCAAGGCGAAAGCCACTCAAACTTCTTCAGAAATAAGAAATGTGCAGGCTGTGATCGAACAGCTCGACTTCGCTATGCAAAGCTGGCTTGGATCGGTTCCAGAGGATTGTATGCGATACGCTATGTTCAACGACAAGAATTGACACTCGATAGTACAGTGGAACAGCACACATCCGGACCCGGACAGCGAGTTCTTTGACCAAGCATGTTGCCTGCGCATGGCATTCTTATATGTGCAGTTGGTGGTGCGTCTTTTGGTCATTCATGCCCTGTTATAGGATCTCATGCCAGTTTCAGATTCATAGACCGTACATTCATCGGGAGGAAGTATCTGGGTCGCCGTCTCTGTCCATCTGCATGTCCACTGCCCGAGATCTGATCGAAGCAGCTGACGTTTGGATCACAACGCGACAGCAGGCACCCGGAATGTCAGGCATCTTCACGGTTCGAAATCCCCTGTATTTCTATCCCCCATTTACACAGCTCGTAACAGCATCATGTGTTCTTCGCCGCGATCATGCTCATCGTAACGCACATCGGCGATCAGCCAGACGAGATGGCCCAGGACAGACCGTACATCGAGAAAACGCTAGGCATCCTCGAATTCGGTTCTGCTAGGTATGCTGGGTCTGATCTCTGGTGCCTCGGTCAGTCCTCAGCTGCGCCCAGGTGGCAATCCTCCGGCCGATTCTGGGATATGATCAGCGAGTTCAAGCACTACTTCCAGGAACCGACGCCTGAAGCCGAAATATCTACGACTTCTACTCAAGATGTCGATACCCAGACATTCCTATCAAGCCCAGCGTCCCGTGATGCTCACCTTGAACCGGGTGCTTTTCTTGACTCGCAGACACTAGAACAGATGCTGGCCTCCGATCCGGTGGGATACACATTGCCCTTCTATGATACCTGGAGTGATCACGAAATGGATGAATATCAGCACCAATCAGGGTGAGTGGTCGCGATCTGCGTCTTTGAGCCTGAACACCAATCCAGAACGCCAGCCTCGCGCAGTGGGAACAAAATCTGGATTCCACCCGAGACCATTGGGACCAAATCTGGCTCGCATACGAGCCCATCAACACCTCCGCTTTCTATTAATGACTCGTTTCCTCAATTCTGCGCGACTTCCGAGATGTTTATCCGGCTCGGACGACGCCCATAGTTATACACCTGATCGTGTTGCCAAGTCACAAACTTGAGTGATCATACCACGTGAATTGAGCTTCAGATTCCCAAATCGGTGCGTGCCTGAATATAAGTGCGCGAATGTATGTGAGGTCAATGAATACATTACAAAATGGACTATACAAATGACTTCAAGAAAAGATGCAACGACAACAAACGACGACAGCCCAGCCCACCACTCCCCTACCCTACGACGCGGGGGGCGGAGCCTGCGTCTGGGGTGGGCCCGTCCTCCTCAACGTCACAGGTTTGCCCTCAGCTGGTTTTAAGCGCTTGGCAAGAGACTCCGCATCGCTCGATGCTCCATCATGCGGCCGTTTCGCAGCCCCGACAAGTGACAAGCCCGATCCCTCGGCGCTTCCCTTGATACTCAATTGCGCGGGGGCAGCTGCGTCGCCGCCGCCGCCGGCCGCCGCGGCGTTAGCCGCACCGGCACGCCCTGACGCAGCTGCGCCCCGACCTCTGGCAGCGCCCCGACCCCGGACGTTCCCGCGAGCAGCAGCAGCTGTCGCAGCAGCCGCGGAGGCGGGCTGACCGGACCGCGCCGCTGCTGGTTTTGGTGCTGTGGCCGATGCTGCTGTAGGTGCAGGTGCCGACGTCGAAGGGGCCGATGTCGAAGCCGGTGCTGGGGTTGACGTTGAAGCAGATGTCGATGCCGCTGGTGCAGATTGGAGCGCAGCAATCTTGGCCTCGAGTTCTTTGACCTTGTTCTGCGTCCGCACAAGCTGGTTGTCCTTCACTGCCATCTTCATTTTGAGTTCCTGTCGCCCGCGCTCGATCAGCTCCTCCTCGCTTGCTTTGGACTGTGGGGCGGCGGTGTCCTCGCCGGAATTCGCTGCCGCTTGGGCCTCAGCTTTGGCCTTTTCCACCGCAGTTTTGACCTCCTCAGCGTGATGCGCCTCCAGCTTCGTCTGAAGTGCCTGCAATTCTTCCTGGTGCTTCTTCGTGACCTCTTCTGGGGGCGCAGCAGCAGCAGAAGTGGCTGCGGCGAGGTCCGCCTCAGCTTTCTTCAGCCGTTCCACCAACATGCGCATCCGATTGCGAGCCAATTCGTGAGCTTCCTTCAGTTTTGCCTCCCCGGCGCGACTTTGCTGTAAATCCCAATCAGCCCTGATGTAAACAACGTGAGCGAACGCACACACCTTTTCAGCTTCAACCGCCGCATCACGCGTTTTGACGAGCTCCGCTTTCTCAGTTTCCCAAGTTTGTTTTGCTTCCTCCAATCCAGGGGCAGCTTCTTGAGCTGGTGGAACGGCAGAAGTTATGATCCAATTGGCCTTTTCAGCTAACAACCCATCCCGCTCAGCGGTCAGAGCAGCCTGGATCTCAATTAGATCTAGATGCACCATGCAAGAACTGTCAGCGCGCACCATCGCAGTAGAATTGTCCTCGCTCGGAGTCTCAGTCGGCACGGATTGCGACTGCGCATCCTGCAGAGTCTTAATCTGAGCCTGTAGCGAAGCCACCGTGGCCGTGAGCTCGGCTTTCTCCGCCAACAGTACCGACTTTTCCTTGTTGACAGCCCCGAGGTTCCTCTTGAATCCGTCCATGTTCTTGGCGTTTATATCTCTGTGGTTCCGCATGTTGGCTTCGACTGCTTGGACCTGTTCTCAGTCAGCATCGCTTTCGTCATGCATCTGGAAAACACACGCACTCGAGCTTCCAACTCGGCCACTTTGCCCTCAGCCTCAGTCTTTCTCGCCTCGGCCTCTTCAGCCTCCTTCTTCCATTTGCCAGCCTCGTCCTTCAGGGCCTGAACTTCAGCGGGATCGATACGCTCGTACTTGCTTAACAACCCAGCATTGCGTTCCTGCCATCTGCGGTTCTCCTCTTCAAGCTTGGCAAACTGGCTGTTCTTCGCCTCGAGCTCGGCCTGTGCAATTTTGACCTGCTCTTTCGCCGGATTGAGCTGGGCACTGAGCGTCTTGAGCTGTGATTCAAGCGCTTTTGATCGTTTCAAGTGCGTTTCTGACTCTGCGCGAAGCGTCGCGTTGCTCTCCCGCAGAATGTTGAGCTGATTGATCCTTTCAAGCAGCTCCGCGTGCTGAGCTGCCGACGCAGCACCTTCAACCGCCTTCTCTCGTTCCTGGTGGCCATGAGTCGTTGCCGACAACAAGTCAAAACCTACACACCTCGGACAACGTCTTCCTCGTCTCTTCCAGCGTCTTGCTCAGATGCTCAATCTGCGACTTGAGCCGGGTGTTCTCCTGCTTGCTCAACTCGAGTTGCAGATCCACGATCTCCTTCTCCTTACGCAGATATGTCACAACACTTCGCAGCTCAGCCAGCTTCGTCTCCGAGTCTGAATCAGTCGTGGTTGTGGCTGTCACATCCCCATTCTCCTCCGAGGCAGCCGCAACCGAACGGATCTTGGCCGCCTGTGAGCTCACGCTATCCAGATGCTGATGCAGCAGCGAGTTCTGGCTCGTCAGTTCTTGGCACCGTCGATTCAGATCAGCCACTTCCTTGTCCAGCGCCTCTTTCTGGAGAGCCCAGCTGCCTTCAGACGCAGTCAGCTTCGCAGTCGCTGTCTGCGCAGAAGTCTGCGCGTCCCGAACGGCCGCCTGAGCGGCAACAAGCTGCTTCTTGATTCCGTCTAGAGTCTTGATCGATTCAGCGCGCGCAAGTACTTCCTGGTCCCGCCGGTCCTCTGCAGCCTAAGTCGGCGTTGAGTGGGTAATCGAACATTCTGTCTGGGGAAAAAACCTTGGCCCGTTCCTCCTGTAACCTGACATCCCTCTCCAAGGTCGTCCGGTCACTCTCCGAAAGCTTCTCTGACGTCCCAAGATCGACAATGGTGTCCTCGAGCACCTTCTTGTCGTTCGTCCATGCCGTGCGCTCAGTCTCGAACGATTTCTGCAGCTCGTTGTATTTGGCATTCGCTTGGGTAAGCTCCTCTTGCGCAGCTGTCAGCTTCTCCTGTATCGCAGCGAACTCGGACTAGACACGAATCAGGCGACGACCCGCTGACGACTTGCCCACATACCTCGTGCTTAGCGATCTGAGCCTCGGCCGAAGCTCTATACTCGTCGTGCGTGTTGTTCAGATCCCGGAGGGCAGCTTCGTTCGCTTGACTGATTTCGCGGTACTGCTCCACGTGGCTTCTGGCGGTCTTGAGATCCATCTCCGTGATTTTGAGCGCAGATCGAAGTTCCGCGACCTCGGCCTGGAGCTGTTGCTCCCCAATTGATGTGACATCCATGGAACTGTTGTTGGCAGCAGCGGCAGCAGCGGGCCTCCTCTCGTATACAGACAACTTCTCCTCATTGCCACGTAGTTGGCGTGCCAGTTCCTCGACCCGTTGCTCGAGATGCGTCTTGCTGGTCTCAGCAACGACTAGAGCCTCCCTGGTCTTGGAGAACTCAAGCGCCGCCCTGTCGAGTTTGTTCTGCAGATCCTTGATCTCGATTTCTTTCTGCAGCGTCAGATGGCGAACTGTATCCCGTTCGGTGGACAGCTGGTTCTTCAGGTCCTGAGTTTGGCCCTCGAGCATCTGGAGTTGATTCTCCAGCCTCCTCCGGTCGTTGTCACCGGACCTCTCCAAGTCATTATGCATCTTCTGAACGTTTGTCATCAAGTCGGACAGATGCGAACGTTCCATGGCAAGTGTGCGGTTCTCCTCGACAAGACGCCCTTGAACACCCTGTGATGATGAGCTTGAGAGACCATGATGCAGATTGGATGACACGGACCTCCCAGATCTTCTTTTCTGCTCTGAGATTCGCACACTCATTACGCAATTGCTCGATCCGGCCGGTGGCAACTTGAAGATCTTCAGTCGCACGCCCACATTCGATATCAACTCGTGTCCACTGATCGAACAATTGTTGATTCCGTTTTGTCATGTCGTCCATTTCCCGGCTGTGTGTGGCGACTTGTTCTTGGCTCATCCGCTGGCGTTCTGGGGAACGAATGAACGCTGCAACGACAGAAATGTGTGCGACTCACCAGATAGGTATTCGATCTTCGCATTTGCCTTGGCAAGCTGAGTCTGCAGCTGACCGGACTCACGCTGCATCTTGTGCAAGTCTTCGCGCAGTCGCGAGGAGTCAACCCCCATCTCTGTTCGATAGACATCGAACTGGTTCTGCACCTCCACAAGCTCCTTGGCCATGTCGCTCGCATTCGGAGGAAGACTGTCGCCAAACCCGTTCTCATGAGTGACGGATCCGTTGGTCAGCACGCCAGCAGCGGGTGGGACACCACCCCGTTCGTGTCGGGCCAGCATGGCCTTGAGAGTGTCCCGTTCTTGGACGTAAGCCTGGATGATCGTGTCAGAGCTACTCTTTTGCCTTTCGAGTTGCTCCGCAAGCTCTTGCATAGCTTCGTGGGCCTCGCGCACTGCTTCAGTCTGCTCGCGATCCAAAACGTCCCTATACTCGCGCTCCTCACTCTCCATCTTGTCGCCCAATTCCCGCACAACCCGCAAAAGCTTCTGGTTCTGCTCTTGCAGCTCAGGGATTGATTGGAATAGGACAAGGCTGTTCGTGATGACCCCGTCGATCGTATCTGGGGGTGCGGCGGCAAGCATCTCCAGGTCTTCGTCGCTGGGAATGGACGGATCCTGCACACGGCCGATTTCGCGCAGGAGATGTTTCACCTGGCGGCCCAGATCAGTCAGCTGCTGTTGGAGCAGTTCATTCTCCCGCGTCGATTGGGCCAGCTTCTGCGAGCTGTCTTGAGCAGCTGCGCTTTCGTTGTCCCGGTCCGCGATAGCAATGGCGAGTTGCGATGCCAAATGGGCTGCTTCGGATTGCAGGCGCTGGTACTCGGTGCGCTGTTGACTTAACACAGGCGCCTGGGTCAAATGAGCGAAGATGTTATCAGGAAAAGTCGATGAACTTACACGCTCTTCGATTTGGGTGAGAACTGCAGAGAGAGTTTCGTCCATACGTTCGTACTCGGTGCACTTCCTGCTGTATTCTTCCTGCAGTCGAACATAGTCGGTGTACACCTCGGTGAAAGTCTTGCCGCTCTTCTGTGCCTTGCTGACCATCGCCACCGTCGGACTGAGACCCATCAGCCCGTCGACGGTCATATCCATGCTAGGCACAGGTAAGTCTCCACGGCCCATCCGGTTCATCACCTCCTCCAATTGCTCCAGGCGTTTCTCAGCATCCTCGCGGGCTCTCCTCTCCAGCTCTACCTCCTCCTTCAAAGCCGCCTCTCTCCTCTCCGACTTTTCACCCACGCCAGCCCATTCCCGCTCGATGCTATCCACGATCTCCTTCGCCTTGGACTCGCGCTCCTCCATCATAGCCACCAGGCGACGCAGTCCGCTGGCTTCGCTCGCATATGTCGCTTCTTGCTCAGCGAGTTTGCCGGTCAGGTTCTGCACCTTCTCGAGTGCTTGAGTGAGCTGGTGACTTTGGGCTGTGTGCGAGGACTGCAGAGCTTTCAGAGATGCGTGAGTGGATGCATGCGTCTGAGTCAGTGCGTCAAAGCTGGCTTGCAGAGTGACGAGTTCCGCATGACGGGCCCTTCGTTGCTTCGCGTACTCTTCTGACTGTGTGGTCAGGTCATTGTTGGCGCGCTCGGCTTCAGCGGTCTTGTGCTCCAGGTGTTGACGCAGGGTTTCGATTTGGAACTGGCACGGTGTTGGAACCTCGGAACACAGAGATACGCACGAGTCAGAAAACGCACCTTGTTGGATGTTTCCGAAGACTTGAGCTCACGCAGTTCGCTTTCGAGCTTCTGGTGCTCTTGTCGGGCCTCTTTCAGGTTCGTGCGGAGGGTCTGAACCTCCTCTGAGAACTGCTTAGGCGAAAAGTGATAGATCGCGCTGGCTACGTACCATCCCGTTGTGTGCTGTCCTGCTTCAGCCGGCTGATCACACCAATGAGGTCGCGTTTCTCTCGTTCGGTGTCATCAATGCGATGCTTCAGAGAATCCACTTCGGTTGTCGAGGTCGTCTGTGATCTTGAAAGAGCAGAGACCTGATTCTTCAGTGCCGTTTGGGAAGTTACTGTACATACCGTCAGCCACACGGTACCGCACACACGAAACGGCGAGCCACTCACAAAGTTCGTCCCTCTGCGCCTGCACCTCTTTCAGTTCCTTCTGCACAGATTCAACAGAAGTTTCAGAGTCCCTTGCGGCCGACTCCTTGTCCTGCAGCGCCTGGTCCAACTCGACCTCCATCCTCTCCACCACTGCGTGCTCCTCATCGCGTGCCTGCAGCGCTGACTCGACCTGCGCCGCAAGGTCAACGAGCCGCCGGTACAGCTCCGTGATGCTCTCCGCTGTGGGAGCCGAAATATTTGTGTCGGGCAGAAGACTGGAAAGTACGTCGATGTCGACGTCCGGAGGTACGGAGACAGAGAGGTGGGTCTCCTCTGCGGTCCCTGAGGTAGAGGCAGCGTCGTTGTCAGTGGTTTCGGCCGCCGCCGCTGCGGCTGCCTTGCTTTTTCGACGCGTCTTCATCATGATTCTAACCCCGTCCCGACCGAGAGGGTGTCAATGAACGGAAGAGGCGCGGCGTGTGTGCGCTTGTTTGGCTGAGGCGCCTCAATTGTTCGCCATTCAGACTCCTCATTCAAGTTTCTATATAATCGTCTATGCAGTAGAATAGCTGAACGTGGTTATGCTGTCTGCTTCTTACTGACTTCAAGACTCAGTGGCCATTGACGTCGAAAACAAGATGATCATCATGGCCGCCTTCGGCGTTGGGCACATAGCCCTCTTGAGGGAGACCTGACTCGTCCAGCCCCTCTGCCGCCTCGATGATTTCGTACAGCCTTGACGCAATCTCAGGAGGAGGGACCCGTCCGCTTAGAATGTCGCGAACAGGCACAACGGTGCCATAAAAGTCGCGGTTCGCATCCTTGCGTTCTATAAGCATGGTCCCTTCGAGCGACACGCCCGCGAACAGCCCTACAAACGGAGAATCGCGGGTGAGATGTGTGGGGCCCAGTAGTCGGTTACGCACCTTTAGATTTGGAATACGAGAACATGGGTGTCGGCATCGACGCAATGGCCGCCTGCACGCTCCCGCCAGTCCCGATAGGCCCTGCCGCCGCACTGATGTTCCCCCCGATAGTCACATTCCCTCCCTGCGAGAACGCCTGCACGGCCTCCTCGTCCCTCAGCACGATCACAAAGTCCGTTATGTCCGCGCCGATTTGCAGTCCCCAGCCCAAGCCGCCGGTCGCGATGCACGATGGAGCGGACCACGATCCGTCGGGCAGCCGAGCAATGACGATTCCCGAGCCTGCTTTGCCCGAGAAAACGAAGCCTGCTTTGAGCACTTGGAAGATGGCGAGACCTGTCGCCCGGGTTTAGTCAGTGATCAGTCAGTGCACTGGATGGCCCAATTAGGAGAACCAGGACGGAATTCACCTCGAGCGTTCTGGAGGACAGATTTCGGTATAGAATTCAGGGCCGACTCGGGTCGATCGGGGTCAGCTGTGCACACGTCAGTCTCAACAGATCCAGCCTGTCTGAACAGTGCGCGACATGGAACCTACCTACCCAAGAAGCTGTCCAGAATCTTGGCCGCCTTCTCTGCTTCGCCAGGTAGACTGAACCCTTGCGCGAATTCCCGCGATCCACTGGCGATCTTCTGCCCACTGGTCTGTGCAAACGCCGTCGCCTGGACCCCCACTTTCTGTGCACTCGACTTGAATTTCTCGAGGAACGACATGGTGAGAGGAAGGTAAGCTGGGTGCCAAGGCAGCTGTGGCTATGACATAGGGGATAAAGTTTGATAAGATCCGATAAGATAAGATAAATGTTACTCCAGACACTGGCCGCAACACTTTGAGCAAAAGTTGTCACGAATTTCCCTTTCACGATGATTACACAATAAATAAATGTATTATTAATCCGATTCTCAGCGCTCAGCCCGTGCTCTGGCAGCCCCCATATTTGGCTGCAGCGAGGATACAGTCCAGGGCAGCCTGATCGGTATACCCGTTGATGACCATGCCTCCTTGACTCGGAGTCCACCAAAGGTTGCCGGCTTCTGCGACAGAGTCCGTCGCGTAGCTGGATGGGGTGTGTCAGCACGTCCAAAGACTCAATTCGACGTACTCACTGGTAAACACCACTGTATTGGGCAAAGACCTTGTTGAAGTATTTGTGGTACACCCGGTTCGTGCTGTCATTGGCGGTGTCGATGTAGTACTGGATAGCGCCGGTCAAATCATGTATAACAGAAAGAATGGATAGGACTCACTTGGAGATGCTTCATGAAGATGCCCTTGAAGACCTGGGGATCGGGATTGCTGCTGGAACAGGCCTTGTATTGAGACGCAGAGATGTCGCAGCTTTCACGAATGATCCCATTCGGTGCAACAAAGTCCGTTCCAGAAAATACAGCATCGATGGTTTGCTCAGCGATATCAAGCAGGGTGTGGTTGGTCCGTCCCCTATAAATCGTCAGTCTCGGCATCCGTACCCTAAGCAAAAAGGCTGACGTCGCTACGTAGAGGCCGGCCAGTCCAGCAGCGATAACACCCTACATCGCTTTAGTGACAAGTTGAGAAAAGACGGTGAAGACGGACCTGGTTGTAAGTCCAAAGGCCTTGGTCAACAGAACACTGGCCGGTTTTGGTGTTGACTTGGATGCCGTCGTACCAGATACCGTCAGAACGGCGAGCACCGGAGGTCTCCAACCAAGCCCAGACCTTGACGGCGACTTAGGCAACGATAACTGCATGGGAGAGCTGGCCAAACTCACTCGTTTAGCATCATTCAAGTATTGGTCACCTCCGACTGTGTTGTACATGGTGGCTGACGTCAGGAGGAAGAGACCGTTCGTAATCGTGTTCTTGTACGTGCAATCGCTGGGGAATCGTTCAGTCAAGGTGTTTCGAAAGCACCATATCGAACTTGCCCGTTCCAGCAAACTCCGCCACCGCAAACACTGGACCCTGCCAGTCGTCAGTCCCCATCAATATCTGGCACCTGATAACACTCACAAGTAACGCTGACACTCTGTTGGATCCCGGAACCGAATGCCTGTGACCAGGTTGGCCGGAGAGGGTGTGCAACGAGTATGCACTCACATAGAAATCACTCGGATGCGGGTCAGAAGTGCTGCCAATCGAAGCCTTGTACTGGCCAACTTTGATGAACCTGTCGGACGTATAAGAACCACGCGACTAGCAGCGAAACGAGACCGACATGAGCGCTGTCCACAATGCATCGTCCCGGGATTCTAGGTTCTGGTTAGCGACAATACGTGACATCGCAATCCGGAGTGACTGACTGCCGAAGTAGGTATCCCATCCCGCGGGAGGCGCAGTCTGACCGCCGCCAGGGTATGGCCCAGCAACTGGAGGCACGATCAGTAGAGACGACAACCATGGCACTTGCACGAACTTTGATTGAAAATGTCGTAGGTCTTGTCTCTTTGAGGCGGTCAGTATCAACACCAGTCGCAATGAAATGAAGAGTACCCAGTGGCCCAGACGTAGTTCTGTTCTCGGTCAGCCCCAGGGCGTGAAACGAACTCAGTCAACTTACATAGAGAGTCTCCCACTTGTTCTACCTGGACGTCAGTGATCTGAGAGCGGACACAGAAGAATCAACTCACAGCATCGGTCCACTCGCGATCAGCATCATCGGGCTCTGAGATCCAAACACCTCCACCAAGGTCGTTTGGTGGCCTAAACACGACGGGATCGTAAGCGAAAGTAAGGAGTCTCGAGCTCTACTCACGCCACGTAATAGGTCATCATTTGGTCGAGGTGTTTCTAAGAAACGGATGAGAGAGGCAAACGAGGCAGGTCAATCGGCGCTACCTTGGCAACACTCTGGAATTAAAGCGTGAGTCCTGAGATACGGTCCGAAGGGTGAGCAACTCACGTAGATCGAGGGACATGAGGTTGGGCCAGAGAACGTCGTAGTGGTTGGCGGAGGCGGCGCCTGAGTTGTTGTCGGCGGCGGCGGCGGCGCACTCGTAGTAGTCGGTCCGCTTGGAGGAGACGAGCCATGGGCGCAAGCTCCAGGAGGACTAAGACCGGGTTCAGACTTGGAAACATCACGGCGCTGCCACAGCGTACCAATAGCCATATGGGCAAGACCAGGAGCAAAGGCCCCCATCGGTGACACCGGAAAGAGCGACGCCTGTGGCAGAGGCGGTGTATGCAGGGAGAACAGGCTGCGGACCTTGGAGGTCGCAATTGCACACGTGCATTGGGCACATGCCGAAACCGCAAGCGAAGCTGCACAATCCTCCGAGGTTGGGATCAGACTTGGCACTGCCCTTGGTACAAACATTGGGATTGAACGGTGAGAAGCTGGGTGTGGTCAAAGGATGCTTCACAGTGTCGCAAGCTGTAGTCGGGCAGTAGCTAGGGCTGTTTGAGAGGCGGAAGCAGTGCGCACATGAATGGCATACCCATAGGTGCAATCGAACGAGCAGAGTCCTCCGTAGCTGGCATCCATGCCAGCGGCGGGATATCCGACAGTCGTAGTAGGTGGCGGCTTGGCCGGCTGGATACCCATTTGAGTGCAGATGCACGACCCGTAAGGACAATATCCGTATTTGCACGAGAAGTTACACAGTCCCTGGAAGTTACCCACCTGATACGGCGGTCAGAATAGATGAAATGTGTGAGAGCCAGAGCACATACACTGGTCCCGGCGATGCAAGTGGCAGAGGTGTCGTAGATTGACCACACGGGAGGAGCGACTGTTCCGGAGCCAGTAGCACTGCCGACCCAGGCATTGAAGTTGTTCAGCCCATTATGGCACACGGTGGTGATCGATTGGCCAGTGACGACCATTCCAGCGACGTTAACCTGCACAGTTCCCAGATTGCCCCCGTAAGCGGCACTGCCACGGTAGATACCAACTCCGCCATACGGCCTCTTGTCCCACTGTGCTGGGATGGAGTTCCCGCCAACAGTAACAGTCGGTGCGACCTCAGAATTGAGCAGCGCCGCGAAATAGATTTTGTCTTGGAGCATCTGCGACGGCGGATATTCAACTTGCAGTTGCGCAGCCACGTCACCAGTCGTCCCCCCATCTCCGCAGGCAGCAGCGGGCGAGAGCCGGAACCAGGCGGTCAACAACTGTTGCGAGGCCGCAGCTTTGCCGGTTTTATACGTCTGGATGAGGTACCTGTGAAATAAGTCTCAACACGAAGCGCAACAAAGACGAAGGTCTCCAACGAACGGGAGGAAAGTAGTCCAGCCGGTGTGAGGCATCCCATCAACATAGTTGAACGGTGCCTTGCCGATGGTGAAAGCGTCATAGGAAGTGGGGTTCAACGGACCTACGGACAACGATGATCAGCTGGAGGAGCAAGGTGAACGGGACGAAACGGCGCACCAATGTAGTGGGACTCTCCAAAGTCGTTCCACGAGATGATCTCCACAAAGTCGGGGCGACTGTAAAAGACCTGGTCCCATCGATCGAACCAAAGAGTGTCTCCATTCCACAACCAGTTCTTGCCATAGCCAGGGAGATTCGTGTAGAACCAAGGTGAAACTATGAGTTGGTGAGCACGGTCACGATCTCAATCACTGTTCAGGCTGACCAGGCATCATGTAATTCGCACCGACCGGGCGATTAGCGATGTCATCACCCTCGAACTGTGATGCAATGAGATCGACGTGAAGATGAGAGGCTGGGGGCAACGAACCAGAAGGTACGACGCGTCCGGGAACGTATTCATGGGCTGAGGTCCAACTGGCCATGCCGCCCAGCTGAACAGACCATCTGCCTGTACGACTGCTCAGATCGTATTCGCGTCAGATCGCGAAACACAAACGGACCTGACCATAGCTCCAAGCCTCTTTCGCACTGACAGCCGACCAATCAGGGATCTTGGCGACATCAGTTGACCGAGACAGACTACGAGGAAGAGGAACGCACGAAATAACAACCCGTAACACTTTTGATATGCGTCCAGTCCGCGTGGTTGGCGTCGCCTGCGAAGGTGGAGACCATAGGACTGCTGCCCCGCTTGTAATAACGCGCGTTGCCGATCCACGGAGTGAGCGTGTCGAGAACCTGCTGCTGCGTCCAGGGTCCGTTGCCGCCGTAGTCGAAGGAGAAGAACAGGTTGAAGCCAGTACTCTGCGCAGCTGCGAACGCGTTGCTGAGCTGGCTGTTATGCGGATCTCCCACAGCCATGTTGATCACGAAGGCGTCGAGCTGCATGGCTTGAGCGGCCTTCATGTCGTTAACCCAGTCGTTGACACCCCATGAACCCGTATTGGTGATCTAGTGGCCAGGTGAGCGACGCGCGGACGTATGGGATCGACTCGCGTACCATGAAGTGGGCAAACACGGCGGCGGCATCCACGACCTTGAGAGGCGCAAGCAGCATCGCTGCCGCGAGCGTGAAAACTCGCATCGTATGTCGAATGGGAGTGCTCGGGATTCTGATTTTTTCATGATAGTATGGCCTCGTTTTATAGTGCTCTCGCCTGCGGATGCAAAATTTTGATTGAGGTTTGGGTCCGAGTCGGAGACTCAAGCAAGATTTGACCGTGGGAAGTTCGCGAGAATCAGGTACGCGATCGCTACATTATCTTACGCGGTCGCAAATTGAGTTGTTTGCGCTGATTCCTTCAGCACGATTGCAACAAGTGGGCAAACGGCCAAATACTCACTGGGCGCATGCGATCACTGACCGTCCTCATCCTGCAGCCTGGGGTGGCCTTACGTTCATTCCGGCACGAAGATAAGATGCGCACCGATACCGGGATATAGCGGCTCCCAAAAGCGCCAGCCGTCGCAGTAGGATTCCCGCTTGAACAAACGCACGCGCTTAGTCAAGATATCTTCAAAATTGACGCGAGCGCGGCGCGCGCCATCTGAAACGCGCGATCACCTGCTTCAGTGTTCCCTTGATGAACAATTTGGTCGCTGCGACTCTAGCCTAGCAGAGATCAATGGCTAGAATGGAGGCGTGTGGACAATGGGTAGATCTTGTCTCGTCTGTGCCTGATAACGAGAGCCGGCGGACAAGATCGGATAAAGGAGGACGCAGAGCCGTGGCTGATTAATGCCGGGCGAATTCAAGAGTCTCGGTAGGTCTCGGTATGACTGTGTATGTTTTAGATTTAGACCTGGATTTGCAAAGTCCGGGAGAGGTGCCCTCAGCCGGGGACTGTGCGAGGAACAACGGGTGCTGTGTCTTGTCGGTTACATACATACATCGTTGATCAAATTTGTATTGAGTTTCAGATGCAACAGATCCAATTCACGAAAAGTACTTGTCCCAGAAAGTCGACGAGCCGTTCGTGGGAGCCACAGCTTCGACACCCAAGAGACGCATCACAAGACTGTAGATCTGCACGTTCTCAAAAGGGTCCATGACATAAACATCGTCTGCAGTCGAGTGCCAGCCGACATTCGGGTTTGACAAGAGCCGGCGCGACAGAGTGGTCTCCCTCCGTTGGTGAAGAATCTTTACGACCGACGAGAAGGGTCCGTGTGCAACAAACATGGCCTGCATTTCTCTGGCGTGGTTGTCATATCCATGACTCTAGTACCAAATCAGGATAGCTTGTCGGGCAAGGAGTGAGGACGCGTACTCCCTTGCTCATCGCGGCATTTTCTTCGCCATGGTTCGTGAGCACATATCCGATCTTTGGAACAACGTATATCGGCGCAATACGTTCGTTGTGCGAGAAATGCCATCGTTCGGACATCGTATCACGTGTGAACACCTCAAACTTCCCGTTGCTCTTGGCAGCAGCCGCTTCAAGTAGGAGCAGGTTGTGGGTAGCATTGACTTTCTCGTTGAACCAGAGACCCATCGCTGGCCAGCCGTCCTCGTGTTCGATGGCAGCGTAAGCCTCCTTACCAATGATGTCGTCCATGTAGATCAGCTCGGGGTGGCTCGTATCAGTCATCCCATGGTCAGAAACAAACACCACATCGACGATGTCTATGAGGTTTCTCTCCTCCAGCGCTGTGTGTAGATTCTTCGCAAACAAGTCCACTTGCTCAAGGGTTATCTGGACGAGTTCTGGTTCAACGAACATAGCCGACAACTCGAAGGATAACACTGACATTCACCAGCTTGGACATGGGTCCCGCTTTATGGCCTGCTTGATCCAAGGAAGGCTCATAAGCTTCAGGAGGTGAGAACTCCAGCTAGTGGCATGGATAATCGGAAAGACAAACCCATGAGAAGTTGGGGACGCTCCTCTAGAGGCAAGTCAATCCAGCGCACGAGCTGGTCTAGCTTCTCTTGCAAGGGCACATGATCCTGTCCCGCACGACTTGAGTTCAGTTGGCTGGAGGTCCAGTATGGGACACACCTTCCATGGAACAAAGTATGTAGAGGTTGCCCCTGATGTCGTTTTAGGCGGGCCTGGCCTGTGCACGACTTAGCAGGGTCTCAGGATCAACGAAGCGCAACTCGACGAACCACATGAGATTAGCGGTGATGATATTCGACTTTCCGGCCGTTTCCCACATCTGAAAAGAATATTAGAAGCGCTTCAATCATCTCATCGCCGGGACTCACTGGCTCCCCTAGCCACCATCGAGACACCCAGGCCGAAGAGATTCTATTGTAGTGGAATTCGGTTTCCGTAATCGGGTCCCAAAAGTTCTGTGTGGACGAGATTTACGGGTGACTGAGTGCGGAGACGAGATGAACGACACACGTTTCCAACGATTCCGTTCGACTCCGCATAAAGGCCCGTCCTATAACGCGTTCTAAGTGAGAGTCCAAATGCAAGCGTGGCCCATACATACATCAAGGCCCAGTGATTACTAGAAAAGAGCCGACGAACAAGGTTAGGATTGCGGCGTGTACGATACACGCTGCTTACTCACGGGAACGTTAATGTCTGCACCAAGGGCACATGAGGCGGGCGGTGCGGTAGAAGCAAATGACTCACAGGGAAGATAGGAATGAGAGATTTGGCACGCAAGCCCTGCTTGCTGATATCCAGTAAATGTGGTGTAAGCCCGCGGTCCAGATAATCCGCTCTGGCAATTACGTGGTGATATTAACAAGGAGGCGGAGAGTAGACGCGTCAGCGACGCGAGGAACGCGGACGCTCACCTTAGCCCGTCAATAGAAACAATCAGAACCGTCCTCCTGAAATCGTGTGTGCCATTAGACCGTAGCTCGTCTCCGTGGAAGGCCAAATTAGGATGCGCAGGGATTCTTGGCGATCCTTGAGGCGGAGAGAGGAGGAATGAGCGGGCAAATGCCCCTGTAGCGAGTAGGACAATGAGACTGATAGCAGCGCAGAGGATCCGCTTCCGCGACCAGGGCCTTGATATCGAATCCGTTTCGGATGGGTCTGCATCAGGACTGTGTAGGGACCACTGCTTGTCGGCCAGTGTATCGTCGGGGTCAGAGAGAAGACCTTTACGCTCCTCGCGTGTACCGACATGCTTGGCAGTATCGGCTTTCCGCGAGGAAGAGGCTGAATACGATACCGAGCTCATGGTTTCGTTTCAGGAGCTATACTGACTTGTGTGGCGATGAGTCTGGATCTGACAGCACATGATGGCATCATGACAGTCTGCGCTGATGATAATGTGCGAGGGCCAAAAGTAGCAAGGAACGAGCACAAGCCACACTTCGAATGATTTGCTTTATCCCTACGGATAAATATGTCTTGAAGACCGATATGCAATCCTCTCCAGAGCCTCGGGATGTTGTGAAGTCAATGTTATTAGATTGGCTTTTCTAAAAGGGTCAAAGCAAGCAGGATTTAGTGGGTCCAATATGGCCCGGGAGACGGGAGAGACGACTTCTGTGTTCTATATTGTGTGAGTGTTCGTCATCTTAATAGATGAGTATTAAAGTAACCCAGCTGTCGCTTTGAGAGAGTGAGCCTTACTGTTGCCATCACGGCACTTGGCGAGCCTCTGATGATTGATTTCGACGATGATCGTTTCTCGTCGCGCACTCTCACAGCCTGCAGTGTTAGGTCGTTTTGTGCCCTCTTGACTTCAATTCAGATGCAAATACCCTTGACGTTATCATCCCGCGGCTCATCTCCGGCCAAACTGGTCTCGTTGTCTTGAAGCGCAGCAACAGCAATCAGCCAGGATGATCGCACATTGCACTTGCGGAGACCGCCGTTTGTTCGCGCGTATACATATGCAGCAACGGCCCTCATTATACCGAGGAATAGCCTGGGTTAGCCAAGCTTAGCAAGCCCTTTCACTTCTTTCGGAGCTTTTTGCTGACTCCAAATTTAGCGCGCCGCGTTCAACTGACCTCCTGCGAAGACTTAAATATGGCCATATCGATCAATAACGGATCCTGATCCATTTTAGACTTGTCAACGAGTCACTCGTCCGGGAATTTACCGCCTGAGCGGCCCAGTGACCTGATGCACTGCGCCCGGACATCGAGGCAGGAGCGCGCGTCCTTCTGGATGGCAATGCATCGAGAGCCGGAAGGCCCTTCAGCCTTCCTCGTGATACAGCCGACAAATCTCCTTGGCGTTCATGTTTTGCCTTTGACTACGTCGTCCGAGAGGTCCGACCCGTATAAAATGTGGGGAGAGAGAACGAGAACACCAGCTTCCAAGTCTTCAAAGTTGCGATGTTCCCTACCACTGCTCTCTTCGCTCTCTGTCTCGCTGCTGTGTCTCAGGCGCAGCAGATCGGCACCCTGCAATCGGAAGTACACCCGACTCTCACCACTCAGCAGTGCACAGCCGGCGGAAGCTGCACCACTTCGCAGAATGCGGTCGTTCTCGACTCGAACTGGCGCTGGACTCACTCTACGTCGTCAGCCACCAACTGCTACACCGGCAACACCTGGAACGCCGCTCTCTGCCCCGACGCCACGACCTGTGCGCAGAACTGCGCTCTCGACGGCGCCAACTACCAGGGCACCTACGGAGTGTCCACCTCCGGCAATGCTCTGACGCTCAAGTTCCTCACTGGTAGGTCTTTCCGTGGGACCTCGCGAGCGTTGCTGACAATTGGGCAAGGTTCCAACGTCGGCAGCCGAGTGTACCTGATGGCGGACAACACCCACTACGAGATGTTCCAATTGCTCAACCAGGAGTTCACCTTCACCGTCGATGCCTCGCAGCTCGGCTGTGGTCTCAACGGCGCGCTCTACTTGACCGAGATGGATGCCGACGGTGGTGTGTCTCGCTTCCCGAACAACAAGGCCGGTGCCCAGTACGGAACCGGCTACTGTGACGCGCAGTGCCCTCAAGATCTCAAGTTCATCAACGGATTGGTGCGTTTCCTCTAGCCCAAAATATGGCATTCTCCTCATGAATCTCATGACAGGCCAACTCTGCCAACTGGACGCCGTCTACGAACGACCCCAACACTGGCACTGGTACGATGGGAACCTGCTGTAACGAGATGGACATCTGGGAGGGTGAGTGGACGATTGGATCTTAGTCGCGCCGCAAAAACTCACTCACTTGATTCCAGCCAACAAGTGGGACACTGCCTACACGCCTCACTCGTGCTCCGTCGTCGGCCAGACCATGTGCACTGGTACCAACTGCGGTGCCGGCAGCGACCGCTACAAGGCTCTCTGCGACAAGGATGGTTGCGACTTCAACACCTACCGCTGGGGCGACAGCAGCTTCTTCGGACCTGGTCTCACCATCGACACCACTCAGCCGGTCACCGTCGTCACTCAGTTCCTCACCAACGACAACACCACGACTGGGACGCTGTCCGAGATCCGCCGTCTCTACGTGCAGGGCGGCAAGGTTTTCCAGAACGCTCCTGCCAAGACTCCTGGCCTCACTCAGTTCAACTCGGTTACCGACGCGTTCTGCAACGCGCAGAAGAACATCACCGGAGATACCAACAGCTTCGAGGCCCGCGGCGGTCTTGCAACGATGAGTGCTGCGCTCAAGCGCGGCATGGTTTTGGCGCTCTCGCTCTGGGACGATGACACCGCTGGAATGCTCTGGCTCGACGCTGCCTACCCGACCAACAGCAGCGCCTCTGCTCCCGGTGTAACGCGTGGACCCTGCACCGCCACTTCCGGTGACCCCAAGGTGCGCTCTCTCATCATCTTCCGGTGATCTGGATTGACGAGTATTATCTTTAGACCGTCCAAGCCCAGCAGCCGAACGCCCAGGTCATCTTCTCGAACATCAAGACCGGCCCGATCGGCTCTACCTTCAGCGGCACGACCACCGGCGGCGGCTCGGGAACGACCACCTCGGCTACGACACACTCGACCAGCACTGTCTCCTCGGCGACCACGAGCTCTGGCTCTAGCTCTACCGGCGGAACCATCCCCAAGTTCGGACAGTGCGGTGGCCAAGGTCAGTGTTACCATCTGGTGTTGTATGTTACCAGATCCTTATCTACCATGCAGGATGGACTGGCTCTGGAACATGTGCATCTGGAAGCACCTGTGTCTTCAGCAACCCATGTGCGTCTTTCACACTTCCTCGTCTTCTCCTTCTCACGTGTTTTTCCAGTCTACTCTCAGTGCCTGTAAACGATTCGGGCACGTAAAATGACTTGGCAACTCTCTGTATAGTACGCGCACCCTGTTGTGTAATACGAATTGAATAAACGGGACCGCTATAATTCTCTTCACAAAACGTATCTAGATCTCGCGGAGAGTAATAACAAAAGGTCAGTCCCTACTTCCCGGAACCCAAGTCAATCCCGCGCTCGCGTCAAACTTGGGCTGTTGGCCGGTGCCTGCCGCCTCCTGATACTGCAAATGAAAAGAGAATCCCTGTGCGATCAGCGCACGCGAAACTAAATTCAAGTCTTCCTTCTTCGGGCACATGAAAGAGGCTGAAACCTGTTTCAACGATTCAGCCCTCCGGAAGAGAAGCTTTGTCAGCTACTGGGCATCAAAATCACACGAGCGGAGATGCAAACAGGGTCAGTCTGGGGCAAGCATCGTACTCGACCAGCTGTTCTATGGAGCGAGACAATGTGCGCGGTCCCACCGAGATGGAATGAAGTAGTCCTGGGAGTTCTGTGGGTTTGTAGGTATCGCACTATCATTACTTGAGGATACAGCCCGTAAAGTTGGCGGGGCACGCTCCAGTCGATCCGGCCCCAGTCTTGAATGTCGATCGTGAGGCTTGGATCCGCCTGTACACTGAGGAGGATATTTTCCTATCTAAATTAACACACAATGGGTCACGCAATCATGGGCCTCTGCTGTGTGATTTACGATCGAATTCGGTGTACGCGACGCGTCTGCATCACATGACCGACCATCACATGATCGCTCCCCGGCAAATCTTCCGAAATGGTTAGCCTGAGCCTCCCAGGTCAAATCTGAATTCCTGTGTCTGGCATCCCTGTCTGTTGCCTCAAACTCTCACATCAAAAGCCTGCCCACTGTGTTGGGGAGAGCGAGAGTGATCGAGTGGCTGTGTTGATCGGATCAGTATATAGTTTGGGGCAGTTTGTGCTAGTACAAGACATCGGGTTTAGTCTCCGCCACCGGCTAGCTCATTTGTCACGGCATCGCCACTCGCCGATTCCCCGATCCCCGGCCCTCCCATCTGGTGATTGGAGTGCGAGTCGTCCACGCCCAACGCACTCTCGCGATCTTGAGGCGATAAGCGAAGAAAAAGCCCCCGTTGTTCAGCCCACGTAGCCCACGTCACCCCCACTGCCCACGTTGCCCACGCTGCCGCCGGTCAAAATACGCGCCACTACGCGTTCTCAAGGCTTGGGAGAGCCTGTTAATATTGCCCAATACCCGCCCACGCGCTTTAGTCGTCGCACACGTCAGAGAAGCGAGTCTGAGCCACTAGACCTCACAAGCTCACCAATCTCCGAGCTTACGCCGTCACCGCCCGACCGCACCACTGCTATCGCCGCACTTCGAGCCCGTTTTGGTAATCCACCACAGTTGCCCACGCCGCCACATTCGTCTTCGCATCGCCCTGCCCGATTCAGACCACCTCCGGATATGCCGCAAACGGAGATCGTGCCGTACTCAGGCCGTCGCGACGGCAGCGACATGCTCATCACGGACTTCATACGTGCTGTCCGGAAACATATTGCCCACCATCAGTACGCCACAACCGCAGACCAGATCGACGTGGTGAACCTGTACCTCAAGCCAGACAGCCCAGCGGAGGAACACATGCTTGCGTTGCTGGCAAACTCGCCGGCGCGGGCATCGCTGGATGCGTACCTGGCGGAGCTGAAGGCTAATTTTCCAGGTGTCCAGGCCATGAAGCGCTCAAAAGGGGAGCTGGAGGCCGAGCTTCTCCGCTCAAAGATCACACTGGCTGAGCTGGCAGAAGGCACGGTCACTCGAGGCGGAGTGCGGCTGTCGGTCCAGGATGATTACGCAAACCGGGTGGAGGACCTGGCCATCGAGGCAATAGTTCAGGGCCAGATCGGCGGCTTCCATCTGTGGCTGGAGAATCAGCCCGCCGTGCTTCAGGCTGCACTCACGCCAGCCCCAGCCACGTGGACGGATGTTGCGGCCGCAATCAGAGGCGTACCGGCCAGCGAAGTCAATCGGGCGACAGACGCCCACCGTGCCAACGCTGCGTTGCAGCAGCAGGTAGACCAGCTCTCGCGTTCCATGCAGACAATGCGCATTGCCCCGGTTGCCCCGCGCACCCAGACGACATTCCCGGCGGCATCACGTCCCAGCGCAAACCCTCCGGCATCCATTGCGCCGAACATCCAAGCCCAGAGAGGTACTCCACCGACCGCCACACAGAACCCGAGGCCGGACCTCCCTCAGTTTGGACGAGACTACGTCCCCACTCAAGATGAGCTTACACACATCCGCGCCGCCAGGGAACTGGTAGTTTCCATTGCCCAGCCAGACACGGAGCAAGGACGCGCCACATACGCGCAGCAGAAGGCGCAATGGCTGCATGACACGCAAAACGAGCGGGCGACGAGGACCCTTCGTCTATGGGAGAAAGGCCATCCGCTCTCCCCTGGGACGCTGATACCGGGAAGCCGCGAGTGTTGGCGATGTGGGATGGCACGCCATGACGGGGACTGCACCGCCCCGTACATCACGGGCGACGAGTGCCGCTTCCGCTTCCTGTGCCACTCATGGCTCACCGGACGGCGTGCAGCACCACCGGCGAATGCCCCACCGGCCGCACCCGTGAATGCGATTCACTGGTACCAGATCGGAGCGCCAGCGCCAAAGGATTTTCAAGCCGGGCAGGCGTAATAGGCGATACGTCGGCCCAAACCATCGACCGTTTGGACGTGTCGGTGGACTTCCAGTGTAGCAGTGTCGAACAGGATGTATTCGAAAACCAATCAGATCTTGAACTTGTCGACCTCTACACTGCGGATGAGCCTGGGAACTCCCACCCCCTTTTCAAACACGCGGGGGTCTATCTTGAAGGACAAAACGGCGAGAAGATTCGCGGCATGGCTTTGTTCGACGGCGCTGCGGGTGCCGGCATACTCGACAGCGTATGGTTTGGGCAACGGAGGCGAAGACTGGGCGAGTCGAGCATATCCAAGCCACAGAAACGGCTGCGGATGGCAAATGGAGGGGTTGTAATGTCGGATGCCCATTGGCAGGGGACGATCAACGTCGGTGGAATCCGGGTGCAGGGCGACTTCGAGGTGATGGACTCTGGAGGCGCTTGGGACATCCTACTCGGCAAACCAATCTTGCGGTTGCTGAATGCCGTGCAGGACTTTGCGCAGGACACAGTGCGGATCTCGGGCGAGAAGGGAGCGGTCCTGCTCGAGAACGGTGGAACGATGGCAAAGCTGCACAGGGACACCAGAGCAACAGGGACGAGGATCTGGCGGAAGCCGGGGCGAGAAGCCTCTGTGGGGGACGCATTGTCCGCAATCTCCCCCCCGAGGCGAGTACCTTTCCCAGAACTGTACAAGCAAAATGATACAGCTTGGGCAGAAATAGCAGAAGTACGCACCATGGAACATGGACCAGACATTGTGGCCACGCGAGTGACCCTCCCGGGGGATGTGTTGTCCGCAACCTCCCCCCCGAGGCGAGTAGAGGATGCTGTCTGCCAACCTCTGGGAAACACTGACCACGTTGCGAGGGGCCAGAGCAAGACCGGGATCCGACGGGACATACACGAGGAGGAAGATGAAGACGAGCCGCTGACCGACGATGAGTTGCTGAGTGAGGACACGACAGAAAAGGGGGACCAACCTGAGCCGACGGTGGCGACGTGTGTTGCCCCAATGGGGGCTGAGTTGTGCGCAGCCGCCCCCGCGAGGGGAGTACTGGCGGCTGAGACACTGGAACGTCCACACACTGACCAAACCCCCGAAGGTGTTACACCCGAAGTGCCCATACCACAGAACACGCATGCCCGCGAGAAAGAGACTAGAAGTGTAGAGGAATTGCCCACGGCAGTGCGTGTGGCCGCACCGGGGGACGCATTGTCCGCAATCTCCCCCGCGAGGCGAGTCCTCCTATACATCTTCCCGAGATGGTGGGTTGCTAACACCGCCATCTACGGTCCCGAGCCCGCTGCCGAAGCTGCCACCAACGTGATAGATGCCCCGGAGACGAATGCTGCTGAGCCAGGCGTGCCAGCCTACGAGGGGGTTGAATCGTCCGTGATCACCCCCACGAGGCGAGTCCTGCCAAACGAACCCTCCGATGTCAAGATAGCTGACATTCTTGCCATGACACCATGCCCCACACTGGCACCCAAAACCCTGTTCACACGGCTGACAGAGCCATTCAAGCCGGAACGGGTCGCAAGGATCCTGGAACTCGTAGAGATCGGGCCGGACGTCGCAGCAGAGCAGCGGAGGCAGGCGCTTGCGCTGATTGCCGAATTTGCCGACGTGTTCGCACTGTCGGTCAGTGAGGTCAAGGTAGTCCAAGGCCGGAAATATTCCCCGCGCGTACCTGAGGGCCATGATTTTGGCACGAAGGTCATCAACCAAAGGCCAATGTCGCCACCGCAGCTGCAATTCCTGACCACGCAAGTCGACGAGCTGGTCACCGCGGGGATCCTGCGTCGGATAGATGCTAAGGATGTACGTTGCGTCAGCCCGATCACGCTAGCGCCGAAGGAGCAACCTGAAGGGCTGTGCCGGGCGGAGCTGCTGCACCAGCTGAATGACCAGTGCGTTGCCGCGGGACTGCCGGCACTGGAAGAGTTGCCACCAAGACCGGAACCAAGGGATCCAGGACCACCAAAGCCCGTGCGGTGGAGGATATGCCACAACTTTGCAGAGCTGAACAAGGTGTGCAAAGTCGTCCCGTTCCCACAGGGAGACATCCGGGACAAGCAGCGGCGCCTAGCGGGCCATAAATACGTCTCAATCTTCGATTTTGCGGCTGGGTTTTATGCACTCGAAGTCGCCGAGTATGCACAGCCATACCTGTGTGTCTTCATCCCTGGACGTGGCTACCATGCGTATACACGCATGCCGTTCGGAGCATCGGACTGCCCAACCGAATTTGGCGATACCGTGGCCGAGAGAATGCACGATCTGACGACCAAAACCCTCCTTGAACTCTTTGTTGACGACGGAGGGAGCGCTGCCGACACCTTCGACGACATGTACTCTCATGTCCGCATCATCCTACAGCGCATTCAGGACACTGGTCTCTCCCTTTCACCCTCGAAAACCAAGCTCTTTATGACGACGGCGGTGTTTGCAGGCTCCACTGTAGGGCCCGATGGTGTTTCGCCGGATCTCCGCAAGCTCACTACCATCATCAAATGGCGCCAGCCCCAGGATGCGGCCGAGTTGCACTCGTTCCTCGGCCTGGCAGGGTACTTTCGAGATCTGATCAAGGACTACTCCGCACGGGAGAGGCCGCTTCGAGACCTGTTGTCCAGCTTGATCCCCAGTGGAGCGTGCAAGCGTGTCTTCCGAGCGTTGATGAGAGGCCGGAAGCTGGCAGCCTTGTGGACGGCCGAGCATACACAATGTTTCTTGGAGCTCAAGCGGCTGATGACTACGGGCCCGGTACTACGAGCGCCGCGCTTCGATACCACGGACAAACACCCCTTCATTGTTACCACGGACGGGTGCAAGGAGGGCTTTGGGGGAGTCCTCGCACAAGAGATGGAAGTCTCGCTGCCGAGCGGGAAACAAGTCACACGGCGGTTTCCAATCGGCTACGCGTCGAAGCGCACGTCACCAGCGGAGTCACGATATCCCCCGCACCTCCTCGAACTGGCCGCCATGAAGTTCGGTTTCGACCAGTTTGACGACGTGATATATGGCTCGCCGGTGATCGTGGAGACAGACTGCCGGGCGATTCGGGATGTCATTGCAGGCGGGAGGTTAACTGCAGCACACATGCGGTGGCAGGAAGGCATATTCGGCCACAACATCGTTGCAGTGAAGCACATCAAGGGCACGTCCAATGTAGCAGCAGACATCATTAGTCGGCAATACGAAGGCGAGGGGAGACGACCCGGGGATGGCAGCGAGTGGACGGTCAGCCCGGACTTGGAAGCACGGACTGGCATTGTTGCCGACGTATTTAGCGTTGCGCTGACCGCAGCCGACCAGTCGACAGGCTGTGAGACAGGGGTGGTGGTCATGGCGATGCCAGAAGGCACGGCCGCGTTGCGTGCACGATTCGCGCAAGAACCGCTGTTCTTGGAAGTCATTGATGCGCTGCTCGAGCTCGACGGCAACGGGAATTCGGACCGACGGCGACGAGCGCGGCACAGGGCTAGTAAGTACTTCATCCAGGATGGGAAGCTCTGGATCTTGGGCGGGTCCGGTGTGCGCGCGAGAACAAAACGGGAGTGCATCACAAGGGAAGAAGCGGTCGCGAAGGCTGGTATTACCCACGCAGAGCATGGGCACTTCGGGAGGGATGCAATCAAGATCGCGCTCATGGATGAGTACCACAGCCCAGGCCTCGACGCGTCAATTGTGAGCGCAATCTCGGAGTGCGGCAAGTGCAAGGGATTCGGTCCACAACACGTCCATGCGAAGCTGGAGCCGATAGTGCGAAGACGGCCCTTTGAGCTGCTGGTCGGCGACTACGTCAAGCTCCCGGAGGGAAAAGGGGGCTACCACACGGTCGGGGTCTACCTGGATACTTACTCCCAGCACGTTTGGGCTTTCAGGTTCAAGTCCCATGGTACAGCGAAGACGACGACAGACTCCTTGCATCGCATCTTCACTGACTTCGCCCCTTCCGACGTCTTCATGTCTGACGGAGGATCGCACTTCGACAACCAGGCTGTTCGGCAGTTCTGCGCGAAGTGGAAAACACACCACCACGTTATCGCCGCATATGCTCCGTGGATCAACGGCCTAGTCGAAGGTACTAACAGACTCCTCCTATTCATCCTAGCGCGGCTCTGTGCCCCGGACATTGGCGTTGACGCGTTCAGCGAAGCAGGCTGGGAGGCACTGCCGCGGAACTGGCCAGATTACCTGGAGCAAGCGGTCAGTATCCTGAACTGGCGCATTCTGCCTTCCGTGCGCTTCTCACCGAAGGAACTCCTCTTTGGCTCGGCGGTGAACTCGGCGAAGAACCCGATATCCATGACAGAGCGGCAGCTGACCGAGGGGGACGTGGAGGTCAACATGGCGTACATCGAGCAACAGCAACTGGACGGGTATGCGGAGCGGGTAAGGTACGCGTTGGGACGCAAACGGGCCTTCGACAAGAGGTTGGAGAGTCAGAGGCCGGGTGAGGTAATCTTCAAGCCAGGCGACATGGTGCAGGTGCACAGGGGCCATCTAGACACACTTTCAGCGCACAGGAAGCTGGTTTACTCTTGGGGAGCGCCGTACCGCGTCAAGTCGCGGCTCCTGAACTCGTACGTCTTGGAGACAGTAGGTGGGGTTGAGCGGAAAGGGCTGGTCCACGCGAGGAGGTTGAAGCAGTTCGTGCCGAAGAAGGGGTCGGGCCTGGAGGCTGTTCATCATGCGTTTCTTGCTGCGAGAGCTGTTGTCGGCGTCGGGACGTCGCCATGAGAGGGGGGGGCGGATTCTACATGAATACCTTCTCATTAATTTCCCCCATGGTCCGATTTCCCCGCCTAGAAACGCACGCAGCAGCCTCCATGCTCTCCTGATCGCCTACTACCGGATTTCACAATCCAATCGAGAATTGCCGAGCCATCTTGCCTGGCCGACGGAGCCGCTGTCTACTCTCATCTATGACGCGCAGAACGACAATACGACGCGACTCTTGGCTCTCAGATGTCTTGCGTTGCAGAATGGGATGAGCGAGGGGGAGCGGGAGGAGTTGCAGACACAGCTATTTCCATGGGACGTGGATTGTCCTCTGTTATGGGAAGGAAAGGAAGTTGACGGGTGGCTCATGCCTGTGTTCGAGGCCCAGCGCCTCCAGGAGCTGCGGAAATGGGATGCAACAGAGTTCGACCATGATCACGAGGAGATTCCGCTCAGGTAAGGGCCCTACTCCTTGAATCTTGAACTGCATATACTGATACTCGCGATCAGCCCCCGCATAGCTAATGTATCTGGCATATTACTGCTGCGATCCAATTCCATGCCTTCACCGCCGTCTGCACTGGTCCCGACAGCCACCACTTCTACAGCCCTACGGTCGCTGGCGCTGAATATCAGACACCGCCAGCCCACACTACTGACATCTCCGCCTTCGTCTGGCAAATCTCTGCTGCTTACCCATCTGTCCTTGCTGCTTCACACGACGCTGATACCTATCCATCTCTCCGACACGTCTTTGGACGCGCGGTCGCTGCTAGGGTCGTACATGTCATCACCGACACAACCGGGCACATTTGAATGGCGCGATGGTGCGCTGGTCCGTGCCATGCGACAAGGCAAATGGATCGTTCTGGAGGACATCGACCGGGCGACATCCGAGGTGCTGGGTGTGCTCAAACCCCTCGTCGAGTCTCTCGGTGCGGGGAAATGGATCGGCCAGCGGGCGTCGGTGGCCGTGCCAGGTCGTGAACGAGTCGCTGCCGCGGACGGGTTCGCGCTTTTTGCGACACGTTCCGGATCCGGGCCGGCGACCTTTTTTGGCGCGCACAAGTTTGCAGAGGTCATGCTCCCAGCGCCGAGTATCGCCGAGCTCGAGACAATCGTCGCTGTGCGATTCCCACGGCTTGCAGGTGGGGTAGCGCGAGCGGTGGTGAGCATGTGGGATGCGGTCCAGCTGCTGGGCAGCGTCACGTCGACGAGAGATGTCGGCGTGCGAGAGCTGGAGAAGTTCTGCGAGCGCGTGACAAGGCTGATCCCCGCGAATATCGATCTGCTCTCGGGCCTCAACCCCACGCTGCGGGAAGACATCTTCCTTGAGGCGCGGGACGTGTTCTTCGGCTCCGGCGCGCCGAATGCATCAGCCAAAGCGCACCTCGACGCCATCGCCGTTTGTCAGGGTTTGTTTCCTGCCTTGGGCGGACAGGTTCTGGAGAAGATGATCACGTTCAACACCCCATTGAATGAAGAGGTGTCAGTGAAGAGGAGCTTTAACCGAGCCAGCAGTCCCCAGGAATTCAATCTGCGCGATGTGCTGCGGTGGGCTACGCTCGTGTCTGTTTCAATCCAAGGCAGACCACAGAATCTCTTGAGCAACGTGTACCTGGACCGTTTCCGGGACGTGGAGGACCGCAGAAAAGCAGCAGCGCTCTTCGAGTCTGTCTTCTTCGAAGAAGCAACGACTGCCGCGTCCATCTATGTGCAGATCGGCAATTTCCAAACGTCGCGTCATGCGGGATCTACAGCACTGTCCCGCCCTCCGCGAATTCTTCCCAGTCATCTGTCCGCGCTCGAATCTCTGGGTCTTTGTGTGTCGCAGAACTGGCTCGCGATTCTGACTGGGCCGAAGAATACCGGCAAGTCATCCGTGGTCCACCTTCTGGCCGATCTGTGTGGTGCACCGCTGCACAGCGCCACTGACACCGGCGACCTCCTGGGGTCGTTCGAGCAGCTCTCCGGTGGTGGCTTTGCGTGGATCGCGGGGCCGCTGGTGGAGGTGATGCAGTGTGGGACCTGGCTTCTCCTCGATGACGCGAATCAGTGCCCGCCGTCCGTTCTGGACCGGCTCAACTCGCTCTGCAAATCAGGCGGCGTGCTCACCCTGAGCGAGCGTGGGTTCGTCGATGGCGCTGTGCCCGTGATCCGCCCCCATCCGGGCTTCCGACTGTTCATGGCGCTTGATCCCGCGAACGGCGAGCTGTCGAGGGCCATGCGGAACCGAGGTGTGGAGGTTGCGCTGGGTCCGCTGGTCTTGGCGCACGCCACAGGCAGAGAGATTGACCACGACTCTGCTGGGTCCGCTGTGCTCGATCTTACCGGGGTGCGATCCCCCATCAGAGCTCCCGCCCGACAGCATCTCGCTGCGCATACTGTGTCGGCAGTCTATGCTCGGCACTTCCAGCGGTTCATGCAGACCATTCCCGAACTGCGTGTGGCGGGGAGGATGAGGGAGTCCCATGGGACAGCCTATGCCTCGAGATGGGGTGTCCCAGTCGAATTCGTTGCTGCTCAGGCGTGTTGATAGGGTCGCAGGTCCATGAACATATACTGATCACTACCGATCAGCCCACTGTTTTCTACCTGTCTTCTCCAGACGAATCGACACTGGTGTCTCATTCTGCGCGCGGTCGAACTTGACATTAGCAAGCTCTTTCAGTTCTTTCGGAGCTTTTTGCTGACTTCAACTTTAGCGCTTCGCGTTCAACTGACCTCTTAGGAAGAGTTCAATATGTCCATATCGATCAATATCGCATCCTCATCCATTTTAGACCTGTCAACGAAGCCCTTGTCCGGGAATGTACCGCCTGAGTGGCCCAGTGACCTGATGCACTCCGCCCGGGCATCGAGGCAGGAGCGCGCGTCCTGCTGGATGGGAATGCATCGAGAGCCGGAACGCCGTTCAGCATTCCTCGAGATACAGCCGACAAATCACCTTGGCATGCATGTTTTACCATTCACTGCGTCGTCCGAGTGGGTCCGAGCACTATAAAACATTGGGAGAGAGGATGGGCACGGCAGCTTCCAAGTCTTCAAAGTTGCAATGTTCCCTACCACTGCTCTCTTCGCTCTCTGTCTCGCTGCTGTGTCTCAGGCGCAGCAGATCGGCACTCTGCAATCGGAAGTACACCCGACTCTCACCACTCAGCAGTGCACAGCGGGCGGAAGCTGCACTACGACGCAGAACGCGATCGTCCTCGACTCTAACTGGCGCTGGACTCACTCTACGTCGTCAGCCACCAACTGCTACACCGGCAACACCTGGAACGCCGCTCTATGCCCCGACGCCACGACTTGCGCGCAGAACTGTGCTCTCGACGGCGCCAACTACCAGAGCACGTACGGGATCACGACCACCGGCAATGCCGTGACGCTCAAGTTCCTGACTGGTAAGTCCTTTCATTTCGGCTGGGACCTGACTAGGACTGAGCGATCGGCAAGGCTCGAACGTCGGTAGCCGAGTGTACCTGATGGCGGACAACACCCACTACGAGATGTTCCAGCTGCTGAACCAGGAGTTCACATTCACCGTCGATGTGTCCCAGCTGGGATGTGGTCTCAACGGCGCGCTGTACTTGACCGAGATGGATGCCGACGGTGGCATATCTCGATTCCCGAACAACAAGGCCGGTGCCCAGTACGGAACCGGCTACTGTGACGCACAGTGCCCTCAAGATCTCAAGTTCATCAACGGATTGGTGAGGTTGCTCTGGGTAGAAATGAACAATTCCGCTCATGAATCTCATCACAGGCCAACTCTGCCAACTGGACGCCCTCCACGAACGACCCCAACTCGGGTACTGGCACGATGGGAACCTGCTGCAACGAAATGGACATCTGGGAGTGTGAGTGGTCAAATCGATTGGGTTCCCATCCACCTGATTTTCTCTCCCCCAGCCAACAAGTTCGACGCGGCGTTCACGCCTCACCCTTGCTCTGCCGTTGGGCAGACGATGTGCACTGGCACCGACTGCGGTGACGGCAGCGATCGCTACAACGGTCTGTGCGACAAGGATGGTTGTGACTTCAACAACTTCCGCTGGGGCGATAGCAGCTTCTTCGGACCCGGTCTCACCATCGACACGACTCAGCCAGTCACGGTCGTCACCCAGTTCCTGACCAACGACAACACCACGACTGGGACGCTGTCCGAGATCCGCCGTCTCTACGTGCAGGGCGGCAAGGTCATCCAGAACTCTCCGGCCAAGACTCCTGGCCTTACTCAGTTCAACTCGGTCACCGACGCGTTCTGCAACGCACAGAAGAACATCACCGGAGATACCAACAGCTTCGAGGCCCGCGGTGGTCTTGGAACAATGAGTGCTTCGCTGAAGCGCGGCATGGTTTTGGCGCTCTCAGTCTGGGACGATGACGCCGTTGGAATGCTCTGGCTCGATGGACAGCAATACCCGTCGACGAAGAGCGCCTCGGCCCCCGGTGTTGCGCGTGGACCCTGCTCGGCGACCTCTGGGGATCCCAAGGTACGTTCCCTCGTCGTTTCCCGGTGACCTTGATTCACGAATGTCGTTTTCAGACCGTTCAGGCCCAGCAGCCCAATGCCCAAGTCACCTTCTCGGACATCAAGACCGGCCCGATCGGCTCTACCTTCAGCGGCACGACCACCGGCGGCGGCTCGGGAACGACCACCTCGGCTACGACACACTCGACCACCACTGTCTCTTCGGCGACCACGAGCTCTGGTTCCAGCTCTACTGGCGGAACGATCCCCAAGTTCGGACAGTGCGGTGGCCAAGGTCAGTGGCACCATCTGGTCTCCTGCTCAATTACGAGATCCTAATCTCGCACGCAGGCTGGACTGGCTCGGGAACCTGTGCGGCTGGAAGCACCTGTGTGTTCAGCAACCCATGTGCGTTTTCCAGAGACTTGCGTCTTCTCGTTCTCATATGTTTTCCCAGTCTACTCTCAGTGCCTGTAAACGATTGAGGCACGTGAAATGATTCAATAGCTCTCTGTACAGTACGCGCACCCTGCTGTGTCATACAATTTGAATAAACGGGACCGCTACAATTCTCTTCACGCCGTATATCGAGATCTTGCTGGAGCGAATACACAAGGTCAGTGCCTACTTGCGGGAACGGAGGTCGAACCTGGACTGTTCGCCCGCACTCCTCCATGCGCGATCAGCGGACTCAAATTCTCTTCCAAATGTTCCTTCTCTCGGGCACATGAAAGCAGCTGAAACCTGTGTCGACGATCCAGCCCTTCGAGTCGCAGGAGAAGCTTTATCAGCCACCAGACATCAAAATCACACGAGCGGAGATCTAGCGCAGCGAGTCTAGGCCGGACCGTCGTGCGCGACGAGCTGTTCCATAGAGCAGGACAATGTGCGCGTCGCAATGAGGACAGATCAAAACGTCCTGGGTGTTCTGTGGCTTTGGGAACATTGCGTCGTTGTCACTAGAGGATACTGCCCGAGAAGTTGGCCGGGCACGCTCTAGTCAATCTGTCCTCCGTCTTGGATGTCGACAATGGATAGATCTTGCGGAGGGTGTGGCGGAATGGCACGACGCTCGCAGGCTGGTCGTCCGGGGTCTATGCCAATCATCGTAATGCGAGGCAGATCAGTCAAGTCTCGTGCACGGCTAGTACATCGACAGATCGACGGCGGGAAGTCTGTCGACGTTCAAAATAGTGCGCCCTCGTCATAGAAAGAGAGGTCAGGAGAGGTAGGTGGTGGAGCGAAGGCAAGGGTGAAGCACCCTTCCTCTCATTTCTTGTGGGCTCAGGTTGCTGTCTTCTATGGGTGCAGATGAAATTATCGCTCCGCATGATAATCGGGTGCAGACTGCAGGAAAATTGGAGCTGTCTCCGGTGGACTGGAATTCCTTCTTGTGGACATATCATAGTCCATGTACCTCCTGTTCACTAAAGGGCTTATTTTTCATTTCAATCAACGCATAATGAACCCCGTGTTGTTTCGTTTACGATCGAATTCGGTGCGCGCGACGCGTCTGCCTCACATGACCGACCATCACATGATCGCTCTCCGGCAAATTTTTCAATGGTTAGCCTGGGCCTCCCAGGTCAAATCTGAATTCCTGTGTCTGGCATCCCTGTCTGTTGCCTCAAACTCTCACATCAAAAGCCTGCCCACTCTTTGGGGCATTGAGGCATCCACAATGGCATCGATCAGTGCTATTCATAACACACTGGCCATTAACCTGCGAGCGCACATCCATCTCTTCCTCGCCTCGCTCCCATCTACATCTACTTCACAACATCACATTGGGGTCGAGGCTGCGCTTGCAAAGGGAAACCAGGAATTCATCGGCTTACTCGCCGAATGGCTTGCAGTTCAAGAGCTGACTGTACTTGTTGCGCGGGCGTTCCAGCCGTTGCTGGTCGAGATATGTGCGCGATGGCTGGACGATGGAAGGATCGGGGACGTGTCTGAGGGATCGCAGGGAACTCGTACTGTGGATAGACTAGTCGCAATCTGTGCGCTTGTGGACGTGTACGACGAACTATTCCCGTGCGTGTTTCTCTTCTGCCGCAGTCTCTTGGATTTATTGTATCTTCGTCGGACAGGATTCTACATGAATACCTTCTCATTAATTTCCCCCATGGTCCGATTTCCCCGCCTAGAAACGCACGCAGCAGCCTCCATGCTCTCCTGATCGCCTACTACCGGATTTCACAATCCAATCGAGAATTGCCGAGCCATCTTGCCTGGCCGACGGAGCCGCTGTCTACTCTCATCTATGACGCGCAGAACGACAATACGACGCGACTCTTGGCTCTCAGATGTCTTGCGTTGCAGAATGGGATGAGCGAGGGGGAGCGGGAGGAGTTGCAGACACAGCTATTTCCATGGGACGTGGATTGTCCTCTGTTATGGGAAGGAAAGGAAGTTGACGGGTGGCTCATGCCTGTGTTCGAGGCCCAGCGCCTCCAGGAGCTGCGGAAATGGGATGCAACAGAGTTCGACCATGATCACGAGGAGATTCCGCTCAGGTAAGGGCCCTACTCCTTGAATCTTGAACTGCATATACTGATACTCGCGATCAGCCCCCGCATAGCTAATGTATCTGGCATATTACTGCTGCGATCCAATTCCATGCCTTCACCGCCGTCTGCACTGGTCCCGACAGCCACCACTTCTACAGCCCTACGGTCGCTGGCGCTGAATATCAGACACCGCCAGCCCACACTACTGACATCTCCGCCTTCGTCTGGCAAATCTCTGCTGCTTACCCATCTGTCCTTGCTGCTTCACACGACGCTGATACCTATCCATCTCTCCGACACGTCTTTGGACGCGCGGTCGCTGCTAGGGTCGTACATGTCATCACCAACGCAACCGGGCACATTTGAATGGCGCGATGGCGCGCTGGTCCGTGCCATGCGACAAGGGAAATGGATCGTTCTCGAGGACATCGACCGGGCGACATCCGAGGTGCTGGGTGTGCTCAAGCCCCTCGTCGAATCTCTCGGCGCAGGGAAATGGATCGGCCAGCGAGCGTCGGTGGTCGTGCCTGGTCGCGAACGAGTGGTTGCCGCGGACGGGTTCGCGCTGTTTGCGACACGTTCCGGATCCGGGCCGGCGACCTTTTTTGGCACGCACAAGTTTGCAGAGGTGGTGCTCCCGGCGCCGAGTATCGCCGAGCTCGAGACAATCGTCGCTGTGCGATTCCCACGGCTTGCAGGTGGGGTAGCGCGAGCGGTGGTGAGCATGTGGGATGCGGTCCGGCTGCTGGGCAGCGTCACGTCGACGCGAGATGTCGGCGTGCGAGAGCTGGAGAAGTTCTGCGAGCGCGTGACAAGGCTGATCCCCGCGAATATCGATCTGCTCTCGGGCCTCAACCCCACGCTGCGGGAGGACATCTTCCTCGAAGCCCGTGACGTGTTCTTCGGCTCCGGCGCACCGAATGCATCAGCCAAAGCGCACCTCGACGCCATCGCCGTTTGTCAGGGTTTGTTTCCTGCCTTGGGCGGACAGGTTCTGGAGAAGATGATCACGTTCAACACCCCATTGAATGAAGAGGTGTCAGTGAAGAGGAGCTTTAACCGAGCCAGCAGTCCCCAGGAATTCAATCTGCGCGATGTGCTGCGGTGGGCTACGCTCGTGTCTGTTTCAATCCAAGGCAGACCACAGAATCTCTTGAGCAACGTGTACCTGGACCGTTTCCGGGACGTGGAGGACCGCAGAAAAGCAGCAGCGCTCTTCGAGTCTGTCTTCTTCGAAGAAGCAACGACTGCCGCGTCCATCTATGTGCAGATCGGCAATTTCCAAACGTCGCGTCATGCGGGATCTACAGCACTGTCCCGCCCTCCGCGAATTCTTCCCAGTCATCTGTCCGCGCTCGAATCTCTGGGTCTTTGTGTGTCGCAGAACTGGCTCGCGATTCTGACTGGGCCGAAGAATACCGGCAAGTCATCCGTGGTCCACCTTCTGGCCGATCTGTGTGGTGCACCGCTGCACAGCGCCACTGACACCGGCGACCTCCTGGGGTCGTTCGAGCAGCTCTCCGGTGGTGGCTTTGCGTGGATCGCGGGGCCGCTGGTGGAGGCGATGCAGTGTGGGACCTGGCTTCTCCTCGATGACGCGAATCAGTGCCCGCCGTCCGTTCTGGACCGGCTCAACTCGCTCTGCAAATCAGGCGGCGTGCTCACCCTGAGCGAGCGTGGGTTCGTCGATGGCGCTGTGCCCGTGATCCGCCCCCATCCGGGCTTCCGACTGTTCATGGCGCTTGATCCCGCGAACGGCGAGCTGTCGAGGGCCATGCGGAACCGAGGTGTGGAGGTTGCGCTGGGTCCGCTGGTCTTGGCGCACGCCACAGGCAGAGAGATTGACCACGACTCTGCTGGGTCCGCTGTGCTCGATCTTACCGGGGTGCGATCCCCCATCAGAGCTCCCGCCCGACAGCATCTCGCTGCGCATACTGTGTCGGCAGTCTATGCTCGGCACTTCCAGCGGTTCATGCAGACCATTCCCGAACTGCGTGTGGCGGGGAGGATGAGGGAGTCCCATGGGACAGCCTATGCCTCGAGATGGGGTGTCCCAGTCGAATTCGTTGCTGCTCAGGCGTGTTGATAGGGTCGCAGGTCCATGAACATATACTGATCACTACCGATCAGCCCACTGTTTTCTACCTGTCTTCTCCAGACGAATCGACACTGGTGTCTCATTCTGCGCGCGGTCGAACTTGACATTAGCAAGCTCTTTCAGTTCTTTCGGAGCTTTTTGCTGACTTCAACTTTAGCGCTTCGCGTTCAACTGACCTCTTAGGAAGAGTTCAATATGTCCATATCGATCAATATCGCATCCTCATCCATTTTAGACCTGTCAACGAAGCCCTTGTCCGGGAATGTACCGCCTGAGTGGCCCAGTGACCTGATGCACTCCGCCCGGGCATCGAGGCAGGAGCGCGCGTCCTGCTGGATGGGAATGCATCGAGAGCCGGAACGCCGTTCAGCATTCCTCGAGATACAGCCGACAAATCACCTTGGCATGCATGTTTTACCATTCACTGCGTCGTCCGAGTGGGTCCGAGCACTATAAAACATTGGGAGAGAGGATGGGCACGGCAGCTTCCAAGTCTTCAAAGTTGCAATGTTCCCTACCACTGCTCTCTTCGCTCTCTGTCTCGCTGCTGTGTCTCAGGCGCAGCAGATCGGCACTCTGCAATCGGAAGTACACCCGACTCTCACCACTCAGCAGTGCACAGCGGGCGGAAGCTGCACTACGACGCAGAACGCGATCGTCCTCGACTCTAACTGGCGCTGGACTCACTCTACGTCGTCAGCCACCAACTGCTACACCGGCAACACCTGGAACGCCGCTCTATGCCCCGACGCCACGACTTGCGCGCAGAACTGTGCTCTCGACGGCGCCAACTACCAGAGCACGTACGGGATCACGACCACCGGCAATGCCGTGACGCTCAAGTTCCTGACTGGTAAGTCCTTTCATTTCGGCTGGGACCTGACTAGGACTGAGCGATCGGCAAGGCTCGAACGTCGGTAGCCGAGTGTACCTGATGGCGGACAACACCCACTACGAGATGTTCCAGCTGCTGAACCAGGAGTTCACATTCACCGTCGATGTGTCCCAGCTGGGATGTGGTCTCAACGGCGCGCTGTACTTGACCGAGATGGATGCCGACGGTGGCATATCTCGATTCCCGAACAACAAGGCCGGTGCCCAGTACGGAACCGGCTACTGTGACGCACAGTGCCCTCAAGATCTCAAGTTCATCAACGGATTGGTGAGGTTGCTCTGGGTAGAAATGAACAATTCCGCTCATGAATCTCATCACAGGCCAACTCTGCCAACTGGACGCCCTCCACGAACGACCCCAACTCGGGTACTGGCACGATGGGAACCTGCTGCAACGAAATGGACATCTGGGAGTGTGAGTGGTCAAATCGATTGGGTTCCCATCCACCTGATTTTCTCTCCCCCAGCCAACAAGTTCGACGCGGCGTTCACGCCTCACCCTTGCTCTGCCGTTGGGCAGACGATGTGCACTGGCACCGACTGCGGTGACGGCAGCGATCGCTACAACGGTCTGTGCGACAAGGATGGTTGTGACTTCAACAACTTCCGCTGGGGCGATAGCAGCTTCTTCGGACCCGGTCTCACCATCGACACGACTCAGCCAGTCACGGTCGTCACCCAGTTCCTGACCAACGACAACACCACGACTGGGACGCTGTCCGAGATCCGCCGTCTCTACGTGCAGGGCGGCAAGGTCATCCAGAACTCTCCGGCCAAGACTCCTGGCCTTACTCAGTTCAACTCGGTCACCGACGCGTTCTGCAACGCACAGAAGAACATCACCGGAGATACCAACAGCTTCGAGGCCCGCGGTGGTCTTGGAACAATGAGTGCTTCGCTGAAGCGCGGCATGGTTTTGGCGCTCTCAGTCTGGGACGATGACGCCGTTGGAATGCTCTGGCTCGATGGACAGCAATACCCGTCGACGAAGAGCGCCTCGGCCCCCGGTGTTGCGCGTGGACCCTGCTCGGCGACCTCTGGGGATCCCAAGGTACGTTCCCTCGTCGTTTCCCGGTGACCTTGATTCACGAATGTCGTTTTCAGACCGTTCAGGCCCAGCAGCCCAATGCCCAAGTCACCTTCTCGGACATCAAGACCGGCCCGATCGGCTCTACCTTCAGCGGCACGACCACCGGCGGCGGCTCGGGAACGACCACCTCGGCTACGACACACTCGACCACCACTGTCTCTTCGGCGACCACGAGCTCTGGTTCCAGCTCTACTGGCGGAACGATCCCCAAGTTCGGACAGTGCGGTGGCCAAGGTCAGTGGCACCATCTGGTCTCCTGCTCAATTACGAGATCCTAATCTCGCACGCAGGCTGGACTGGCTCGGGAACCTGTGCGGCTGGAAGCACCTGTGTGTTCAGCAACCCATGTGCGTTTTCCAGAGACTTGCGTCTTCTCGTTCTCATATGTTTTCCCAGTCTACTCTCAGTGCCTGTAAACGATTGAGGCACGTGAAATGATTCAATAGCTCTCTGTACAGTACGCGCACCCTGCTGTGTCATACAATTTGAATAAACGGGACCGCTACAATTCTCTTCACGCCGTATATCGAGATCTTGCTGGAGCGAATACACAAGGTCAGTGCCTACTTGCGGGAACGGAGGTCGAACCTGGACTGTTCGCCCGCACTCCTCCATGCGCGATCAGCGGACTCAAATTCTCTTCCAAATGTTCCTTCTCTCGGGCACATGAAAGCAGCTGAAACCTGTGTCGACGATCCAGCCCTTCGAGTCGCAGGAGAAGCTTTATCAGCCACCAGACATCAAAATCACACGAGCGGAGATCTAGCGCAGCGAGTCTAGGCCGGACCGTCGTGCGCGACGAGCTGTTCCATAGAGCAGGACAATGTGCGCGTCGCAATGAGGACAGATCAAAACGTCCTGGGTGTTCTGTGGCTTTGGGAACATTGCGTCGTTGTCACTAGAGGATACTGCCCGAGAAGTTGGCCGGGCACGCTCTAGTCAATCTGTCCTCCGTCTTGGATGTCGACAATGGATAGATCTTGCGGAGGGTGTGGCGGAATGGCACGACGCTCGCAGGCTGGTCGTCCGGGGTCTATGCCAATCATCGTAATGCGAGGCAGATCAGTCAAGTCTCGTGCACGGCTAGTACATCGACAGATCGACGGCGGGAAGTCTGTCGACGTTCAAAATAGTGCGCCCTCGTCATAGAAAGAGAGGTCAGGAGAGGTAGGTGGTGGAGCGAAGGCAAGGGTGAAGCACCCTTCCTCTCATTTCTTGTGGGCTCAGGTTGCTGTCTTCTATGGGTGCAGATGAAATTATCGCTCCGCATGATAATCGGGTGCAGACTGCAGGAAAATTGGAGCTGTCTCCGGTGGACTGGAATTCCTTCTTGTGGACATATCATAGTCCATGTACCTCCTGTTCACTAAAGGGCTTATTTTTCATTTCAATCAACGCATAATGAACCCCGTGTTGTTTCGTTTACGATCGAATTCGGTGCGCGCGACGCGTCTGCCTCACATGACCGACCATCACATGATCGCTCTCCGGCAAATTTTTCAATGGTTAGCCTGGGCCTCCCAGGTCAAATCTGAATTCCTGTGTCTGGCATCCCTGTCTGTTGCCTCAAACTCTCACATCAAAAGCCTGCCCACTCTTTGGGGCATTGAGGCATCCACAATGGCATCGATCAGTGCTATTCATAACACACTGGCCATTAACCTGCGAGCGCACATCCATCTCTTCCTCGCCTCGCTCCCATCTACATCTACTTCACAACATCACATTGGGGTCGAGGCTGCGCTTGCAAAGGGAAACCAGGAATTCATCGGCTTACTCGCCGAATGGCTTGCAGTTCAAGAGCTGACTGTACTTGTTGCGCGGGCGTTCCAGCCGTTGCTGGTCGAGATATGTGCGCGATGGCTGGACGATGGAAGGATCGGGGACGTGTCTGAGGGATCGCAGGGAACTCGTACTGTGGATAGACTAGTCGCAATCTGTGCGCTTGTGGACGTGTACGACGAACTATTCCCGTGCGTGTTTCTCTTCTGCCGCAGTCTCTTGGATTTATTGTATCTTCGTCGGACAGGATTCTACATGAATACCTTCTCATTAATTTCCCCCATGGTCCGATTTCCCCGCCTAGAAACGCACGCAGCAGCCTCCATGCTCTCCTGATCGCCTACTACCGGATTTCACAATCCAATCGAGAATTGCCGAGCCATCTTGCCTGGCCGACGGAGCCGCTGTCTACTCTCATCTATGACGCGCAGAACGACAATACGACGCGACTCTTGGCTCTCAGATGTCTTGCGTTGCAGAATGGGATGAGCGAGGGGGAGCGGGAGGAGTTGCAGACACAGCTATTTCCATGGGACGTGGATTGTCCTCTGTTATGGGAAGGAAAGGAAGTTGACGGGTGGCTCATGCCTGTGTTCGAGGCCCAGCGCCTCCAGGAGCTGCGGAAATGGGATGCAACAGAGTTCGACCATGATCACGAGGAGATTCCGCTCAGGTAAGGGCCCTACTCCTTGAATCTTGAACTGCATATACTGATACTCGCGATCAGCCCCCGCATAGCTAATGTATCTGGCATATTACTGCTGCGATCCAATTCCATGCCTTCACCGCCGTCTGCACTGGTCCCGACAGCCACCACTTCTACAGCCCTACGGTCGCTGGCGCTGAATATCAGACACCGCCAGCCCACACTACTGACATCTCCGCCTTCGTCTGGCAAATCTCTGCTGCTTACCCATCTGTCCTTGCTGCTTCACACGACGCTGATACCTATCCATCTCTCCGACACGTCTTTGGACGCGCGGTCGCTGCTAGGGTCGTACATGTCATCACCAACGCAACCGGGCACATTTGAATGGCGCGATGGCGCGCTGGTCCGTGCCATGCGACAAGGGAAATGGATCGTTCTCGAGGACATCGACCGGGCGACATCCGAGGTGCTGGGTGTGCTCAAGCCCCTCGTCGAATCTCTCGGCGCAGGGAAATGGATCGGCCAGCGAGCGTCGGTGGTCGTGCCTGGTCGCGAACGAGTGGTTGCCGCGGACGGGTTCGCGCTGTTTGCGACACGTTCCGGATCCGGGCCGGCGACCTTTTTTGGCACGCACAAGTTTGCAGAGGTGGTGCTCCCGGCGCCGAGTATCGCCGAGCTCGAGACAATCGTCGCTGTGCGATTCCCACGGCTTGCAGGTGGGGTAGCGCGAGCGGTGGTGAGCATGTGGGATGCGGTCCGGCTGCTGGGCAGCGTCACGTCGACGCGAGATGTCGGCGTGCGAGAGCTGGAGAAGTTCTGCGAGCGCGTGACAAGGCTGATCCCCGCGAATATCGATCTGCTCTCGGGCCTCAACCCCACGCTGCGGGAGGACATCTTCCTCGAAGCCCGTGACGTGTTCTTCGGCTCCGGCGCACCGAATGCATCAGCCAAAGCGCACCTCGACGCCATTGCGTCAGTCATCGCGCATCACCTCGGGCTCGATGCGGAGCGCGCCGCGTGGGTTCTTACAGGTCGCACACCCGAGTTCGAGGTGCAGAAAGACGTAGATGGACGCGTCGTCGGCGTCGTCGCGGGCCGGGTGCAACTGCATGCCAAGTTGAATGGCAAGCCCATCGCTACTCGGCCGTTCGCAATGCACCGGCCGGCGATCAGCCTCCTCACACGCATTGCCACGAGTGTCTCGCTGTCTGAGCCGTTGCTGCTCACTGGAGAAACGGGAACGGGGAAAACCAGCGTGATTACGCACCTGGCAGCGCTGCTGCGTCGGCCGCTTATCTCGCTGAATCTGTCGCACCAGACAGAGGCGGCTGACCTGATCGGGGGTTTCAAACCCATCGATGCGCGGATTCCAGGTGCAGTGCTGCAGGAGCGATGGGCGGACCTGTTCGGGGGGACATTCAGCCGCCGGCGAAACGAGATGTTTGAGGGTGAGGTGCGGAGAGCTGTGACGGAAGGAAGGTGGAAGAGGGCCGTTGGACTGTGGAGGGAGAGTGCCAGGATGGCAAGAGAACGGATTCGAGCCCAGGAGTCAGTCGTGTGCTCACGTCCTATACCTAAAACTGATGCGCTTTCAGCTCTGAAGATCCAGACAAGCCCAGGAAGCGTCGCAAAGTGGACAACGCCAGCTGGGCCGCGTTCGAAAACGACGTGGGCGAGTTTGAAGTGCAACATGTGTTGGCTAAGGGCAAGTTTGCATTTGGTTTCGTGGAGGGTCCTCTAGTGAAGGCTTTGCGAGCGGGTGATTGGTGCGTCCGCGTTTATCTATATCCTCGTTGTACTCGCTAAGAGCTAACAGGGTGCTACTCGACGAAATCAATCTGGCTAGCGCAGAAACTTTGGAATGTATCGCCACCCTCATCCAGTCGCCGACCTCCTCGATTACTCTGACAGAACAAGGCGCACTGGAGCCTGTCCCCCGACACCCCGACTTTCGCTTGTTTGCATGCATGAACCCAGCGACCGATGTCGGCAAGAAGGACCTGCCACCGAACATCCGTGCGCGATTTACCGAACTGGATGTCCCGTCGCCCGACGCCGATCGCGAGACGCTACTGAGCATTGTGGAGCAGTACATCGGGGACAAGGCCGTCGCCGACAAGGCCGCGGTGATGCACGTGGCTGAGTTCTATGCGGCGGTCAAGTCGCTCGCAGAGACGCGCCAGATCGCAGACGGGGCGAACCACCGACCGCACTACAGCATGCGAACACTCGCTCGGGCGCTTGGGTTTGCCGCGGAGATCGCTTCCCGATACGGATTGAGACGGGCGCTCTGGGAAGGCTGCCTGATGGCTTTCACCATGGTGCTCGATGCGGAGAGTGCGAGTCAAGTCGTGACCGGCCTCGCAGTCAAGTATCTGCTGGCGGGGGTGCGCAATCCACGCTCCCTCCTTGCGATGGAACCCCAATCGCCTGCGCCTGCGGAGCAGTTCGTCAAGTTTGGCCCGTTCTACCTGGAGCGCGGACCGTTCGAAATCGATCTCGCGGAGGACTACATCACCACGCCGTCCGTTGAGAAGAAACTGATCGATCTCGCGCGGATCATCCTCACGCGCCGCTTTCCCGTGTTGATCGAGGGACCGACGTCGGCGGGCAAAACGAGTTCCATCGAGTTCCTCGCGCGGCGGACAGGGCATCGTTTCGTCCGCATCAACAATCACGAGCATACAGACATCCAGGAGTACCTCGGCTCGTATGTATCTGATCCAGCGACCGGCAAGCTGCAGTTCCAGGACGGCTTGCTAGTTCGAGCGCTTCGAAACGGCGACTGGATCGTGCTGGACGAGCTGAACCTGGCGCCAACCGATGTGCTAGAAGCACTCAACCGTCTGCTGGACGATAATCGGGAGCTGGTTGTGCCGGAGACGGGGGAAGTCGTGAAGCCACACCCACACTTCATGCTGTTCGCAACACAGAATCCGCCAGGCCTGTACGCCGGCCGCAAAGTGCTCTCTCGGGCGTTCCGGAATCGGTTCTTGGAGGTCCATTTCTCGGATGTGCCGCAAGGGGAATTGGAAACGATCCTGACCGCCAGGAGCCGCATCGCGCCGTCCTACGCGCGGAAGATCGTGGCTGTGTTTCGAGAGCTGCAGGCGCGGCGACAGGCGGGTCGGGTGTTTGAGACCAAGGCAGGATTTGCGACGTTGCGTGATCTGTTCCGGTGGGCGGGCCGGGACGCCATCGGCTACGACCAGCTGGCAGAGAACGGGTACATGTTGTTGGCGGAACGGGCGAGGAGGGAGGACGATCGGAGGGTCGTGCGAGAGGTGATCGAGAGTGTGATGGGGGTCAAGATTGACGAGGAGCGGATGTATGCGCATAGGGAGGCGGAGTACTTGGGCGTCGGGGTACCCGATGACCTGGGCGGGGTGATATGGACTCGCGCAATGCAGCGACTTTTTGTCCTCGTTTCTCGCGCGTTGCGGTTCAACGAACCGGTGCTACTTGTTGGGGAGACGGGTGCTGGCAAGACGAGCGTCGCGCAGATCTTCGCTCAGGCGTGCGGCCGGCAACTTGTCGGGGTCAATTGCCACCAAGGCACCGAGACGGCCGACCTCATCGGTGGACAGCGGCCGGTGAGAAACCGCGCCGGACGCGAGGCCGAAGCCATCAAGATTGGCGTGGAAGCCTTGGCTGCCATTGGCGTAGTGTTGCCGGCAGACAGCGACTTAGACACCGTGCTTGCCAAACTACCCGCGACGAGCGACGCACGACGCGCTTGTATGGGCGCTCGTGCAATCTTCGAATGGTACGACGGACCGCTGGTCAATGCAATGAAGACTGGGGACGTGTTTCTCCTGGATGAGATCTCGCTCGCGGACGACTCGGTGCTCGAACGACTGAACTCCGTGCTCGAGACGGGGCGCACGATTGTCCTTGCCGAACGCGGTGGCGACGCTGGTGACGGTGATGGGCTGAGCGTCACCGCGGATCCCGCTTTCAAGCTCATTGCGACGATGAATCCCGGCGGCGACTACGGCAAGAAGGAGCTCTCACCCGCACTCAGAAATCGTTTTACAGAAATCTGGGTCCCAGCTGTCGATCAGCGCGTCGATCTGGAGATGATCGTCGACAGAGGCTGGAAAGCAGATGAGTTGAGGGCTTGGACTGCCCCGCTGCTGGATTGGGGAGAGTGGTTTGGTCAAAAAGTGGGTGGCCAGGGTGTCGTCAGTCTGCGGGATATTCTGGTACGTTCTCTGTCTTCTCCCCGACAGAACTGACCCTGAAATAGGGTTGGGTGACCTTCTCAAACTCCGTATACGGTCAAATGTCTTGTGTAGAGATCTTCGTGCGTCGTTCTCGAACTTACGCGTAGCTCGTCAACTGATGGAAACAGCACCACGCCGCGCACATGACCTTCCTTGACGGTCTTGGCTCATTCCCTCAGCTCTCATCTTACTCGCGAAGCGCGCTGCAACAGCTGAGGGCAGATGCAGAGGCGCATCTCCACATGATCGCCCCACTATCTTCTTCCATCGCATCACAACGATCACACACAGATCTGTCCTCAGTATGGCTCGGTTCGTTTGCCGTTCCTCGCGGACCACTCGAGATCGTCGCCGCAAGCTTCAATCTCAGCGCCCCGACTGCGTTGTCCAACGCACAGAGAGTTGTCAGGGCGTGTCAGCTGCCCAAACCTATCCTACTCGAAGGCAGCCCTGGCGTTGGGAAAACTAGCCTGATCACAGCGCTCGCTGCACTGACCGGCCACAAACTTTGCCGCATCAACCTCTCGGACCAGACGGATCTCATCGATCTGTTCGGTTCGGATCTTCCCGTGGATGGTGGCTTCGCATGGAAAGACGGAGAGTTTCTGCGTGCATTGAAAGAGGGCTGGTGGGTGTTACTGGATGAGATGAATCTCGCGCCACAGGCTGTGCTGGAGGGCTTGAACGCTGTTTTGGATCACCGAGGGAGTGTGTACATCCCCGAGTTAGGGCGAACGTTTGAGAAACACCCGAGTTTCCGGATCTTCGGCGCCCAGAATCCACTTAGCCAGGGTGGTGGACGGAAAGGTCTGCCCAAGTCGTTCGTGAACCGGTTCACAAAGGTCTACGTCGAAGAATTGAGTGCTGCGGATCTTCTGCTCGTTTGCAAGGGTTTGTTTCCTGCACTGGGTGGATCTGTTTTGGAGAAGATGATCACGTTCAACACGGCATTGAACGAAGAGGTGTCGGTGAAGAGGAGCTTTGGCCGAGCCGGCAGTCCCTGGGAATTCAATCTCCGCGATGTGCTGCGATGGGCTACGCTCGTGTCTGCTTCAATTCAAGGCAGACCACAGGACCTCTTGAGGAACGTGTACCTGGACCGTTTCCGGGACGTGGAGGACCGCAGAAAAGCTGCAGCGCTCTTCGAGTCTGTCTTCCTCGAAGAAGCAACGACTGCCGCGCCCAAGTGGGCCGTCACGCCCATCTATGTGCAGATCGGCAACTTCCAAACGTCGCGTCACGCGGGATCCACAGCACTGTCTCGCCCTCCACGAATCCTGCCCAGCCATCTGCCCGCGCTCGAATCTCTGGGTCTTTGTGTGTCGCAGAACTGGCTCGCGATTCTGACCGGGCCGAAGAATGCCGGGAAGTCATCCGTGGTCCACCTTCTGGCCGATCTGTGTGGTGCGCCGCTGCAGACTGTAGCGCTGCACAGCGCAACCGACACCGGTGACCTCCTGGGATCGTTCGAGCAGCTCTCCGGGGGCGGGTTTGCGTGGATTGCAGGGCCGCTGGTAGAGGCGATGGAGCGTGGGACATGGCTTCTCCTCGACGACGCAAATCAGTGCCCGCCGTCCGTCCTGGACCGGCTCAACTCGCTCTGCGAGCCGGGCGGCGTGCTCACCCTGAGCGAACGTGGGTTCGTCGACGGCGCTGTGCCCGTGATCCGCCCCCATCCGGGCTTCCGACTGTTCATGGCGCTTGATCCCGCGAACGGCGAGCTGTCGAGGGCCATGCGGAACCGAGGTGTGGAGGTTGCGCTGGGTCCACTGCTCTTGGCGCACGCGACAGGCAGAGAGATCGACCATGATTCCGCTGGGTCCGCTGTGCTCAATCTTACCGGGGTGCGATCCCCCATCAGTGTCCCCGCCCAACAGCATCTCGTTGCGCATGCTGTGGCGGCAGTCTATGCTCGGTACTTTCAGCGGCTCATGCAGACCATTCCCGAGCTGCGTGTGGCGGGGAGGATGAGGGAAGCCCGTTGGACAGCCTATGCCTCGAGATGGGGTGTCCCGGTCGAATTCGTCGCTGCTCAGGTGTGTTGATAGGGTCGCAGGTCTATGAACATATGCTGACGGCCACCGATCAGCCCACCGTTTTCTACCTGACTTCTCTGGACGAATCAACACTTGTGTTTCTGCGCGCGATCGACCTGGACATAGCCAGTGCTCTGTTTGTTCAAACCTCTGCGCAGCCCAACTATCAGATATCCCTCAAATCAACATCCAAAACGGAATTCTCGGTAGTGATGCGTGCAATCGAAGCTGTGATCTCCGCAGTGCTGGGTTTATTTGCGGACGGTGCAGATGTGCGTGACTCCATTGAGCAATCTATTCCGAAAGTGACACGAATTCAGCTTGCCGCTGTCTCGAAGACACAGATAGAACGTATCCTCTCAGTGCTGCGGTTCGTCAGCTCGCTCCAGTCCCAGTCCCGATCGCACACTGTCCAGAACAAGTACTTCGACTATTCTGCGGTGCAGGTCGTGTCGGGGTGGCTCGTTGACGTGCTTTCCGAGAACGGCGAGGAAGATGACGGGCTGCTGTTGGTGCGCACGCACGCCCACGCTCTGCGGAGTGCGGTGGCGCTCTCGACTGGCTTGGGGATCAGCCAAATTTGGAGCCGATTCCAGGGTGTGCTTTTGCCAGTTGGTGCAAATACAGCGATGCTTCAGGAACTACAGCAAGCTGCGGGACGGACCGACAATGACGGCAAGTCATTTTCTAGCGTTCCCAGGCACGTGTCCCGCTCAACATCATAACATCATATAGCTATGCGCAGGCAAGCATTCGACCTGCTGTGTCTCGCAGACCTGCGTGCAACGGCTGACGAGCAGGACGAATTCGGGCGACTGGTCGCGGATCTGGCACTGGTTCGTTTGTGCTCCTTGCACTTCCTTCATCGATATTGATGTACCGCAGAGATGCAAAGCGGTGGCTATCCCAATTGGCACTGCGTCCATGGAAGTCTCTGAAAACGAGCAACGGGACGAGGAGAAGAGACACGCGACGACCATAATCGCACAGTTGGGGATTCTCGCTTGCATTACTATGAGAGAGATTTCTTTAACGGCAAGTGCCTGCGGTTCGCCTATCTCACGTGAACTGACCACATTGCAGACCCTGGCCAGCCGGATCGAGCGGCTCATTGGTGTCGAGCTCGGTCGCGGAATCGAGAACTGGGCGGGGAGAATGAAGCGGCTGGTCGGGTATCGACATGCCCTGTGGACTGCACAAGCTGAACAGGGTACGTGATCTCCCGCTTTGTATGCTTAACCCGCTAACGACACACAACTAGACATGTTACCTGTGATACTCAAAATGCAGCTCAATTGGTTGGAGGATGTGTGGCTGGCTGGAGACACGGAGATGGATTTGGTGCGTTTCCTTGATTTCTTCTGCTCTCAGCTGACAATCCTTCAGCACGGGCCAGATCTACTGTTTCGTCCAACGCAATTACGCGCAACACTTGCTGCTTGGTGCGTGTGAATCATCTTCTCTTGCGCACAAATCTGAGCCCTCTTCAGCGACCTTCGCCAAGGCACTCTCGATACCTATGCGACATTCCAGCAAGCACTGAGCACGCAGATTGGGCTGGCGCTTATACAAGCCGAAGCTAGCGGTGATCCACCGAGAACAAATCAGCTGGGACGGGTCTTGGTGCAGTCGATTAGTTTGGTGAGCTGAATTCAGTGGCGCACCGTCAAACGGCTGATCATATTCATCCGTAGCTCACGGCGTGCTTCGGTTTCCACCTCGAGGGGACTGTGGTCAACACGCTGGAGCAGCAATGCTCCTCACTCCCACTGGCATTCAAATCATACCTTCTCCCCGCCGTCCAGAATCTCCATTCATCCTCGTCGCCTGACCATCGCACTCTTGGCCTGACATTCATCGCACTGTCACGCACCTTGCTCGATCTGTTCGTTCCCTCGACCCCGATCGACCCGGCTGCTATCGAACGGTTCGGAGACCAATTCCGGGCCGACCAACGGGCCGTGCTGGTCGAGCAGAGACAGAGCATGGCCGAGTTCGGGTCCCGGCTATATGGCACAACTGATGGCAACGCTGTGGTCGAGGATCTGGATGCGCAGATTGGCAAGCTGAGTGACCTCGCCGTATCAGAAAGCGGAAGAGCTCCGGGACGCGATGACGTGTCGCGGCTGCATATGTTTTGGTCTGAAGTCGCCCAGTTCCAAGCACACGTGATCGCGCCATCCAAGATCACTGGCATGCTCGAATCGGACGTCAACCTAGCCCACCGGGCGCAGACTCTGCAGCGCTCGATTGCGGGCTTCACTCAGCGTCTGGAGAGCGCGTATCCCGAGTTCGTCGATCTCTGGCTCCCTGTAAAACTTGGTGTCGCGTATCTCCGGCTGGGTGTGGCGCTCTGCTGTGTCTCCCACACAGCCAAAATACCTGCACTCGAGCCCCTCGTGACGTTCCCTGCGTTGGACTCGGCCGCCCGCGTTCTGGCCGCCAACCAAGGCGGGATCGACGGGATATTGATGCGTCTCGCAGCATTGGCCGAGACCAGTGGCAGTGACGACCGCTTCGAGCAGATCCAGATGGCCTACCACCAAGCAAGCGCGCTGTGGCGCATTGACCGAGCACGTGAGAGCGACGCTGCTGCACGTGCAGGGTCGCTGTATCGTGGAGGATATGAAGACGAAGGAGACGCCGAGCGCGAGGAGCGCGAGTTTTTGGAGATGTTCCCAACGTTTTCAGACCCACTCTCTGAAGACACGAAGGAGACGAATGGGACTGCGACCGCGACTTCAGCGAGACCGGTTGTAGGACCAGAAGAAATGGAGAGGCTTGTGGCCTTGCATCATTCGCTCTTCGGTGATGGGGCTGCTTTGGGACTCTTCCAAACGATGCAGCGAGCAACAGTGCACCGAGCAGTGAATGCTGATTTTGCCAATCTGTCCGACCAACTGGATGGGACCAGTCTTATCATGCAGATGACCCTATTAAATGACGCCTCTTCATTTTCATCGCCAGGCGACGATTACAACTTCTACAAGTCTCCCAATCCCTCCGAAGCCCGTAAATCCGCCCAGGTCGTCTCTTCTCTTCGTACGCGACTCGCCACACTGATCGGTGAATGGCCGGATCAGATGGTGCTACAGCACTTGCATACCCGGTGCACGGCAGTCCTGGCGCTGCCGCTCTCATCTCCCCTCGCGCACATTTTATCTGCGCTCGAGCAGCTACTGCTTGAAACCGCCGATTGGGAGATCTACGCCAACCGGGAGAACACCCTCAAGGCTCATCAGGCGGAGTTCACCGGACTCATCGTCGAGTGGCGCCGACTTGAGCTGGGGTGTTGGCGCGTGCTGCTGGACGTCCAAGCCAAAGAATTCGGAGCAGGTGGCGTGAGAGAATGGTGGTTCCGTCTCTTCGAGGCCGTGGGCCAGTCCGATGGTGATGTGGAGACTCTGGTCCCTTTACTGGACGAGTTCATCCGCACGAGTCCAGTGGGGCAGTTCGAGGCCCGGATGGAGCTATTACGGACATTTGCAGTGTTCACGGCCGCTTCCCCCTCATCGTCGACGCGCATCTCGCGTATCTTGGCTACGACACACGCGCATTTCAGCCTCTTTGCACCCCGCGTCGCGGCGGCTCTGGCCGGAGAGCGGGCAAAGCTGGAGGCCGACCTCCGTGGGTACGTCAAGCTTGCGAGCTGGAAGGATGTGAATGTGCACGCGCTCAAGGCCAGCGCGCAACGCACGCACCACGCGCTTTACAAGCTCGTCCGCCGCTTCCGTGACGTCCTGCGCGGACCGGTGGCTGCAATGCTGGGTGTCAAGGGCGCACTGGGGGATTTGAGCAAGGATGAAGAAGGGGGTAAGGATGACATCATGGAGGAGAGCGAAGCGAACGAAGAAGCCCCACCGACTTTCCCTGTCCTCGACACATCAAACCAAACACCGGGACACCTTAGGAACCTCGCGCCGACCTTCAGCAAATTCCGCACTCTGCTCCAGACGCGTGTGGCGCCTGCGATCTCGGCGCACTCGGCCGCCCTCGCGGACGGGCTGGCAGTGGACATCATCCGCACCGCGCAGCATCTGTCGTCGATCGCCCTGCCACAGGACAAGGAGAAACGCATCAAGGCAAGCAAGGCGCTGACGACGCGCAAGCGCAAAGCATACGCGGATCTGCTGCGGGAGCTGCGCATCGCGGGCTTTGGCGTCGTGCGCGCGGATGTCCTGGACCGGATCCGCTCGGGCGCGTGGGTACGCGAGCAGTCGGGGGTGGCGTCCGATGAGCGTATGGAGAAGTACTTCTCCCGTCTGCTTGCAGCTTTGCCGGCGCTGCGCGCGTCGGTAGCGGGGCATCACCCTGATTTGGTCACGCGCGATCTGCAGCGGGGAGTGACGTTTGTAGAGTCGGTCTTTGCGATGGGCATGGATGCGAGGACGAGGTGCGTGTGCTCTCTCATTTTTTTTTCGATTTTTGGCTGATCATCTGAAATGCAGACTTGCGGACGCTGTGTCCCAACAATCTCGTCTCTCGCGACTTGTCGAGCGGCTGGCGCATATATCGACGTCTGCAACTAACTCATCGGGTCCAATCGTCGTTGCCACCGGTCCGTCGGTGCTTGCGCATGCACGTGAGGTTTACCGTGTCACGGTCCGCCTCCGCGCGACTCTGTGCGAAGTCATTGAAGCTGCGCGTGTCTTCGAATCGCTGCTCCGCCAGCAGTCGGATACGACGAACAAGAGCGTCCCGACGGCATTGTCCCAGGAAATGCAGAGCGCGCGGCGTGAGACAGAGAGAATTGAAGGCGAGGTGAGGAAGGTTGTCGAAGGCGTCGAGATGGGCGGCTCTGTGTTATTGAGAGGTGCGTCACGATGCTTATTCCCAGGCATTCCGACTAACCTCAAATTAAACAGACGAACACGCTGTTATCCAATTGGCCCTTGCGCACCTAGCCAGTACACACGAGTCTCTCGCACGATGGGCCGCACTGGATACCCGGCTAGGCTATATCTTTGGCCCGGCCGGCCGATGGGTCCACGAGCAAATTGTCGCCGTTTCAACGCTAGCGCTGGCCGCAGAGGATCCCAATGCAGCTGATAACACCGACGGCGTCATTGAACTACTTCTCGTTCACGTCCAGTCGCTGTTGGAAGCTTGCCCTGAGCCGGAGCCGCCAAAGGCCGATGACGAGACGGAGGAGAAGGAACGATACATCGAGACAGACTACCATCACACGCGCAAAGTGACGCAGCTTCTCAAGCTGGACCAGACCGCGGACGCTGTCGAGCGCGTCTTCAATGCGCTGACAGGCAGCCAAGCCCAGACCCGGCTCGCCCGCCTGGTCCCCTTCCTCCACGCGTATCTCAACTTCGTCGCGCGCCAGATCTCGGCACACGCGTCCTGGACGAAGACGCTGTTCAAGCTCGACTGGGTGCTCGTGTCGGTCTTGCAGACGCTCGCGACGGACGGCTTCTGCCGGCCGCCGGAGGCCGACGAGGACGGGGACGGGGACGGAGGCAAGGGCAAGGAAATGGAGGCGGATGGCACGGGCTTGGGATCCGGGGCGGGGCGGGAGAACGTCAGCAAGGAGATTGAGGACGAGAGCCAGGTTGAGGGGCTGCAGGGTGAGGACGAGCAGCAGCCCGACGACCAGCAACAGCGCGAAGACGGGGACAACGATGCGATCGAGATGAACGACGATTTTGGGGGCGCGCTCGAAGACGTGCCTTCGGATGGGGAGGAGGACAAGGACGGCGAGGAAGACGACAAAGCCGGAGAGGAGGAAGACGGCCCAGAGGAGCAGATGGGCGAGTTGGACGCGTCAGATCCTGGCAAAGTCGACGAAAAGCTGTGGGGCGACGACAAGGGCCCAGAGAACAGCGGAGAGGACGACAACGTTGGAAAAGAGCTTGATGGGGAGTCAAACGAACAGGAGGAAAGCGAAGTTGTCGCCAAGGAGGGGAAGCAGGAGTCGAAGGAGAAGGAGAAGGAGAAGAAACAGAAAGAAGATGGGAAACAGAGCGAGCAGAATGGCGCAGAAGAACCCCAGCCGGATGACGAGCAACTACCCGAAGCGACCGTCGGCGAAGATGAGCAACAAGACCCCCCGGCCGACCAACACGGCGCGCCGATGGATGAGCATGTGCCGGACGGTGACATGCTCGACATACCGGACAATCTGGATTTAGGAGACGAGGACATGGGCGGGGAGCAGGAACCAGGGGAAGAAGAGGATGGAGATGGAGATGGAATGGACGTGGATGAGTCAGGGATGGACAATGTAGAACAAAACGAGGCTGATGCTCAAGACCAGCCGATGGAGATGGATAATGACGCGCCTCTAAACCCAGAAGACACGCCGGACCCGGACGAAGACGAGGACGCCGACGCGTCGAAGATGCAGGACCCCTCCTCTGGGCTGACAGACGAGCCAGAGCCAGAGCCAGAGCCAGAAGCCGACTCGGATGAGCAGGTAACCGCGAAACCAGACGTCACGGCAGGGGGTGATCCCCAGCAGCAGGAAGACGGTGAAAATCCGCAGGACGATAGGCCTGACACTGTTGCGGGCGACAAATCTGCCTCCGGCGACAAGGGCGCGTCAGTCTCGAGCCGTGTTGGGCAGGACGCAGGTGACAATGTCGAGAAAGATGATTCACAAGGGGAGCAAAGGTACGTCTCTTTTTCATCGAAATGCGTTTGGAATCTGAGATCTTAGCAGCGACGCCAATGCGCCTCTTCCAGTTGACTCGCAAGCTCCAGGTCTGTCCAGTGACGGCCAGCAGGATGGGGCGGACGAATCCGCCGGTGCCGAGATGCGCAATGAGGCGGGCAATCCGTTGCGCAGTTTGGGCGATGCGTTGAAGGAGATTCGGCGGCGGTTCGATGAGATCCTGGAGTCGTCGGATCCCCAACAGCAGCAACAGATGACATCCGAAGAGTCGCCGGAGAAAGTCGAGTACCTCCGACCCGAAGATGCCGGTGACACCGACATGCAGGCGCTGGGCCCCGCAGGCGACGAGCAAGTTGCGAAGCTGGATGATTTGGCGATGATGGTGGATTCAGAGCAGCCGGACCAGCAGCGTTTTGTACCGATGGAAGTTGATGCAAGTGATGATTTGCCGGCGACAAAGCGGGCCGAGGAGCTGGAGGCGCTGCACCAGCAGCCTGAACACGGGGATGACGGCGACGACGCAATGGCACTCGACGCTCAGGGACGCCGTGCTCCCGACTCCAACCACGAGACAACCGCCGAGGTGGACATGCCTGACCCCACGATCGAGCTTCTCACGCAGCACCTGGCTGGTCCCGCTGACTCTGAATCTGCGACTCAGCTGTGGCAGTCGTACGAATCGCTGACGCATGACTTGGCGTATGGGCTGTGTGAGCAGCTGCGGCTGATCCTGGAGCCCACCCTCGCGACGCGGCTCAAGGGCGACTTCCGGACCGGCAAGCGGCTGAACATGAAGAAAGTCGTGGCGTACATCGCAAGCGACTGCACCAAAGATAAGATCTGGCTGCGACGCACCCGGCCGAGCCAGCGGGAGTACCAAGTGTTGATCGCGCTGGACGACTCGAAGAGCATGGCCGACTCGCGCTCGGTCCACCTCGCGTTCCAGGCGCTGGCGCTCGTGACCAAGGCTCTCTCGCGGCTGGAGGTCGGGCAGGTCGGCGTCGCCCGGTTCGGCGAGCGCGTCGAGATGCTGCACGACTTCGGCGACGCCGCGGGCGTCTCGGGGGCGCGACTTATGGACGCGTTCCGGTTCGACCAGAAGGCGACGGACGTGCTGGCGCTGCTGGGCACTAGTCTGGGTGTGCTCGAACGCGCGAGAGAGGCATCGGCGAAAGACCTGTGGCAGCTCGAAATTATCATCTCCGACGGAATGTGCCAGGACCACGACAAACTGCGGACCGTCCTCAGGAGAGCCGAAGAGCAGCGAGTCATGATCGTCTTTGTCATCGTCGACAGCAACTCGATCTTGACCATGAATAAGGCCGAGTACAAGCCCACTGCGGATGGCAGAATGGAACTCCAGCTCGAGCGCTACCTCGAATCTTTCCCGTTCGAGTATTACGTCGTCCTGCGCGACGTCGAGGCGTTGCCGGATGTCTTGGCTGGTACACTGAGGCAGTTTTTCGAGAGGATCTCTGAAGAGTAGGCATATGTTGTAGGCATATGTTGTAGATTTTGGAAGTCCTGTATGTTGTTCAATCAATTCTGTAATGTACCACGCAAGGACTGAAGTAAACCACTCAGAAAGCAGTCACCCAAGAAGTGGACTTGAATCATTCGTTAATTAACCAATCGAACCAAAGAGGAAACAACTGATCATCATCTTGAGCTGTTACCATAGGCACTGAATTCGCAAGTCTCAAGCTTGCAAGTGCGTACCTACGCGACCATAAGTGATCATCAATTTACGCTTTTCTCCTTTTTGTCTTCTTTCTCGAAAGCAACAAGACACAGCTAGCGCGATATCTTGAGTGGAAAGAAACGTTTGAGATCTCGGATCTCCGCGCTGTGTCTGTGGACTGGAATTGAACGGCAGAATGTTACATCAATCGGTTGTGGTGTAGGGGTTAACATTATCGCCTCTCATCTTGAAGCCCTGTAGAAGGTGCGCGATAGCCCGGGGTTCGATTCCCCGCAGCCGAACGTTTTTTGTGACTGAAACACCCCCTGGATGAATCTCATTTTGATCAGGGGCATCCAGGAGCAGAGCCAATATATAGCCTCCTCTCACGTGACGTTCTTCGCCTTGCCAGCCGAGTAATGATCGGAGCTACGCTCAGCACCTACGTTCACGCCACGCGCATGACTAGGGATTGTTTGTTTGTATCCGCATTTTTATACCGCAGCAAGTAAACTGACTACTAAGACGCGGTGCCCGGGGGCAGCATGTAATGTATAATGAGCCCGTCTATTCAGCCGTTGGGAGTGTGGTTGTTTGGTGTCGCGGATGGCGCTTGTTCAGGTTTCCAAGGGTGTTTCGGGACGCCGCATAGACATAGGTAATATGCATGGGACATGATCATAGGGGGAAGGGGGTGGTTGGCTTGGCCAGAGCCGGTCGTGGCCGCGTCTCTTGGTGTTCATCCGTGGTCGGAGTCTACATTGTCCCCTTCGTCGTCCGATAGGTCTGGTTCCGGTTCGTTTCCCAGCGCGGGGAGTTCGCGATCCTTCCAAGCCCTGCCGTTCCTCGTGAACACCATCCACCGTCCGATCATCGAGCCCATGCATTCGTCCATCCCCGAAACCGATTTGAAATCGATGAACGAACCCCGATAACGATACACGACTCCACCATGAGTGTCCCAATGCTCCCCAACACGTGTAGTGGGTGTGGATGCGGGGGACTTTGGCGTATGTTTGTATATAGGACGGGGTAGCTGGGTGCGTGCCAAAGAGAGATAGCGAGCAGCTGCACGCCCTTCTCTCCTCTTCCCCTCGACTCAAACTGCTCTACGACTCACTCCCGATGGCCGTGACATACCATTACTCGCCACCGCAGCTAGAAGCCCGGGGAGAGCACCAGTGGGCTCTTCCGAGCTGGCCGTGGCCAGTGCTTTCGCTTCTGCGACGACGGCTTGTCAGGCTGGCTATGCTCAAGTCTCTGACTGCGGCTGGGCTGCAGTGCTCTTCGTCTGGGAGGCGCGCGAGCTCGAACAGGCGAAAGCCGCGACGTGATGACCTTGCAGACGACTGTCCAGGACGGCGGCGGGCTTTCGTTTTCTTCGAGGTGGACGGGGTATGCTTACAAGGCGAGTATAATAGGTGCTTGTATGCGTTGTGGGTCACGCTGATGCACGGCGAATCATTTGAAGGTTGATCCATCCTTATTTCTGCTCCTTCCGTGCCAGCCCATGCAAGATGATGTTGAGAGTGGTGAACCGAGACGACGCCGCCGTAGAACCATCCCCGTTCCCCCGTGCGAGTCAGCTGAGGGCTTCTATTCGTTTTTGGAGGATCTGGAGGCATTGTGAGCACATGTCTTCTCGAAACGACGACGGTTTATATACTTAACAACGCGCCGTAGTCCAAAGGAACTCTCCCTTCTCTCATCGGCCCCTTGCGAAGCCGCGGGCGAGGCTGTCCCGGAAATCCTTAGCCGGCTTTTGAACATCTTGGAAACCACCACCCGTTTGCTCAGGCACGCAAGCCCGTGCACTCGTTCGCGTGCGAGTCGACGTGACCATGACTGCCACTGTGGTTATGAGCATCTCTTCGAAACCCTGCATGGTCGGGCTGTCGGGTCCCTCCGGCAGTTCATTCTCTCGCGATACCTGTGGGACATCAGCGCCGACGCCCGGGAAGCTTCACGATTGAAGCGGGTCGTGGCGGGTGTAGACGAATTGAGGCGGTCTGGTGTTGTGGATCCAGGGAGGGAGGATTTGCGGACGTTGCTGCAAAGGCGCGTTCGATGGGGTCTGCGTCGGGGTCGATCATGTTGATGAGTTTCAGCTTCTTTGAAGGGATCGCGTTAACTATATTGTGAATTAGATTATCTATCTTATGCATTGATCCTATTCTGGACTAACAGGCCTCAACCATAACAAGTGGGACTGCGTTTAGACTTGGAGGCGACTACCGCTCTAGTCTCTCTCCATACGAAGGATCGCACCCACTAGACGTTTTGCAACCAGTGCCGGCTCAGGCGCGATCATGTGACTGATGAGCGTGATCGTGTGGCCATCGATCCAGAGACGCGTCTCCCAAAATTTCACGTGCATGTCATCGTGGTATAATAATTTTCTGTATAATAAGTTTCATATACAGTATTTCACATCCGGTTCTTGAATATGATTGAATGTTTGAGTCCGAGGCTGCTGGATTGGCTAGATATCGAACTGGAAGCTCATCGGCGGTTTTCTTTCGGACTTGGACTGGTCTCCATGCCCAGATGTTCTCGAAGAGCTCCCGGGCCGGGCATTCTGGCAGTCCGACGCATTGTATCCGTCCTGATGCGATTTATCCGCTCTGTACCAGATTTTCCGAGCGAGCTTTGCCGATCAGAGATGGATATTCCCGCGGGCAGGGATGGCATTGAATGGATCGCCAGTGGGTGCGCACCGAGACCGCTGTACCCGAGTACGTGCACAGGTGAAAACAATGATTAGCAATCACGTACGCTTGTGTGCAGAGGAGAGGAAGTCAATATTAGACAACGTCTCGCTAGCAAGTAACGAGGAAATGACACAACATTGCATCCTTGGCCACAGTCAGGGATCCCATCGCTTACTGATAGAGTGCAGCTCTTCTACGAGTCGGTGTAAACGTGCCATGTAACCTCTGACTCGCCGCGCTTGCAGTTCCATAAAGATACAGAAGCCTCGAGACATTACATTTGTCCAAGGGTGCAATTCATGTCCGCGATCTCTGCACCAGATGAGCGGGGGCCGATGCCTTGCATGCAGCGCGCCGCAGAACAAGTGGTCAAAGCTATTGTCTGCGGGACCAGGTGACAGACGAGCAGGAGCACCAAGATCCGTGAGTTTCTCCGGCTCGCGTGGCACGGCAGGCCAAGAGTTGGTGGGAAAGTAACGTTTTGAAATCAACATTTCATTAAGAGCCGGAGCTCACCTGTCTCGTAACGAAACTTCAGACGGAGGCTGTTGTGTCAGGTGAGGTCAGGTGCCTCAGCTACTGGTCATGCTCTGATGCACGCACCGAATTTGATGGCTAATCCTCTGCTTCTCGCGTCTCCCATGCCGTTCCGAAGCACCACATCGACTCTCACTGGCCTTGCGCTGCTTCGGAGTCTGTTGCTGTGCACATCAGGCTGCCGTCACCGCTTTTTGACTCTGTCCTTTTCCGGGGATTAGCCGACGGGCTGAGTTTGTGGGTGACGACACTTGCGCAGGCTGAGGACGTAGCAGAGAGTATCACGTTGCGCCGATGAATCTCCTTGACGCATACCAGCCTTGGACTCGTTAGCATCCAAGCAGGCTTAGGGAAGGAATGGTATAAAACGCGGGACAGTTTTCAGCAGAACTCAGCAACTCGTCTTCACAGTCATGTTCCCCGCCACCGCTCTCATCGCTCTCTGCATCGCTGCTGTCTCCCAGGCGCAGCAAATCGGCACGCTACAGGCGGAGGTCCACCCGTCGATCACCACGTCGAAGTGCGCTGCAGACGGGACGTGCACTACGACGCAGAACGCGATCGTCCTCGACTCCAACTGGCGATGGACCCACTCGACGTCGTCCGCGACCAACTGCTACACCGGCAACACCTGGAACGCCGCTCTCTGCCCTGACGCCACGACTTGCGCGCAGAACTGCGCTCTCGACGGCGCCAACTACCAGAGCACGTACGGAATCACGACCACCGGCAATGCCGTGACGCTCAAGTTCCTGACTGGTAAGTCCTTTCATTTCGGCTGGGACCTGACTGAGCGATCGGCAAGGCTCGAACGTCGGTAGCCGAGTGTACCTGATGGCAGACAACACCCACTACGAGATGTTCCAGCTGCTGAACCAGGAGTTCACCTTCACTGTCGATGTCTCTCAGCTGGGATGTGGTCTCAACGGTGCGCTATACCTGACCGAGATGGATGCCGACGGTGGGATGTCTCGTTTCCCGAACAACAAGGCTGGTGCCCAATACGGTACCGGCTACTGTGACGCACAGTGCCCTCAAGATCTCAAGTTCATCAACGGATTGGTGCGCTTACCTAGTGTTTTACGATCGTACTCGTTCATTGATCGTACTGCAGGCGAATTCTGCCAACTGGACTCCCTCCGCGAACGATCCGAACACCGGTGCTGGTTCGATGGGAACTTGCTGCAACGAGATGGACATCTGGGAGGGTACGTGATTGAAATCCACCGTCGCTCTCCAATCTGACCCGCTCTCCCCCAGCTAACAAGTTCGACACTGCATACACCCCTCACTCGTGCTCTGTCGTCGGCCAGACGATGTGCACTGGCACCGACTGCGGTGTCGGCAGCGACCGCTACAAGGCTCTCTGCGACAAGGACGGCTGCGACTTCAACTCCTACCGCTGGGGCGACAGCAGCTTCTTCGGACCCGGCCTCAAGGTCGACACCACGAAGCCGGTCACGGTCGTGACCCAGTTCCTGACCAACGACAACACTACGACCGGTACTCTGTCTGAGATTCGCCGTCTCTACGTGCAGGGCGGCAAGGTCATCCAAAACTCAGCGGCCAAGACTCCTGGTCTCACTCAATTCGACTCGGTTACCGACGCGTTCTGCAACGCGCAAAAGAACATCACTGGAGATACCAACAGCTTCGAGGCCCGTGGCGGTCTTGGCACGATGAGTGCTTCGCTCAAGCGCGGCATGGTTTTGGCGCTCTCGCTCTGGGACGACGACGCCGTTGGCATGCTCTGGCTCGACGGACAGCAGTACCCGACCACCAGCAGCGCGACCGCCCCTGGTGTCGCCCGTGGACCCTGCTCGGCCACCTCCGGCGATCCCAAGGTATGTGATAATCGTTTGGTCCCTCCTGCTCAGAAACTAATCCGATGTTCAGACTGTCCAGTCCCAGCAGCCCAACGCGCAGGTTATCTACTCGGACATCAGGACCGGCCCGATCGGCTCGACCTTCAAGACCTCCACGACCGGCGGAGGCTCCGGCTCGCCTCCCTCTTCATCGTCGGCTTCCCACTCTGCTTCCTCGACCGCCAGCTCCACCACTACCAGCTCCGGCTCGACGTCCACGGGCGGCACGATCCCCAAGTACGGGGAGTGTGCTAACAACAGTGGGTGCCCTTAGTTTCATATCACCCTTCGGATTCTCATGTTCTGCAGTTCCTGGAACCTGTGTCGCTGGCACCACCTGCGTGTTCAGCAACCCCTGTATGTCTTTCCTCTGCGAGGTCTTTTTGATCGCCTCTCATCCTTTCCACAGTCTACTCTCAGTGCTTGTAGATCTTCGATGGCCTCACACGGTGTTGCGATGGTTCGGATTGATACACTATTCCTGCTGTAAATCACCTCTTGTAAATTACCTGTGGAATCAAAATATAATGGATGATTCACTTCTCTTATTCTCCCGTTTCTCCTTCGCGGGCACATGTAGCCGGTAAGTGCTTCCACTTTCAGATCGTGCCGGTAAGTCGTGGAACCACGATCCGTTCATCACGAGGCGATCGGGGTTGTCTAGTTTCCCTGGATCAACGTTGAAGCGTCCTGTAGAGATCAAAGATGCGCCGCGGCGATAGGGAGAGAAATCCTCTCGTGGAGTCGCACGGTGTGGGAGGGGAGCAGCACCTGATCGACAACAGAGACCAGAATCTTGCACAATAGGCGATCTGAAAGGTCTTCGACTCGCTGTTGTAGCAATTTCGATGCAGAGGCGTCCTCTGAGCGGCCGACACGAAAATCATATAGATCCGCATTCCTCGGACCCTCACTATTTAGCCCCGAAAGGCTGTATGACGTTCGTGCCTTGTGGGATTGTAGACAATGCAGAGTGTGGGTTGATGTGAAAAGAAGTGATATATATGTACGTGCGCGTGTGTAAATAGCCTTCTCGTCCGTTATACCAGTTATTAGCTTGAGCTTTGACCGGCTCAGAGATGGCTGTGATAGTCACGTGCGATTCATGTGAATGTTCAAGTTGAACTACAAGTCTAAGTGGACCATCAACGTCCAGGAGTCCAGCTCATCTCGGACTGAAATCAAATATCTTCCGAGGACTGCCTCTGCTCGTCTTCTCCATCTAACAACCCCTGCGCTTCCTGACCGGAAACCTCCGGGACTTTCCTTACAGATGGTGCGCGTCTTTTTCCGATGAATAGCCGACCGCCCGGCGCGTCCTGGACCGCGCGCAGAATCACATGGTGCTCAAAAAGTTCTCCGATTTCTTCCAGCCCGAATCCGGCCGTTTCAGGTAGACAGAGCCACGCCCAGAACGATATGACAAAGCAGCAGGATCCGAACAAGAGGAATGTCCCATAACCGATTTCGGCAAGCATGAGGGGGGGTGAGTTTGGCGACGACGGTGGCGAACGTCCTGGTTTCTGTCATAAGAGACATTCTTTTCCATGCATGGTTCTCTTACCAATTCATGCCTGCAGCCAACGACATGACGGCTGTCCGCAAATGATTTGGCGCAACCTCGCCAGCGAGGACCCATGGAATAGGTCCCCAGCCAACACTGAAGAATGCAGCGTAGAGGTAAACTGCCGCAATGGAGATGTAGCCCAGAAAATTGTTCGGCTTTGTCCCCGGGTGAAGCCCGGTGTAGACCCCGATCCACAACATGGCGATACACTGCCCGAGACCACCGTATATCAGGCTCATCTTACGGCCAATTCCTTCTACGGCGAGGGCCAGACCGACACAAACCGAAATTACCTGTAGAAGGGAGGGATGGAATTCGTGCATGCAAGAAAGACAACGCAGAAGCTCACCTTCACGATGCCGTAAATACCTACCAACCTTTTATGAGAAGCCGGTAGCGCCACAGGAGTGACTCACCGGTTGCGAACAGTCCAGACGTCGTCTCTCCGATCCCTAGGCTGGCGAAAATCATCGGACTGAAGTAGTTGATTGCGTTTGTGCCGGTCAGTTGTTGAAAGAGCATGACTAGCGATGGAATAAAACATCTCAGAGCGATCCCGTGCGTCTCGTTCATCTGCTGAAGCTGCTTCATGAGCGGTAAACGACGTTTGCCGAGAAAATCCGTGTTGACTTCTTCAACCGTAGCGAGAATGAGGGGATCTTCTGTTGTTGTATGAGCGAGATAAGCCAGTATCTCAGCCGCTCGATCGTATCGTTCCGTTTCAATCATGAAGCGAGGCGACTCGGGCTGCCAAGGGAGACATAGGAGGAAGATCAAGGCAGGTACGATCCTATGCAGAAAAATTGAGTAGAAGTCCAAATCAAAAGAGAAACCGTTTTAACTGAACCGCGAAAGGAAGGCGCCATTGTGACTCCCCACTGGGCAGATATCTCGCGCAAAAATAGTTGACCCAAACTGAGAAGTGAGGCGGATGAGCTGCCGATTCGATTGAGAGAAGAAAATCCCACACGAAAGCATGACTCCGATGTTATTGGCGAGCTGAATAAATCCCGTACAACGCCCACGGATAGCAGGGGGCGTGCACTCTGCAACGTAAGCCGGTACCAAAGCAGATACCATGCCGACGCCAATGCCGCCAATAAATCTAGCCTTGTTTAAGTCTTTCTTTGAACACTCTGACATGGCGTAATTATGACACACCTGCCGATATACAAGAGTTGAAGCGCATGCCGTTGGGTGTTTCCCCAGCCGACGACGACCTGAAGCGCACTTCCGAGAACGAAGATCAAGCCTGAAGCTTGAAGACAAGACTTGCGTCCGAATCTCCCAGAAAAGTAGCCCACACTGAGAGCACCGACTCTGAGAGAAATGCCCACGTCAGTAGACTCGCTATCAGGAGCAACCAACAAGTAACTGGTATTCACAGACAGCCGATTTGCAGACTGATAACGATGTTTCCATCGATAGAGGCCTTCATCGAAGGTGTCGCGTCTTGTAGACCAATATATTCCTGGAACGATTTCATAGCCAGAACGCCGCCGATCAATCCACTAAATAGCGAACCGAAGTCAGTTCAATGGGGCTAATGCGGGTGATGAAACAAACATGTCAAAGCCATAAAAGAGACTTCCCAATGAAGCGGAAAGAGCGAGAGCGTAGGCGCGGTTGTGGACCGTCGCACCTGTGGAAGGAGACATGGCAGATGTCCCGACAGACTCCAGAGGTGAGATCAGGTAGTAAGCGGATAGAGTAGTCGATTGAAACGAGAGTGAAAGAGATATGCAGCGGGGCCTGAGTAATGTGGAGTAGGAGGGAGTATTGGGACCGTCCGCGGAGGCAAGATGCACAAGCGCTTGCCAGCAGGTTGGTGTGAGTGCAAGGTGCGGCTACCGAGTCGGAGATCTGATCCGAAGGCAGTGCCACACATCAGCTACTTCGGCTTGAATGAAGCCAGGGGACGGAACTTACGCTGCTTGAAAGCAGTGATTGAAAGAATGGCTCTACGCACATAAAGGCATCGAAGTACGCGAGAGGTGGGAAAAATATGTACACGATCCAATCTGAGCTGGGATATCGGAGTAGGATGCCAGCGAAAGATCAGCCTGTCAAATCAAGTGAGAGGTGATGAAAGGGGAGCAACGTTTTCGCAACTGTGCAAATCCAGATAGCCTTGCCATGGGAGCCAGATTCAAATGTTCATTGAACTACAGGGAGGCATCCAGAATATCTAAGGTGTGAAAAGCCAGCTCTCTCAATCTGATGTAGGCACATTGGATGAGATCGACAACCACCTTAACTTATATGTAAGTGACTTTAGATGGTAATTGACCGTAAAAAATCGAATACATACGAGGGGAAAGCAAAGGAATCGAATAATCTTCAGACTGCATCAGGGTTCAGGTACCAGGTAACCAACGACCGCACCGTAGAACTCTGGACCGATGAGTCGTCAGGCGAGTGTCGGAGCGCAAGTCCAGAACATAAACCACCGTTCGGGACATCGAACTCAAAGCAATGCGACTGGAATGAGAAACGTGAAATAGTCATTAAAATTGTATCTTCGTGAGATTAAGAGCTAGAGTAGCGTATTAACCAGATCCACCCTCATCCACGATCTACAGGCACTGAGAGTAGTCTGCGAAACGGGTCAGGGAACAGTAGACGGAAACTCGCAGAAATCACAAGACGCACAGGGGTTGTTGTAGACGCAGGTGGAGCCAGCGACACAGCTGCCGGAAACTGGGGAGAATGAATCAGCATGCGAAGGCAGCATCAATACCAGCGACTGCGACGCACCAGAGTTGCCGCACTGGCCGTACTTGGGGATCGACCCGCCGGTCGATGCCGAGCCGGAGCTGGTGGACGTCGTAGTAGCAGCGTGCGAAGTGGTGGTGGTGACCGGAGGGGAGCCGGAGCCAGAGCTGCCTCCAGACGTGGCCGCTTTGAACGTCGAGCCGATCGGGCCGGTCCGGATGTCCGAGTAAGTGACCTGCGCGTTGCCCTGCTGGGACTGGACGGTCTGGAGAACAACAATAACAGCGGATTATTATCGGGTCAAGTGTGAGCAGACGCGGGTCTCGTACCTTGGGGTCACCGGAAGTCGCCGAGCACGGTCCACGCGCAACACCGGGAGCCGTCGCGCTCTTCGTGGTCGGGTACTGCTGTCCGTCGAGCCAGAGCATGCTCGCAGAGTCGTCGTCCCAGAGCGAGAGCGCCAGAACCATGCCGCGCTTCAGCGAGCCGCTCATCGTCGACAGACCGCCGTGAGCCGCGAAGCCGTTCGTGTCGCCGGTGATGTTCTTCTGCGCGCTGCAGAACGAATCGGTGACTGAGTTGAACTGGGTGAGGCCAGGGGTCTTGGCTGGCGCGTTCTGGATGACCTTCCCGTCCTGGACGTACAGCCGGCGGATCTCGGACAGCGTCCCGGTGGTGGTGTTGTCGTTGGTCAGGAACTGGGTCACGACCGTGACCGGCTTCGTGGTGTCGACCTTGAGGCCGGGTCCGAAGAAGCTGCTGTCGCCCCAGCGGTAGGTGTTGTAGTCGCAGCCGTCCTTGTCGCAGAGAGCCTTGTAGCGGTCGCTGCCGACACCGCAGTCGGTGCCCGTGCACATCGTCTGGCCGCTGACAGAGCACGAGTGAGGCGTGAACGCCGTGTCGAACTTGTTGGCTAGAAACGAACGAGTGGGTGGGATTGCAAGGCGACACAGACCCATTCGATCACTCACCCTCCCAGATGTCCATCTCGTTGCAGCACGTTCCCATCGAACCAGTGCCGGTGTTGGGGTCGTTCGCCGACGGTGTCCAGTTGGCAGAGTTGGCCTGTGATAACATTCATGAGAAAACAAATTCCTCGTCGCCTTCGACTCGACGCACCAGTCCGTTGATGAACTTGAGATCTTGAGGGCACTGTGCGTCACAGTAGCCGGTACCGTACTGGGCACCGGCCTTGTTGTTCGGGAAACGAGCCATCCCACCGTCAGCGTCCATCTCGGTCAGGTAAAGCGCGCCGTTGAGACCACATCCCAGCTGGGACACATCGACGGTGAACGTGAACTCCTGGTTCAGCAGCTGGAACATCTCGTAGTGGGTGTTGTCCGCCATCAGGTACACTCGGCTTCCGACGTTGGAACCTTGCCCAATTGTAAGCAACACTCACAAGCGCAAGTATCCGAGCCGCGGAAAGACCTACCAGTGAGGAACTTGAGCGTCGCAGCGTTGCCGGACGTGGTGATTCCGTAGGTGCCCTGGTAGTTCGCGCCGTCAAGGGCACAGTTCTTCGCGCAAGTCGTCGCGTCAGGGCAAAGGGCAGAGTTCCACGTGTTGCCGGTGTAGCAGTTGGTCGACGACGACGTCGAGTGCGTCCACCGCCAGTTCGAGTCGAGCACGATCGCGTTCTGCGTCGTAGTGCACGTCCCGTCTGCAGCGCACTTCGATGTGGTGATCGACGGGTGAACTTCCGACTGGTAAGTGCCGATCTGCTGCGCCTGGGAGACAGCAGCGATGCAGAGAGCGAGGAGAGCGATGGTAGGGAACATGACCGAGAAGACGAGACTGCTTGGTTCTGCTCGAAACTGCCCCTTGCTTTATACCGACCCCAGCTTGCCCGAGCGCCCAGAAGTCCATGCTGTTATGCGGCAAGGAGATTCATCGGTACAACGTGCTGCTCTCAGCTACGTCCTCCGCTCGCATAAGTCTCGTAACCCACAGACCCACAGCCAGGCTATCGGCTAATCCCCGGAAAACGACAGTCAAAAAAGTGGTGACGGCAGCCGATGCCCACAGCAACAGCCTCCGAACGCGGCGCGAAGACAGTGAAACCCTGGCGGAACCCGATCCAGTCCTTCGGTGCGGCGTGGCAAGCAGCCGTCAAAAAGCAAAGGATTAGCCACCAGATCACTGCCACCGTTGATCAGGGTCGCGGATCAGAGCATGACTGGTTGCAGCGTCAGAGGCACCTGACCTTCTCCTCGGACAACAGCCTAGAAGAGCCTCCGTCCCGAGCCTCAGAACAGGGTGCGTCTCTTAATGAAAGGTTGATAGGGAGGCGTTGCTCTGACACCAACTACGCTTACGGGGCCACGCGAGCCGGAGAGACCAGTGATGCGCGGGCTTAGGCTCTCGAGGGCTCTCGGTGTCGGAATGTGACCGGAAGTTCCGGCGTCCAGTCTGACTATCAGGACCTCCGAGCCGAACCTGGTTGAGTGCCCATCACCGGTCGCCGGCAGTCGCGAACTTGGGGTCAGGTGGGCCCTGAAATTCCTCTACCGGTCCGTCCATGCTATGCTTCTCATAGATCGCAGTGCGTGGGTATGACTCAGGGCCACTAATCACCCTCATAAAACTAGTGCCGAACTTTTCGAAATTGACCACTTGTGTCCGGCGCAGTTATGCCTCAAAATCATTGGTTTCGGCGGGCCACTGTTCTTGCTCCAGCTCCTTCATAATTTGTTTTTGTTCATTTTGGCCCACTTATTCCGTTCAAACGCCAAAAATACAGAAAAATCCCAGCAACTAGGGACCTTGGTCATTCCCTAATAGGTAGAGTTTTGGGGGCTTAAAAACCTACCTAAGAGGTACAGGGCAACTGGCTGTGCATAGGTACAGGTAACACCTGATCAGGATTTGTACACTGACTAAGCAAATAAATCACTAATTGTGTTATCATGGCACAAACTCTTACTCTTGTCCCCAACAATGGCTGGGCAAGCTCAATAAAATGGCATACATCTCTCAAGATAGTACACATCATACTAAACCAGGCAGATCAATTAACCCACAATAAGGTAGGTGACATCTATATCTGCTGAATCATGTGTGTTGCTGTGTAACACACTGACACTCCTCTCCTGCCCTGACTAGTTGCTGCTGCTGAGTTGTCAGTGACAAGTGAAGCTACAGAAATACTATGTTGTAGTGTGGCAATGATTCTGTGGTTCCAGAATTCTTTTAGGTATCCATCACTGCGTTGAGGCGGTACCTAGACCGACTATGTCCGCTGGCTGAGGATCAAGGTAGAGTGATGGTGAGAACTGTTGATCATGGTCTAGAACCCCCGGATCGGTGATAGGCTGGCTACCAGACGTGCTCTGCACCAACTCTATAAGGGCCTATTTTTGTGCTTTTACAGAGTTTACTCTTGAACCATTTGGTGTATTGTGTTGCGGTTGCCAGTGTTGCGCTCAGTAGGACTTAAGGGTCTGCTGTCCAGTCAACAACTGTGGATAGTGTCAACAATGGCAAGGTAGTCAGACCACTACTGTGGAATTGGTCTTATCAGTCTACACCAGACTCAGGGCTATTAGTGACAAACACTTGGGCCACAACAATTCCCCAAAAGGAATACTTTGTTGCGGCAACTCCCCAAAAGAGTCATTCTCTGCAGATGGGAACTTGGGCTGGTGGGCTTAGCAATGCGCGACGTGCTCAGCATAACAACTACCACTAAACAGGACTTGGTGTTACAAGATTGAACCAATCTCGTTGCGGCAACTCCCGGCTTTGGGTTAGACATTTCCTTAGGTCATGCCACGGCAACAACTTGTCACATGTCAGGATCCACTCAATCACGGGACATTGTGGACGCGTTGCGGTGACACTTCCAAGTGTCACGGCGAGTCACGCCCATACCCAAACATATCAAAAGCGACACGGGCTAGATCCGTGAAGTGAACCATGTGAGGAACGTCTGGCATGCTTAGGACCACACGGCTCCTTGGGGCACCCACGTTGGACTCACTTGCCAAGACATACCAGTCGGCCAATCTAACACGTCACATTCCAGAAGTATGACGCGGTGGGTTGTCCCACATCAAAAACACTATATGGATGATGGGGCAGGGTCCTGATCAGTCAGGACCTGTCCAATTGTTCAACTTTTTCATTACCAT